CCCAAGAAACTATAAAGCGTAAAAAAAAATTACGCAACAATAGGTACTCTCAACTATTGTACATACACACTATACGGTTTCCGCGCTTATTTACGCTCGTTTCGTGCCATTATAATTTTTCCACAAATTATTAAATTACACGCGCATATTTATGTTTAATTACAAAATACTTCCGTTTTTAAATAATAAGAAATTTTATTTCATTTCAAAAATTTTGCATTTAAAAAAAAAAATTTAGGGTAAATGCACTAATTGCGGCGCGATTCGAGTCAAAACACCTTTGAAATAGAAAATTCGACATTTTCTATTGTATAAACTCAATTTAAGACTTATTAAACTAAAAGCTTATGTTATTTACATATTAAAAAAAATTTAACTTTATAAAAATTGATTATTTAAACAAATATGAGAAATTAAAATTAATACCGTAATTTTCTATTACGGAGCGTTTGTATCAGTTTCGGTGTATCAATTTCGGTGACCAAAATGACGTGTATTTTAAAGATACTTTGCCCGCCGAAATTAGAGCCAATGGAAATCTTAAAAATGTTTCAATTACTGCGTAATTTTTTTTTGGTATTAATATTATTAATATAATTAATTTATTTAATGAATTCTTATTTATTTATTAAATCATTTCCTATTTGCCATAAATTGCAATTGAATTATAACATTTTCCTTGTCATATATAAATTTATAATTTACTAAACAGCATATATTTTTATATTTATTAAAAAGCATTTGATAAATAAATTTAATAACATTTTTTTCATTAAAAACTAAATCTGATTTTTACGACAAAAAATATTTTGGAACTATCTGATGTGTATAATATAATGAAAAGAAAATTATTTCTTTTGCATAAATCAATTGAGCCCCAAAGGGTTAATTTAATGTATTCCTTTCTTTTAATTACTCTTCTAAATATAAAGAAGCAATTAATGTTTCAAAAGATATTGAACATGAATATACACTGAGAAAAATGTTTAGTCCGAGCAACCAAAATTTGGTTAGGCCAACAAAAAAATTTTGTTGGTATTTAAGCAACCAAACTATTTGTTTGAGTCAACCAAAAAATTTGGTTGAGTGTTTTTTTGTTGGCATAACAAAAATGTTTCGTTAGCTCAACCAATTTTTTTTTGTTAGGTCAACAAAAATGTTTGGTTGATCAAACAAACAGTTTTTTTGTAAAATTAAAAATTTTATTCTGCCTTTTCTCTTTTCTTTTTATCCTTTTTATTTATTTAATTATTTATTTATTATCAATTTAACATTTAATTTATATTTATCCAATTGAAATATTTGTGGACTTTGAAAAATCTCATCTCCGCCTGGGATCGAACCTCTATTTTAAAACTGAAGATCGGGAGCTCTGACTACTGTACTATCCATCCTTGTGAGAAATTTAAACTAACTGTTCTCTTAAGCTATGAGCTGAGAGCGAATTAAATTATTTGGTTGCAACCAAATTTTGATTAGGACAACAAACGATCATTTGGTTTTTTAGACCAAACTATTTTGTTGTGTTAACCAAATTATTTTGTTGTAACTAAATTTTGGTTGGCATTTAATAATGTTCAACCAAATGTTTGGTTTAGATAACTTTACGACTTTGCTTCAGCCAACCAAAATTTGGTTACAAGAACCAAAATTGCCTAACCAAACAATTTTGTTGCAAAAACTAAATTTTTTTTCTCAGTGTAGAAATAAGAAAATTATTTTTTTTTCACATTGTAAAATTTTTTTTCTAACTTCTTTTTTACTATCTTTGGTATCAAAGACTGAAAAAGCTACATGTGATATATATCTTGAATTATCTTGGCAGACGTCATAGCTTTACGATCTATATCCCGTATAGAAGAGGAGAAAACAGGTTTTTATTTCGAGATCTATATACATATATATAAATAATTGTCTATATATGCAATTGGTGAAAAGGTCGAGGTAAATTGTATTTTCTCAAATAGATCACAAATAATAATTGTATATTCTGACATTTTTCAAATTCCATTAATTTTATTGGTTTTTTTTATATATATGTATATAGAAGTTTTCAAATATTGTGCGGGCGAAACTTTCGCGTTGGGGCGATATAATACCGCGGATTTTCCTATAAGCTAAAGGGAGATTCAAAGTTCTAGGAGGGTCCCTGAGATTGACGTCAAACTACTGACGTCAACCAGAACCGTGTCAAAATAATATCGAACCCGTAGGAAAAATCGAATCGAACAATTTTACATATTTTTTTATACACACTGATATTGTCTTTAAATTTAAATTCCATAATTTAAGTTTTCAATTTTGAAAATATCAATAAATATGGTTTTTACTTTCATTTGATATTCAAAATAAGAAGAAAAAAAATTATTACCGTTTTGATCAATTCTCTAATTTTCCCATATTCAATTGTTACTTTATTTATTTATTAATTTTTCAATAATTGATAAATATTTAAATTTTCAGTTATTCTGTAACCTCTATTTTAATTTATAAATCTTTCGTTAATTTGGAAATTATATTAAAAAAATGAAAAGAAGAAAAAGAAAATTTAAAAGAAAATACAATTTTTAGGGGACATCAACCTCTTCAAATTAAAATAAACAAATTTTTGGGGGGATTTTTCCAAACTACTTTTTGGCCGACATAAATTTTTGAAAAAAAAATAATTTAGTATTGCGAAATTTGAAAATGATTGTATGGTTTTTAACCAATACAAATTTAAAGAAAAAAAAGTGCTCTCGTTGAATTCTAACTATTTTGGTCCGACCACGATGGATTAAAATTTGAAAATCAAATGTTTGCCAAAACAGAAAATAATCCACGTATGTATCCGATTAAAAATGATGATTTTCAATCGCATAAGCTTGAAAAAAATACCTTCTCATTTGATGAGAAGGTAAAAACCAATTTTATAATTCTTATATGGAAATTTTTCTTTTTCTACATAAAAAAAATTACATTGAATATAATTTATAGATTAATAATATATATGACGTCTTAAGTATTTTTCATAAAGGAAAAAAGAAATAATAATTAATTGTTATTTAATGGTTATTATTGTGACTTTGCGAAAAATTTCTTTATAATTCACGTGTCCCAAGGCAAAAATTTTAAACTTAAAAATGAATATTATTTTACTATTTTTATCCTTTAGAAACTCTTTTTTTTCTTACAATGAATTACATTATAACGTTCGCAAAAGACGCGAGATTAAAATTCCATTTACATCTAATCTCATTTAATGAGATTAAAAATAATTATATACTTTTTTTTCTTTTTTATCCCGAATTAAAGTGTGTTTAAATTTCTTGTTCTAGTTGTAAAACTATTCATGAAAAAAATATATATACAATTTGCATTATAATTTTTCGTTTCAAAAATATTTTCTTTTTTTTTCATTCAAAAGAGAGGACAATAAAACTTTATTCTGGAGATTGGGAATTTTTCTTAATAAAAAAAAATGAATAATACGTCAAAGCAATATACATTGTATGTATGTGTAATTTTTCATCGATTAATGCGCCACGTTTCATCTTAAAAACAAGTCAACATTTTTTTCATTTGCATGTTAAATATTCATATAACTTATTTCATATTAGCGTCGAGAAATTTTCACTTAAATAAAGTAATAATATACAGTTGCCAATTTTTTATAATTATCCCTTTAAAATATAAATAATTTAGTGATGTTGGTGTATAATTTAACGTCGTAGAATAAAGAAAAAAATTATAGTGACTTTTATTTATATAAAATAAATAAATTAGGTATTTTATTTTTAAAGTTATTTATACATATATTCATATTTATATTTAATTAATATTCAGTTTATATATTTATTTATATTATTTTTTCTTTTTTTAATTAAATTTCGAAAAATTTATCTTTTTTGAACAATTATAAAAACATTTGATAAAAAATGAATAAGAAAAAAGTTCAACTTTAAATTTATCCCAGGTGAATTTTTTTTGTAATTTTCTCTCGCGATTCATTTTAGAGCACACTAATTTTGAAATATTGTTTATTTAAATAAATATTTCTTGTTCAAAAATGAGAAACTCGAGTAAAGATCAGAAAACGAGAGCTCATGGTACACTAAATGATTTATTCATAAAGAAAAAGTGTCGCGGCTCATACCGTCAGAGAATTTTATCAAAAGAGACCCAATATATAGTATATAGTATATAGCTTTCATATACACTCAAAATAAGAAATTGTATAATAGAAATAATAATTAAATCTATATATATATATATGACCTGGGTCAACACGTGCCGGAATGTATTAATAAAAAATGAAAGTAGAAATTTCCCTTTCTTAAAAAATTGTATATTGAAAACTTTTTTATAAAAATTTTTTAATTCAAGGGAACTTTATAAAATTATTTATTAATTAATTTGAATAAAAATTTTGTTCGTGCTAAATTAAATTTTTTTGATTGTAAAAAATAAAATATATTTTTATCTCACAGAGCCTAATAACTTTTTATTTGTTTTTAAAAAAAGTCAAAATTGTATTAAATATTTACCACCTCGGTGACACGACTGTATTAAACGTAACACAAATGATGAAAGTGTCCGCAGAGCGGCGCTGGCAGTACTTTGGCCCGAGTTTAAAACGTTTAAGAGAATAACTATAATAAAGTGAAATAAAGTAAAAGTAAAAAAATTTGTTGAAGTGTAAAATTATATTTATTAATCATAATATACGTAATTTTACTTTATATACATTTTATGTACATTTATATACACTTTATATATATATATATATTCCTGAAAATTCAAATTATAAGAGAATTAATAAGGGCTATATCTTTTATTAATTTATGAATGAATTACACTTATTAATTAATTAATTAATTACACTTATTTTTTAATTAATAATATTAGCAATAATAATTTATTTGTAATAAAAATAAGATTATTTTTGGTATATGTCATATAAAATTTTAGGTACATAGAATTATAATTGCATACAATGAATTTGAATTTCAGAGAAAGATTTAAGTAGATTGCAATTTCGATAATTTTTTCTGTTGAGCTGACAACTGCTTTTGATTGCACAACTGCGTGTGGGCAAATTTACGCATTCTTAATTCTAAATAAAGGTGGAGGGTGTATGCTAAAATATTTTCAGCGTGCTCCACACAAGGAAATTCAAACTCTTTTCCAGAAATTTCATCAATAATTGAATAATAAACATTGTTCTCTTTGCAGTTCTTCAGAAAAGATTCCTCAATCGCTGACAAAAATTTAAATAATCGAAGATTAGGGTGAGTGATTTCGTAATTTTCTTCAAATTGCAGCAGCTGAGAAATCGAATTATTCAAAATTGCAGAATTATTATTTTCGTTTGAAAATATAAATTCAGATCTGCACAATTCACATTTGTGAAAATCCCAAAATTTTTTCGCTACGTTTCCAGCGACGAAATACATTAGACAGTCAACAACATACGGTAAATCATAATCATGGTCAGTTGTGTTGACGAAGTCAGAAAAGTCAGAATCTTCTTTTTGAATAACAATGTTCAGTTTCTCTTTGATTTCTTTAATAAAATCTTGTCTTGTACGATTGTTATTATTTTTAAAAATTTCTTTCAATTCTGACATTTTCATTAAAGGTTTGTTCGACGTTTCAGGTAGAGAACAATTTCCTGTTTTGGGTGGTTTTAGAATGCTGTAGAAAGACAAGATTTTATATATTTGTAGGAAAGTCGGGGTACCAGGATGGTCGTTGGTTCCTCCTGCCAAACGAACTGTTCCAAAAAACCTCTGAATATAAACAAACAGTAATAAAAAATTATTAAATATTTATTTTATTTGTAACTATCTATAAAAAGCGAATAAACACACTATATAAAATATACTACTGTTTATATTTCTACATACACTGAAAGCAATCAACTTCTAAAATTCCAGACAAACACAGAAAATCTTTAAACTATTTCCACCATTTATACACAAACTTATAACAAAAATTACTTTTATACGAACCAGACGATCCAACAGTTCTAAATAAAATATTACGATTATTCTAAAACTAATTTAGAAATTTAGTTTTGAGTAAATGAAAAATATTTTAAATGGGAAGTAATATGAAATAAATTTTCTAGAAATTGATATTTTGTTTGACCAACCTCTAGAGAATCTTGATTTATTCTCCCAGTGAAGACCATTTCAACTTTCCTTGTATTTAGAAAATAATCAACTAAATCTAAAGTAGACTGCAATGTCATACGAAGACCCTGAGCCGTAGGATTAGTAAGGAATTCTGTTTCCTGAATTAAATTATCTTTTACAGCCTGTTCCCATTCGTTCAGCCATTTCAGGCTATTTTCCAAAACCTAGAAATAGTACGTAATTTGTTATCAAATAAAATAATAATTTTTTGCGGGAATTATTTTTAAAAACCTTAAGGGGGGAACACCAGTTGTAACTTTCGAAAAATCAATTTTTTTTTTTGTGCATTTTCTTAAAGTATACATATTTAGAAATGTGTCTGTAAATTTCAAAGTTGATCCGGTGAAAAATAAATGAGATATACAGAACACTGCATCGGCGCGTCCCGTGGCTTCATACAAGGTGGCCAGCCATAACTGACCCTAACGACAGATGGCCTTTTCCTATGATTTAGAAACGGCAACCACTGCGGAAGAGTTATTATATGGTCCAGGAATCGATGACTCTTTGTTACTTGGAAACAAAATTTCTTCTGAACAAAAAAAAGTAAGTTGAAACTTTGAATGCGTTTTTCTCAAAATGACATTTTCCAAGTCGGTGACCACGATTACTCGAATACCATTAAACCGATGTATTTAAAATTTAGTGTGCTTCATTTACACATATAAGTCTAGTTCGTGATCGAAGGATTTTTTTTTTTATGCAAAACTTTTTTTTATATAGCTGAAAATCGACCGTATTTTTTTAACGAAAATCATACTTTTGACTTTGACAGGTCGCCATTTTGTCAAATTTTTTTTTTTTTTTAAATCCTTCGATCACGAACTAGATAATCTTATAATAAATGTAAATCAATTTCATTTTTGTATTTCAGACGAAGTATACTTGCAGAATGCTGGTCACCGCAATTCGCCTTTTTTCTTAAGACGCCACTTCAATGGCTCATATCTCCAAAAGTTTTTGTTAAAAAAATTTTTTTTTTCTTTTAAATTACAGCTTTTTACATGTACTTTTAACTAATAAATAGTATTCTTTAAAAAGATTCATTGTTCTTTTGGAAAATATTCTTGAAAAAAGCATTATTTTTTGAGTTACAACTGGTGTTCCCCCCTTAATATCTTTGCAATCACGTCGAAGAGCAGTTTCTGCTGAAGTTCGATTCAGTGCATCAAACATGTCATTTAATGTCTCACTGAACTTTGCCGTAGATTCACACGTGTTAAGACGCACCTCATAAGCTTTGTAAAAACGCAATCCACGTGCTGCAGATGCACTGAAAATCTATTAAATAAGTATACAAAACAATGAAATTTTTTTTATTTTATGTATTTATTAATCTACTTATATTTTATTTATTTATAATTTATTTTATTTATTAATTTATTTATATTTTATTTATTAACTTATTTATATTTTATTGTTATTTATTTATATATTTATATTTTATTTATTTATAATTTATTTTATTTATTAATTTATTTATATTTTATTTTATTTATTAACTTATTTATATTTTATTGTTATTTATTTATATATTTATATTTTATTTATATTTTATTGTTATTTATTTATATACATATATATTTTTTTAATTTATTTAATTATATTAATTTATTTATAACGTATTTGTTATTTATTTTTATTAGTAAAAATACGCACCTGTAATGCTAAAGATACACGCATTTTGGCCAAACTATCATGTTTTCCAATGTGTACATGCTTTTTACTAATTTTTGGGCATAATTTTATTCCATGGTGTAAACTGTTGTCCACTTCGTGTAAAATAATATAATGGTCCCATTCCACCATTGGTTCATTTGGGTTGACCTAAAATTAATGTAAAACATAATATATTTATTCTTTTTTAAATAAATAAACATATACTTGCCCTTAGTTTTTTCGAATTCAACAAACGATTACGAATGGTCTTCATTAAATGCGGCGCATCGGAAAAGAAAAAAACTTTACGATCTGGATTTATAGGATTCTCAAACCAGTTTTTGAAAGATGAATCCATTTTGCCACTGCATCCCATTAAAGACCAGGCTTTTCTATTTGGAGTACCTCCATCTGCAACTACTCCGTGAATTTTTGCCCCTGCTGATTCTAGAAGCGATATGGCTTGAATCAATATTTTAGCCAATTTTTCACCAGAAGTGGGACCTTTAGAGGCAAAAACTGCTACAGGTTGAGAATAGCTGTCATAGAGTGGCTGAAAGATTAGCACTAATCCATGATCAGCTAACTCTGTCTCAACATTTTTCGTCTGATGGTCCCCAAAATCTTCGACTCCTTTAAACATCATTGTTTTTTTATCTAATTGCAAATTTTTTCTAGTTGACATTTCGTCTACTAGTAATATGCCATCTAGCTGCAACTCTGATTTCTCAGAAAAGTGAGTCTTTAAAATTTCAAAAAATGCAGGATCGAAACCACAAGGACAGTCGAGAACAGATAAATATCTGAAAATTAAATTTTAATAAACTAATCGTTCATTTTCACGTCATTATATGCATGAAAATTATTTTTGTTTAGTTATAAAGTTAAATAGCGTCTATATAGATCCACAATCAAATTTACCAGTCAACGAAAAAAAGCCGAATTCTTGTTTAAAATCAAATTAATTACGTTTATGAATTTTGTATTTTAAAAAAAAATTTTCATATATAATATGTAAGAAATTTAATTTTATTATTTATTAAATTATCCATTACTATTTTTTCGCATTATCATTTTTATACTTTTAATGTTTATGAAAACTATATTTAAATAACGAAAAATTTTGAATTGATTACCTTCGAATAGTTCGAACGCAAGGTAGAGGTAAAATTTCATTTTCGCGTATCATTCGAAACGTTACTGGAGATCTCATGTGGAGTAGCATACACAGAACAATCCATTCATCAGAATATTTTCGATTTTTTTGATTTTTTACTTTGGACGCTTTTAATATTTCTTGAATGGCTAAGTGTTCATTAGAACTTATTTTATCGTTTTTACTTAATAATTCATCAATTGATTGTTCATTAATTTTCTCCATTTTAGTGTGACATGCTTTTATGGAGGCTTTTAGTAAATGAACAGTCATTTGATTGCGAACTTTTGTCCGATTTGCAGTTCTTAATTTTTGAATTATTTTTTTAACTTTTTCTTGTTTTTTTGGGCTAAGGCTTTTTAAATTCAAATAATTCGAATTTTTATTTCTTTGGCGACGAATCTGTTTTTGATATATTAGGGTTTTAACATTTCTACAAAAGTTGCACTGATTATTTTGTTTCGAAATTTCATTTGACCCATTATTTTCAGGCAGCAAGAAGGGGCATTTATTATGTCGTAAGATATCCAGTTTATCTTTGTAACTGAATGTATTCCAAAGATTTTCATTATTTTCACCCTTATTATTTAACTCTTTCGGACTTCCTTCACAAATCCGCCGCTTGTCAATTACTGAAATTATGTTTTCAATTTCATCGATTGAATGAATTTCATCACTTTCGAATCCAAAGTCTTTGTGATTAATAAATTGGCTATTAACTTTTATAATCATTTGCATGTCTTCACCAACAGTAATTTCCTTTTGGCAATAAGAATCAATTTTGCCATTCTTTACCATTCTCGCTACTCGTTTGGAAAAAGTAACACCACGACATTTATTTAAAACAATCTTACTTTTAATCCAAGATGGGGGCATTCGAATATTATTTTTTTCATCAAAAATTTGCTGAAATAAAATTGCTAAATTCGTAGAATCTATCGAAGCATCTGAAACATCATCTTGGCTTTGTTGAATAATTTTAGGCATTTCACATTCATCTTCATTTATTTTAACTTTTTTATGATCATTATCTGGTGGCTCATCCAATTTTCGCTTTTTTGGTAATTTTCGAGGCTCTTTAATAGGCTCATTTCTTCCTAAAAGAAGTGTCGGCAAAGCTCCTTTTCTCAATTGAGGTTTCTGGTACTTACTCTTGTAAAATAAAGAACGTAAAATTTTAACAAAAATATTGGTATTAAAATTATGAATCTGTAATTACCTGGTAGAATTTATTGATTATTGTAAACAATTAAAGGACAAATTATATTACCTGTACACGAGAATCTTTAATATTAACATATTAAAGGAAAATTATTTACATTATTTTTTAATATTAAATTAAAGTAGTTAATAATAAAATTAATTATATTTATTATTATATATAAACAAGAATTATTTTTATTATATTACTTACGTTTTTAAAAAAGTACATTTTTTATACATACCCTTCCTAAAATAGTTCCGTCAGGTGCTGTTAATATTCTTTCATAAAGAATGTCCTCTTTGTTAAAATGTTTACTACATACAAATTTGCCTTTCACCGAAACATCATCTCTAAGAATTGCTATTTGCCATAATTTTATAGACTTAAGATCATTTGGAACAGCAAAAAAGTGAATTTTTTCGTTTGAATTTAGATCATGAATAGATTCATGTTTTTTCCAATCATAGCCAGATTTACAAGCAAAAGCAAAACATTTCACCATTTTTATTTAGTTCTATGTTTCACACAATTCGCATAAATTATTAAAACAATACATCAACTTTACAAAACTAATAAACCATTCATAAATTAAAAAATATTAAAATTATGTGTGTTTTAAAAAATTCTTCTAATTTGACAGATTGTAAACATATACAAACTGTCAGTTTAACCGGCCAAAGTACTGTCAGCGCCGCTCTGCGGCCACTTTCAACATGTGTGTTAGATTTCTTGTGATTTAATACAGTCGTGTCACCGAGGTGATATTTACGATCCAAAAAAAATCTAATATTTGTATTTATATTGAAAATTAAATTCCGAGGCCAGGAAAAAAAAGAAAAAAAAGTGCAACACACTGTTAAAATATAATAGAAATTGTCACACGTTGTGACAAAACGTTTTACAATTTCTGACGTCAATTGTCAAAGATAACGGACGCAGTGAAGAGCAACGAAATCAATTATCTGTCATCTTCGAATAAGACCACGGGATGATTCACATCTTTGAGACATACTCATGTTGGCAGGGAAGATTCCTTTTTACCGGGCACTTTAATTTTTTTTTTTCAGGGACGTACATATATTTGAGATGAAACTTTTCTTGACGTCAATGGGCATATAATTCCCGATTATTCTTTCCTTAAATCATTGCACAATCATTTTCTGTTTTTTTTATGAATGTATACAGCAGAGAATAAGTCATGTAAATATAGTTTGAGGACAAAAATCTTGAGCGTGCGTTAAAAATGCATATTTATATTTATTAATTTTTCATACGTATATTGTACATATATGTGCGTGATGTATTTACCCTGCAATAGGTAATTAGTGAGGAATGAAGAGAAGAGGAAAATGCAGACAAAGAGGAATGACGAACATTGACGTCAATAATTGCTAAGGCTTTAAACTATAAAGACGATCAGAAACGGTTGCGCACGCTCTCGTTACTATGTAGCTGTATACAAAAAAAAATTAAATTAAATACATATATTTTACCTTTTTCAAAAATAATAAATTTTTACCGAGGGAGTCGTGATTATTCTCTAAAACACATTAATTGCCCGCGATTATTGGATTTTATCATTAAAATTTATGAAACCGAATTTTAAAAAATGGAATTTTTGTTCTATCCGACTCTAAATAAATTTCAGATTGCTTTTGGAATAATTCTTGAAATTAAATGCGGAAATTTTGTGAAACTTATTAGACTAGAATATTTTAATATTTAAAAATTACGATATAAATATAGTTAAAATAAATATAGATTTTATTAACAAAATTATATTTAGATATGTGTTAAAATATTATTTTTTTTACTAATGACTAGATTCTATTCAAGTATGACACTTGTCATGACTCATAAAATGAATAAGTTTTTTTAATAATAACATCTAAATGTATGCATAGTTATATTTGATTTCCTAATAGATTAGATGAAACATATTTTTAACAATCAAATCGATGATATGAAATCAAGAGACAAGGTGTCAAATAACGGACTGGTACGAAAATGAATCACTTTTATATATGTATAGAAGAATTTTCTAAATATCTATTTAAACTTTTTTTTTTGACCAAATAAAAAATTTATTAAAATTATATTCAAGTCTTATTATTATTATTATTAATAAAAAAAAATAAAATAAATTAAAATATTTACCTTAATAAAGAATTTTCAGCTTCTAAATAGCCCTCGGAGATCCCTACTTTCAAGTTAAATTTCCATTCAGAAAATTTGAAAAATAACCGTAAAAATAGACCGAGTTCTAAAAAGTCTGAATATGAAGAATTTGGTGTCCTTCAAGATACCCTTTTTTACTTTAGCCCTTATCTTTGAAGTACGTGACACCACAAACCATTGAGGATAGAATCTGCAAAAAGAAAAATTAAAATACTGTCAATTATTCTGACTGACTCCCTAGACCTCTGAGTAAGACGTTGTCACGTCAAAATAATATAGGTATTTAATTTGTAAATATTTATATTTTACGCTTTTTAAAATAAAGTAAGAACGATAGTCCATTAAAAGAAATCGATAATGTGTCATTAATTAAAAAGTTAAAAATTCTTTACAATTATCATATATGGAAAATTATATACTATTTTACAAATCAATATTATTTTCTGCAAGTTAAAAAAAAATAAGACAGTTATTTTATATACACTGAAAAAAAGGTTTCGTATTAACAACCAAACATTTGGTTGGTATTTAAACAACCAAAATTTTTTTTGTTGAATCAACAAAATGTTGGTTGTCCCAATCAAACTTTAGTTAGGACAACAAAAATCCTTTTTTTCTAATTTTGGTTGTGTCAAACAAATTTTGATTGAGACAATTAAAATTTTGTTGATTCAACAAAAAAATTTTGGTTGCTTAAATACCAACCAAACGTTTGGTTGTCAATACCAAACCCTTTTTTCAGTGTATATAAATGTTAAAAACTAGTTTTTCAAAAGATAAGATAAAATAAATATTCACTGTCTATTGTAATATAACTATTTTCGCATGAAAGAGACATGAAATTGCATAAAAAGAAAAAAATCATGTTAAAGATATTTTACGAAATTTTTAAATCTCATTCTTCTAATTATTAATAATTATTAAAAATTTATAAAACATTTTCAATTTCAACGTTTTAATATGCATTTATCTGGAATTTTTAACTTTTTAAGAATTATTAAACGAGAATTTTTTGTCAAATTAAAAAAAAAAACAAATACCGAGAGTTTATAGCCTTATTAGTTTTTGCAGTAGATACAGAATGTCTAGTCAGACAGCGCGCAAGGAGAACAAGTTCGTATGAATAAGACACTTTTTTTATCTCTAATCCAAATTCAATGATTTTTCTGCATTCGACTTTTAATATGATTTATTTATTATTTATTATTATTAATTATAATTTGTAATTTAAACAAACTTTATTTATTTTATTAACTTCATTAGGTATATTGGTTTTTATTATTCTTATTAGTATTTATAATAAAAATTAAATAATTTTTAAAGAAAATTTTTTTTATAAAAACTAATCATGTAATGAAAATTTTTCTCACATTTAAAGTGGTAAAGTTGAAATTGATGGTCGGTTTAAACGCAATAACTATAAAACTTTTTTTTTTATCAGAAAAATTTTGCATGCATAATAAAATCGATCCTATATGTGACATTTCTAACAGTATTGTAGGTTCTTTGTATAACACGAAATGTCAATAAATTACACACGAAATTCATTCATCGTCATAATTTATCTCAATATGAGCAAAGAAAAAAAAACATTGCGCGATAATAAAATTTTATTTAAAAAAAAGATAAGTCTTTTTTTTAAAAGAGAATATTGGTTTTCCTTTTCGTCAAGGTTAAAAGTTTCTTTTCAAATTAACTAACACAAAAGCTATAATAATAACGGACATCAATTCTTAACTCCCATGTAATTTGCCTCATTGTTGAAAACTTTATTTTTATATATAATATACTAATTTGACATAAAGAAAAAAAAGGGAAGTTGCAACACAGTTGCAAGTAATAAACTTTTTATGTGTGAAGAATTGTTAAGTAACATTGTTAATTACAGTAAACGTACAACGCGGAAATAAATTTAAAATAAATTTATTTAAATTGTTTGATTTGAAGTATTGCATTTTCTCTACTGAAAGAGTTTTAACAGACGATACAAAATTTAAGTAGTACAACTCAATGGAAAGAAACGTCAATTCAGGAATTTCCATGATGACTATTTTAAGAAATAATAATATTATTTATATTTATTATTGGAAATTTAAATTTTTTATATTGTAAAGTGCAAAAAAGGGAGTTAAAGTTAAATTTTAACTCCCAACAGGATATTTTAAAAAGTCCACATTTTAGAAATTAAAGCAAAGTTTAGTTGCAGCTCAGAATGTTAATGATAAAAGAGGTAATTCATTTAGTAACTCAATTTTTAAGTTAATTTAAAAATAAAATTTTTTTTCCGATTGCCGTTAAGTACTCCCCTTAGTTTACTTCAATTGAGTAATTTATCACTCCGAAAGGCTTGATTTTTAATTGAACCTGGATAATCTAGAGAAATGAAAGAACTCCTATGGACTCTATTCTCATTCCAGTGGAGTATATTTTTACTCCAGAAATTATAGTAAAAAATTTGTTGGAGAGTAAAATTTTTCGAGTTAGAAATCAACTCCAATAAAGTTACACTGAAAAAGGGTTATTATTGAAAGTAAAATTTATATTTTTAAAAATTTTTTAATTTCCTATAAAGGGTATTTAAAGCATATTCTAAAATTGCAACTCTCGACTATCATTTATTTCGCCAAAAAATTTTTTTACGTCATATTAAAATGTTAACGGGTCTTGAAATGAAATATCGTCGTCCCTGAAAGGCAATGACGTAATGCGTGCGTACGAAGTCGCGAACGACGTTGAATCACGCGGTACAAAAGTGAGGGTGGGAGTCGTCAAGACAGGTCTATTGGGGTAAAATTAGGCGTAGTGGGGAGGCGGGGGAAGTGGGGTGGAAGACCCACGGTAGCGGGGGTTAGTAACATGGCTGCTAGTCAGTCGGTATCGAACCGCCTAGTCGTAAAGTACCGACATGACCCCTAAATAATATAAGAGGGCAAAATCCGGGAAGTGAAAAATAGAAAAAAAAAAATAATAATAATAATAAAAGAAAAAAATGCCATCCACCATTGCCAATGGAATTGGACATTGAGAACTTCTCTTTATACACCAGGTGAGAGTACACAATACTCACAAATATTGAAGAAAATAAAATTAGTTTTACTTCGCATTGGAAAAAGAGAAAATCTTTTTTGTTGGGGGAAAAAAAATTCAATCTCTGATAAAGTTTCTTGGACTTGGGGTTGTATATTTGTGAACCTGGTTGGAAAAATTTTTTTTCATAAGAATTTTCTTTTTCTTTTACTTTCTTTTTTTCTATGCCAATATCGAAAATATTGGGAGTTTGCACATTGAGGATTTTGAAGCACTTTACCGGGGATTTCGCGGCTTCGAACGACCCCGCTAAGTCAATAGTCGAGAGGCCGTCGTTCAATGACGTCAACTCGTGAATTCGCATCCCATCGTGTACTTGTTGCAGAGAGTGCTATTGGCCTCTATGCATTGACCTCTCACTGTGAAGAAAAAAAAGTCAAAGTCGATGTTTTTTTTTTTATTAGTACCGCCCTTTTATATAATATTTTTGGAAATTAAGGAAAAAAGTATGGGGTCAAGATTCTTTTCGAGCGATACGCTCATAGGGTTGATATAGGGGGTGCTAGAGAACGAGACAGAGAAACAGAGTTCAATTATAAACGTCAACTAACAAGATCCAAGGGAGAGAATCAAGTTGAAGGTTTATTCCTTTTTTTCCCTTTCATGTTTTAACATTAAGAATCACTCAATATTATTCCTCCCCTTTTTACTTTATTTAATACCTACTTATTATTTTCTCACTTTCTGACGTTTATGTGAAAGTTACCATTTTATACTCAATGTTGCATTTATATAGAATAAAAAAAAGTTAAATTAATTCTAATCTAATTGTAACGATAAAATTATTTTATTAAAATAATTAAATATAACACTAAAATTAAATTATTTTATTCTAATTGTAACGATAAAAATAACTATATTAACTTTCTTCTTTAAATCAAGCAATTGGAACCAAAAAACGTTTTCTTTTTTCTTTGATTGATACTAGAACTTGTTTTAGATTTTTAAAAAAATGCATTTTTTCTAAACTTGAATCAATTTTTTAGAAAACGTTTAAAAACGTTTATGAATGGGCGAAACATTAAACAATTTGAATGTAAAAATTCAATAATTGTTTTAAAATAGTTTAAAAGATTTAATTTTACACATTTCGTAAAAATAGTATTGTAAATTTTATTTTTTGAGAAGAAAAAATTTTCTTAATAATTTAAATTTAATCAATTGTTTTAGAGTTTTAATTAATTACTAATAATATTTTAATGTCAGAATTTAATAATTTTTATTTTATCTTTTAATTATTGATATTGTTTTATGTTATTATTTTTTTATTATTATTAGCTAATTTATTAAATAAAGTACCACGTAAAATTATTGTTAATTATAGAAAAAACAACTTCTAACACTACATTACAGTTATAATTTTTAAGTTACGCATAGAAAATAATATTGTTATTAAAATCACCGTTACTTTAAATTTTACTGATAGTGAAATGGTAAAAAGAACTAATTAAGTGTATTTAAAGGTGAAAACTTGAGCTTTTTTTTAAAGAAAATTAAAAAATTTAGTAACTACATTAAAAATTTCATAATACTTTTTAAAATTAATCATTTCTTTAATTTATTTTTAATAAAAATCTTAATTATGATATATATAACAAAAAAATAAATAATGTTTTTTTCAATAAATTTTAATTTATAATATTGTAAATATAAATTAATTATAAATTAACATGTTTTTATATATAAATTAATTAATTATATGTAAAATAATTATAAAATTATAAATAAAAAAGCTAAAACTTTTTACTAATCCTTTTGTAAAAAACGTCTTTTAAAATAAAAGGTACTATTTTTAATTGTAATATTATTTTTATACACTGTACGAGAAAAAAATCAATAACTGTTTGTGTATTTCAAATTTGGTAAAAAAAAATATAGGTATTCTAAATAATTAATCGATAGGTTAATCAACAGATTTACGAGATTTAATTTTAGAATAGCTGGATATTTCTAGATTATCATTGTTCCAAATATAATTATTCTCGAGTTCGTTTGAATAAAAATTTTTTCAGTTTATATATATACCTATTCATTTATTATTTATAGCGTATATTGTTATTTATATACGATTTATTTTTTCCAAAAATAAAATTCTATTTGTAAATGAAATTTCATTAGTAAATAAGTTTATAATAAATATTAATATAATTAATGCAACAAAACTTTTTGAGTATTAAAAATTAATTATTTTTCTATTGTTATACTATAATTAAATTTTTATATGTTAGGAGAAAAATTTTTCAGATAATTTTCTTTTTATAATTGGAGAGTGTTTTTCAATTTTTTTTCAGATAAAAAAAGGTAGAGGTCTATATGAATATTTTAGGCTGGCTAATTAAAATTTGACAAGAAAAATGGATACAGGAGGAGGAACAAACAAGAAACAAATCCGAGTTGGATTTTATGACATCGATGGTACCATTGGGAAAGGAAACTTTGCTGTCGTTAAATTGGCAAGACACCGAATTGCCAAAACCGAGGTACTAATATATTAATATGATAAACAATTAAAAAATATCATGTACCTGAAGTTCTAAGCGATCAAGTTAACGAAAAATTTATTTACTACTTTTTAACTTGAAAATTTTATTATAAAATATTGCATTCTGTATCCAAATATACATAATTTATTAAATTAATGTACGTGATTATTTATCACTACTGTAGTAATTTTTTAAAAAAATTAAGGACAAAAAAATGATTTCATTCATTCAGGTACATAGAATATCAAATTTACGTAATTTCAAAGAAAAGATCCACGAATTATTAAATGAATCTCATTATACTTTCATTGAACCTTTATTTAACGCATTTGATACACGTGTTAATCAATAATTCATGAAACTATCTATATGTTCTATTTGCCATTAAATTATAATAATTATACTATTACTATTTACTATATATTATAAGTCAAAATTTTCTTCACAAGTTTAATTTTTTTTCTATTAAATATTCTTCATAATTATTATAATTTCACATAATTTTTAAATGAAAAAATATTTACTTTAAAACAAAAAATTATTTTTTATTAATACGAGAAATATTTCTACGCAGGTAGCTATTAAAATTATCGATAAGACTCAGCTAGATCCAACGAATCTCGAAAAAGTTTACAGAGAAGTGGAAATTATGAAACAATTAGAGCACCCACACATTGTTAAATTGTATCAAGTGATGGAAACGAAAAATATGATATATATGGTAAGAGAAAAATTACAGCAAATGAATTTCTTTATAAAAACGAATTAATTTAATTCTACAATTCAAAATCAATTTGAAAATTTTTTCAAATGAAAAAGAAAAATTCTTTAGAAAAAAAAATTTTTTTTTTATATTTCCTATCTTTGGATTAATTTTTCAATGAAAAAAAATTATCTGATTCAAATAATCGGTTACTTATCAAATAAATATTTACTTGAACCAAATAATTTTTATTTGAATTCAATAAATTGTATTTGAACTAATAATTTCTGTATTTTAAACAAATACGATTTAATTGACTCAAATAATAATTTTATTTAATACAAATTTATATATGATAATAGACAAAGTAACCAATTATTTGTATCAAATAAATTTTTTTTTCAGCGTATAATAAAAATAATGTTTTGAAATGTTAATTTTTTATGTTTTATTTTTTAGGTTTGTGAATATGCGAGCAGAGGTGAAATTTTCGATTATATTGCAAGATATGGCAGAATGGGTGAGCCACGAGCTCGATCAACGTTTGCTCAAATTTTATCAGCGGTTGAATATTGTCATTCGACAGGTGTTGCTCATCGTGATTTAAAAGCTGAAAATTTACTTCTCGATGCTCAAATGAATGTGAAAATTGCTGATTTTGGTTTTAGTAATAGATTTACGCCTGGAGAACGTTTGAGCACTTGGTGTGGTAGTCCACCTTATGCTGCACCGGAAGTATTTCGCGGTAAACATTATGCCGGACCAGAAATTGATGTTTGGGTAATTATTATTTAAAAGAATATCATTTTTCCTAAAAAATTAAACTATACTTTTTTACATTTTGAAATTTCGTTTAGAATTTTTCTAATTTTTGAATAAATAGATATTTTTATTTATTTTAGAGTCTAGGAGTTGTTCTCTATGTTTTGGTTTGTGGAGCACTGCCATTTGATGGATCAACTTTACAATCATTAAGAGATCGCGTTTTAAGTGGAAGATTTCGTATTCCATATTTTATGAGCACAGGTATGTTTCTTAATTGTTTTAAAATATAATTTTTTATTTATATTTCAATTTTTAATTTAATTTAATAATTTAATTAATTAAAAATTAAAAGAAGAAAACTTTTAATACGAAAAAAGAAAAATATTATGAGAATTTGAAAAAAAAATGTAATCAATTCAAATCTGATCTAATAATGCAGAAAAAATCATTTTCAAAAAAATACAAAACTTTCGAAATGAAAAAGATGGAAAAAAATTATTAAATTTTGCAGAATGTGAGAGTTTAATTCGAAAAATGTTGGTTCTGGAGCCATCGAAACGGTACACAATTCCCCAAATCAAAAGACATCGATGGATGGCTGGAGCCGCTGATGCAATTTATACAACAGCTTCTACAATTCCCAGTGCACAACAAGAACCCAATGATCAAATTCTCAGACTTATGCATAGTTTGGGAATCGACGTTGCACGTACAAGAGAGGTAATAAATAAATATTTCTCCCCTTTTTTTTTTATCAATAATAAAGAAAATTTAACAAAATTACATTTACATTCCAAAAATGCAATTTTATTATATTTTAAAATAAAAATTAATTTTATTTGTAATTAATTATTAATTTTTATTTTAAAAATAATAATTAATTTTAATTTTTAATTAATATTTAAAATAATTTTTTTGTAAAATTGTTTACAGTCGCTGAGAAATAATAGTTACGATCATCACGCGGCAATATACTTTTTACTATTGGAGCGAGTTAAACAACATCGGACCAGTAATTCCAACAACAGTTGTTGGTCTTCTGCGACAAGACAAAAAGAGGACAAATACAAATCAAGGTATGAATATATATATATTTCTTTTTTTTTTGCCAAAGCACTTATCTAATTTTCTTACTTCGATTCTTTTGCACAAAAATTCACAATTTTCACGTATTTTTCTAATAAATGTGTATTTTATTTGTCGTCTTTGCAACCTTGCACAATTTTTATTAAATAAAAAATTAATTCCAAAGAATAAAACAACTAAACATAAACCGCATTAATAAACAAATAAAATTGTTATAACAAAATAATAAAAAAAATGTTTTAATCATCGAAATAAGGTAATAAAAAAAATTATTTTTTTCTTTTTTTAAAAAAAATTAAAACAAAATTAAGAAAAAACAATGTGTAAAAGAATTGAATGTATCAAGACAAAAAAAAACTTCCAATCCTGCCTGCCAAGAACAATCGACCAACACCTGATGTACATTTAACAATTATTTTATTTATTGATTTATTTATTTCCAGCGATAGCTTAGTGGGACGTTGAACGTAAAATGATGATGCAGAAATTGGAACATTTTTCAAGACAGGTTGGATTGGAAGGTCAATGGCTGTCTTTTTCTGTTTTTTGGTAATTTATTTTCCTTCCCTAAATTATTCCTATTCAAAATTTTGTTTTCGTTATCTCTCTCTCTATATATATTGATTTAATAAATTTAACCATTTTTTTGTTTCTTTCCTAATTTTTTTTATCCAATTTAATTCATCTATAGCCAATCGATGATCTATAATATTCATTATCTACATATTTATAATGAAATTTTAATTCCATTTTTTGGGTGTCGTTTGAAAATTGTTTAGGTATATTATACAATAACCATAATTAAAATAGATAAATTAAAAAATATATTTAAATTAATAAAAACATAATTTAATTAATTAAATCAATAAAAAAAATTTTTTAATTATTATAAAAATATCGATGATTCGTGAATAAAAGTTTGAGAAAATTTTTTTAAAAATAAGCTTCGGTATATGAATCATTAAAAAATTTTCATTTTAGTTTAGGTTAGACTGCACTGAAAAAAAGTATCATTGATTCAAGAAATTCATTGACTTGTCCGTATTTGATCAACTAATTTTCTTAATTCAAGAAAATAAGAAAAATAAAAATTCCTATTTTAAAAAAAATAAATATGTAAATTATCTGAGAAATAATTAAAATAAATTAAATTTTTCTAAAAAAAATTATTAAATTCCTAAACTTAACTAAGACTAAAAATTCTCTACCGAAAAGTCTAAAAGATAAATGTACACATCAAGTGTAATTAAAAAAAAATAATAAAAAATAGTAAAAACTGCGATATAAAAAAATTTTCATCACTGATTCACGTTACAGAAGAGAAGAAATGGGTAGAGCAGGAAAAAGATTCAGTTCAACGAGTTCATCAACAGATGAGGGATGTTGCAGTGCTGAGGGTGATTTAGAAGAGGGTCCAAGTGGCGATGAATTAAGAGAAGCACAAATAAAATTGGAGGAACATAGATTGGGTCTGGATCAAGATATCAGTCAAAGAATTGATAGTCAAATTGTGAATAAAAGGTTGAGTGATTATCAGCAACATCATTTTGATGGTCCAATATTGGACTCGGTGGAATCATCAAGTAGAGCTGTACTTTTTGCGACTGGTTGCAGTCGTGGTAGTTCATCATCAGAATTATTTGAATCCAGTTTTGACTCTGGCTGCCCACCTGATTATTCAGTAACAAGTGCATGTTTCACGAGCAGTTTGCCATCCTGCACGCCTCCAATACCACAAAGTCCATCTCCTGTAGCTAGAATATCGAGAGCCTCACAAGGAAGACGAGCATCTGACGGTGGTCCACGATTATTATTTAGTCAACAAGGTGGAGGTGATAGGCCAGTTAAGCAGCGAAGCATTCAAGGTAAAATTAACCCATTTTTTAGACAGTATAATAATTAAAAGTATCTCTGTAGTTTTAAAACCCGCAGTACTTGTATGATTCTACAAAATTTGTAGTTTTTCAAAAAAAGGAAAAACAACTGAAATATTTACTTACTATAAAAATATCCAAATGTTGAAATAATTTGTAAATCATTAATCTCTGTCACAAATTCCGAAATCGAAATCCTAAACCCTAAAAATCGCATTTTACAAAGAAAAATAATTTTGCAAATCAATTCAAAGAACCACTTGTCATTTTATGGTAGAAAATTGAATTTCTTTTTTCCTAAAGAGAGATTCTGTAATTTTTTCAGACTCAGGAAAGGCAAGAGGTCATTTGGATCTTGTCCATTTGAGATCACCCTCAACACCACCGCAAAATCATCAATCACATTTTAAAATACGCGCAGAATCTGGAACTCAATTGCAATTATTGGTTCAGCAGAGAGTACTTCAGCAGAAGAGAAATTTGTATCATAGACACAGAGGTGGAGGTAGTCCAACACCAATTCCTGTGCCATTGAGTGGATTTTCACGATTAGGAGGTGAAAATGTCCCACGTCAAGATAGTTACAAATTTGCTCAAAGAATGCAAATTATGCCAACATTATCACAAGAGCATGGAGACGATGATTTTGCTCGAAAAAGAGAACGCGAGGAAGAAAGGTGGAAGAGTTTGCCGTCACGATTAGCGGCAGATTGTCAATTAGCTGAAAGAACACTCCTATGGAGTCATCAGGTAATCTCATAGTGAGCTTCAAGTTACCCCTTTATATTCATGTGGAAGTTAAAATACTCAGGAAGAAATAATAATATTTTCTTTCAATTTCTCATTCATAAATAGATGAATTTTAATATTTTTATTTCTATTTTATTCTATGTTATTGCAAGTTCTATTATTGTATTATTTCTATTATAGTTTATCTCTCGATTCATTTCATTTTATTACCCCAAAGAGTTTATTTCACTAAATTTTATTTCATTCACTATTTTTTAATAATAATAATTGAACAAAAATATTGTAAAAATTTAATGACATAAAATTTAGTAAAATTTAATAATAGAAACGAACTGTTTAAATTTTTAGTTTAACTATATTCTTATAAAATTCACTAAGTGTTAAATTTTCTGAATTTTTATTGATATTCTGGAAAAATTATTTTTCTTAATTTATTTTTATTCTTTCATTGATTTTTCCTTCGTTGAATTCCACCTCAACTCATAGATGTCGCCAAGTATTTTTTGAAAATTATCAAAATAGAAATAATTGTTTTTTTATCAAAACGCTGAATTTGAATACTAATTATTCGATTTTTAATTTTAATTTGCAATTGCTTTATTTCAAAATATGTACTTTAATAATAAATTAAAAATAGAAAAGAATTTTATCGAAAGTTTTTAAAAAAGCAAATAAAAAATGAAATAAAATTAAAATATAAAAATATAAATGCAATGTAAAAATCTACTAAAAGGTATATACAAAATAAATAAATACAATAACATAAAAGCACATAAAATTATTATTATTATTATGTGTTGAGATGGAATCCACTTTTTATTTAATCATCTTTTATTACTCGTTATTATTGTAAAAAATACAAAAAAAAGATCAATACGACTAATATTGTCAAAAAAATTCTCACATCAGAAATAAAATTCTATTCCTGAATTTTCTAACTTCTGTTTTCATTATCATCATGAGAAAATTAGATTATAGAAGAAAATTAGTTGTAAATTAATCTTATTCTGTTACAACACACTTTAGACAACGAATTGTTCAATATATACATATATTCATTAATATTTATAAGTAATACTTTTCAGTTTTAATTAGAAAAAGTAGTAGTTATGTAGCATGTGTTTTAATTTCTTCTTCACAAGAAACTATTAAATACCTATCACAAACTACATATCCAACACAAACGCATTTTTTTCTAATTTGCTTTTATTATATATTTAAGTTTAAGTTCTTTTTTTCAAAAAAAAAAAAATAAATAAATAAATAAATAAAGCACGTAAATATAATGAGTGAGAGTTATGACTTGGCGACTTTTATTGTACGAAAAAATAGATACGAATATTTTACACTATTTGTAATGATCACCATTTATAGTTAGTACCTGCATTCTGTTCCTAAAAGCGATTTGTTTGTTTTGAATAAATGATTATTTTTCTTTATGCGTTATAAATTATTCTTATTTGCCTTTAAATATTCCTTTGCCCGATATCACACCCTTGAGAAAATATGTATACTGAAAATCAACTGTTAATCAATTGAATAACCAACTTGTTATATAATTGAGTCTAAAAAGATTAATGTGATAATTTACTTATTAAAAAAATTATTAACATTTTTTAAACTCATTTAAAAGTAAAATTTTTAAAAATATTTTTAAAAGTACAAAAAATAAAAACAAATATCCGAATTTCGTCAGTTGATTTTCTTTATATTTTGCAAAAGGATGTGATTAGTTTTGAGCCCTAAATGTTGTTTTTCATTTACAGATTCACTTATTTTATAATTGCTCCTATTGTAAAAAAATTACCTTACTTGACAAAAGCTTTTATTATTATTATTATTGAAATTGTAGATATTTTTTAAAGTCAATTCGCAAATAAAATTTCAACACATTTCAAAAATTCCCAAACAAAAAGTATTCAACTAATATATTAATAAATAAATAATATAATAACGTTATAATTAACTTAACCAACATACAATGATGAATTAATTACAATTAATACAAATTTTTTGAATTTTTTTCACAATTTAGAAAATTTTTGAAATGCGATTGAAATTACTCGGAAATTTAAAAACAATTCTCACGAATAACCAAATAAAATTGTAATTTTTTTCAAAATAAGTGGCAAATTAAATGATGGACAAATTGATATTAGGTGGGTTTGGGAGGAGGCGCATCTTACTTACCACCCGGAAGTGTGGGTGGTTTCTTATGGCCTCCTGGAAGCAGTCCTCACTCAACGATTTTTGAAAATGTCAACGATTCAATGGAGTGATTAAAAATCTACTTTACATCAAAAGAAATAAAAGACAAATGATGAAATTTACAAAGATTTTTTAAAACAAGAAGAAAGCCAATATCCAGGCTGAACTGTGGTCAATAACTATTTCTAGTTTTTTTTTCATTCCACAGCAATATGAGATTAATCAATTTTCTACATTCCATTTTTTCACATCGACCAGAAACATTTATATTATATATATTTTTTCTCTTCTAATTTATATATAATTAAAAAATAGATTTTTCATCATTTATATTATTCCAATAAATTCAATATCGTCTTGCCAGATGTTGATTACTTATTAAATTTTACAAATTTTTTTTTATCTAGAAAATGATATGCGAAATAACTATAATATCGTTAGCTTTTAAATTATATGATAAAGAAATTGCGAACGGCTGATGGCACGTGCTACCAAAATGTTATCGCTACAAAAAAAAAATATATATAACTTAGTTCAATCTTAGGGTCTCTTAGAGTCTCTACAACGCATTCATGTAGGGCATGGTCATCAAACTGTGCTTTCTTGAATTTATCGCGGCGATATAGTCGCGATGCGACGTCAGTCGGCTTTTATCAATTTTCTCAAAAAAAAATCAACAAAAAATTTAATCTTTTTCTCTTACAAAAACTATCATATTTTGCAAACAAAGTTGAATATCTTTCTAAATTAAAAACAAATATTTCACAGTAGACTCAAATTATAAATTTTTAAAATTAAATTTTTTCTTTTTTTTAATATTTTTTTGTTATTAAATTAAATGAGAAAATTTTCAAAAAAAAGTCGTCCGACATTGGTTCGCGATTAAATTGTGTTGTTTATCGACGTTCATTATATAATTAATAAGGAAAACAATAATCATAATTAAGAATAGTCCAGCGTTTCGAAGGTAGCACGTACGCCTTATTATACGACTGATATATATATATTATATCTCTATCGAATACCAGTTTTATTGATAGACTGATAAAAGTAAATTAAGCAACACCATAACTATTAAAAAAAAAAAAATCGTACGAAAGAACAAAAGTGACGTGAGTCTCATTTTTTTATACTGTTCTATTTTCTATTATTATTGCACTTTTAATCATAGTGTTATAAATACGAACGTGGAATTGTAAGGGTTGATCTCGATAAACGAGAATTAAGTTCAGATAAAGTCCAACATTCTGTAGTCAATCTCTGCTTTTTTTCAATTAACATATACGAAGATGAGCATTGAGAGAAAATGATTTCGCAAATAATTATGATATTTTGCAAAAATGCAAAAAAAAAGTTTTGCTCATCTCCAATTTTTCTCAACTGCCAGAATATATGTAAATAATAGAAATTTGTGCTCAAAGATATTAATTGTTATGGAGTAGATGTTTCAAAAGAAAAAGTTATCAGCAGTGATGCTGGCTGCGAATGTAGGATCTTAAAAAAAGGTATATATGAAACTCACGCCATGAATGTCTCTTTTGAAAGATGACAAAAGAGTGGAAAAAAATGTTATTAAAAGTAAAAGAATGTTAAAGAACGATAAAATATACATCGATTGCCTAACACGATACGTACAAAAAGAAAATTTGTCGTGTCTCTCTTCCACTCTTAATATAATAGTGTCCAAAAAAAAAAAAAAAAAAGAAAAAAAAAAAAAACATTTAATGATGATAATAAAAGTTGCAATTAGAAAATAAAAAAAAAGTAGTTGATGCAAAATATAAAAAAGATTTTAAAAACTGAGTCTTTTTTAATAAAATCAGATAGTGAAAGTAGTTTATAATATACAAATATATATATAAAGTTAAATAATCGAATATATAACTTTATATAAAATTATAAAATTTAAAGAGATAAAATAATTTTTTTCACGAATTATTCATCACTATTTGATTTTATTAAAATAATATTATAGCGAAGAAGGAAGAAGTGTTGCGTTCTTCATAGATCAATCAATAAAATATACAATTTTTTTTAAAACCCCGTTTTACTAGATATAAATGTTTACTAATAAAATAAAATTTAGAACGTAATTTTAGAATAAAAAAAAATCTGAAAATACAAACATCATGTCTATTAGAAAAGAAAATATATAGAGCCGGCTCAAAAAAAAATTGCCACTTTTTGATAATGTAAAATAGAATAATGTGTTTTTTTCTTTGAGTAAAGAGAAAAAAAACGAATACAAGACTTAAAAAGAGCGAGAATAAGGACTAATACACACTTGGCTTCAAGTAGATTTAGGTTTTGCAAAAATGGTGACGAAATCGGGAAGTGGCATGTTATTCTTCTTTATTTAAAGGTTTAAAAAACGTAAAGACCAAAATCTTAGCTGATCCTTTTCTCAAGTTATTGTCAAATTAAAATTTTTTTAACGAAATTTATATAAGATAATAAGAGAATAATTATTGCACATTAGTTTAATTAAAAAATTTAATGTTTTTAGTAACAATTAACTATCTTAAAAATAACAACGAAGATATTTTTCTTAATTATTTTAGTTTTAATTAACAAATTTAACACATTGGAATCATCGACAATTTTCTCAAAGGTGTTTAGAAGAGAACTCGATTACTGCTTTTTTGAATCGATTTAAATAGGTAGGATCGTCAATCAAATTAATTTTGTAACGCTCCCAAAACATTAAAAATTCTCGGTGAATTGATTCACCAGCCTGTTCTGACCACAAACGTAAACCACGATTTCCTAAAAAACTCAAACTTTCTTGAATGTGTGATGTTTTTGCAAAACCTAAATCTACTTGAAGCCAAGTGTGCTTAGAGGTACGGAAGCTACCGAAACTTTAAAAATCCATGTCGCAGTAACACACATTCAAGAAAGTTTGAGTTTTTTAGGAAATCGTGGTTTACGTTTGTGGTCAGAACAGGCTGGTGAATCAAATCACCGAGAATTTTTAATGTTTTGGGAGCGTTACAAAATTAATTTGATTGACGATCCTACCTATTTAAATCGATTCAAAAAAGCAGTAATCGAGTTCTCTTCTAAACACCTTTGAGAAAATTGTCGATGATTCCAATGTGTTAAATTTGTTAATTAAAACTAAAATAATTAAGAAAAATATCTTCGTTGTTATTTTTAAGATAGTTAATTGTTACTAAAAACATTAAATTTTTTAATTAAACTAATGTGCAATAATTATTCTCTTATTATCTTATATAAATTTCGTTAAAAAAATTTTAATTTGACAATAACTTGAGAAAAGGATCAGCTAAGATTTTGGTCTTTACGTTTTTTAAACCTTTAAATAAGAAAGAATAACATGCCACTTCCCGATTTCGTCACCATTTTTGCAAAACCTAAATCTACTTGAAGCCAAGTGTGAATAGATAAATCGAATTTTCTAACAATAATTTGACAAAAAAATCTAGAAAGCAACTAATTTTACAATCAGTTTTGATCAATTACGTGAGTTAAGAATTAATCCGAAATAATTATAAAATAGTCAATTATAACAGTACGACTATAAAAATTTAGAGCAAAGAAAATATGGGAATAAAAGAACAATTAATAGAAATATAGAAATTAATAAAAGTAGAAATCAATTAATATTTAAATATAGAATTCATTGAAATACAAAACAATTTAAAAAACAGAATTATTTCCAAAAAAAGTAGGAACATTAATAAAAAATATGGAAGCAAATTAAGAAAAATAAAATAGTAGTAGCCATTTTTTGCAAGTTTTGAAACAAATTTAGAACAAACGATAATTAATAGAATTTGAATTTTTAAATCTTTTTTATATAAAAAATATCTGCCCGATTGAAAAGTTTATACAAAAAATAAAAAAAACTCGCTGCCTTATGGAATTGAGCCGGCCCTAGTTGGTTAAAACAGTGAGAACAATAAAAAAATCGTTGACTTTTTAAATTACAAAACCTTTTACTCTTAACAACTATAAAGAAAAATGTTTATAGAAGACGGACAATCGAAAATTGGAAAAAAACAAACATTTTGCAGTGTCAGAATTTACGATCAAACTCTGAACACTGAAGACGTCACTTCTTTCTATATAACGAATATTATATAGTTGAATAAAATATTAAATTGTAAAATGTAGGTCGATATAGTTGTATTTAGAAAAGCAATTTTCCGACCACATAAAAACCATAACTGACAACGACTACCCATATTCGAATTCTTCATCATTTTTTACCCATCATGAAAAAAAAAATAAATAAAAACGAAAAAACAATCAAACTTCGCTCAAGAATCTTTTTGATAAACGCATCAATAGATATTAAGTTTTAGCTTTTAAATCTCGATGAATCTATCATTCTCACTGCAAGCAAAAATAATTTTTCTAAAGAGCTAATTTGCAAAATTTTTTCTTTTTGGAATAAACTTTTTTACTCTATACTTGGACAATACTATGAGAAATATTTTTACAAGATAATAAAATAATAGAAAATTTCTATTATCATGATGAAGAAAAAAATGTTCTTAAAAATTTGTTTACTAATGAAAATAAAATCAATATCAAATTTTTTTTGACCATTCAAATTTTTCAATACCATTTAGATATTAGATTTTTGTATTTTCAAAAGAAGAAACGAAATTTCCATCGAGATTTCAAAAATTTTCAAACAATTTAGAAGCAAAAATTTCAAATAATTAAAATTAATCTCAATTTAATTTTTGTCACTTCAAAAAGAATGTTATATATAAATTTTACTTGTAAGAGAAAATCAAACCTTCGTTGCCTTTTTAGAATAATTTAAATTGATGTTGTTTTCTTTAAATAATAAAAAAAAATGTTTAATTATTCCTTTTGTTTTTTTTTCAACTAGGCGAAAAGTTCAAATTTCATGGTGCATTTGTTATTTTAAATCACATGTTTTTTTTGTAAATGATATGTGTAAGAAAAAGAATTTTTTTTCTTAACACATAAAATTGCGTAGTCAATAGCACATATGTATTTTTTAAAGTGATTATTTGCTATCAACGTTAAAAAAATATGAACAAGAAAAAAAATGGGGTCAAATTTTATGATCATATCAGAATGTAAAAAATGAGGAATCGACTCAATGATCGCTGAATGATAGTAAATAAATACTATTTGTAAATTATAGGGCTGTCAATGATATATACAAGTGGATATAGAATAATAAATAAAAATCTGTATGAATTAAAATAATCGCTTTCATTATTTATTAGGAATTAAAGAAAATTTCTTTAAATTTTTTTAAAAGTACCTCTATTTGTCGTTAATTTCTTATTGTTATGTTACGTCTTACTAAAAGCGTTAAATATTAATTAAACCAATCTTTGCCCAACTCTTTTGCCTTTTGCATACTGTCTGCAACCTTTTTTTTGTAAAGCCCAATAACTTCCTCTTTATCAACTTGAAATATGTCGCTACCAGTTTTTAAACTATTAATTGTTGCTTCCTCTGCTGTAAGATTTTCCTCTTTGCTTGGTTTTAAAGATTGACCATCAGGATCTAACTGTTTATTATTATAATCGTTTACGATCTTTTCTGAATAGACTGCATTAAATAAATCCTGAGCTGTAAATTCGCTCTGATATACATCTTCAGATTCATATGTGACATATGGTTTTAATTTGCAATCCTTTAAATCAGGAACAATAATTTCAGGTATCATTTCTGGTATTACAACAAAGTCTTTCCCACTTTCATATCCAATACTTCTTACTCCCCGTGCTATAAACATTTTGTTAATTAAATTGCGTATTTTTTTAAAGCTATTTGCTATTTTTATATACCCGATGGTAAATTTTTTATGTATATTTTATTCCCTTTTTTATCCAAATTTTTGGAGAAAATATTTCAATAATTATATTATTTTATAATTATAATTATAATCGAAAATTGAGATATTTTGTTATCTCTTTTGGAAAAAAGTTGAATCAGCGATTAAATTTTGTAAAAATGATCCTTAATAATGTTTATTTTCGGAAAAATTTATTTAAAATTTAAAAAAATAACTTACTGTGAGCTGGAAGTTCTCGATCTGGACCTGCTTCACGTTGTTTTTGAAGTTTTGTTCCTCTTTTGCCGTAAAGTAAAAACTTTCGGAAATTACGTTTTCCATAGTTAGCACATGAAGTAGAAATTCCTCGACTTATAATCAAACATGCAGAAGCCATTTTCGTTACTGAATCTGAAAAAAAAAAATTTAATTATATATTAATTCAAATTGGTATGATTTAAGGATATTTTGGGTATCTTTTTTATTCTCCAAATAATTAAAAATTAATGCAAAAGAATTGGGTTTCTTTACATTACCAATAAAGTACAAAAAATAAAGACAGTATTAATCAAATTAATGTGAAAATAAAAAACATTATTATGAATTTAATGTATATCTTTTTCATATTATTTTCGCGCAATAATATGAAAATTGTATTTTTGTGAGGTTATGTTCGTAATTCATGTTTGAACCGCACAAAGTTATTATAGAAAATTCTAACAAAAAAAAGTTAATTTCTTGTAAATTTGTCAATAACACAGACTATATACCTATAATATAGGATAATGATTATATTTCCAATATTTTCTAAACATAAAAACGATAAAAACTATAGTATACTAATTGTTTAATTCTTAGAACTTCTATTTCTATTCTCTACATAAAAATTCTAGACAATGAGCAGCGCATGCGCAATTGAGAAATCCATTGGTTGCAAAATATAAAAACCAAGAAAAGTTCCAGTATACTAACTTTTCATAAATATTTATAACAGATACATACCTATATTTGAAAATTACTGCTAGATTTTCCAAAAACAATGCATATTTTATTATTATTATTATTATTATTATTATTATTATTATTATTATTATATTAGAGATTATTAGAGTTTTTCTAGACGCAAAAAAATGATTAATTTTCTTTCAACAATTTTCAAGCACTACACACAATAGAACGTCCGAAATATGAAACTTTGAGCAATGACGTCATCATTTTATTATGAAACCACCTTAATGATTACTTACGCGAGGGCGCTACTTGTACAGAGGGAAATTTTAAAAATATTGAAAATACAAATTAATTGATTAAAATTTAAAATACTAATAATTCCACACATTTTACATATATGCTTAATATTCTAATATTAAAAAAAATGTTATGTGATCTTTTTTTATTACAAATTTAAGTTCACAGATAACAATAAAATGAAATGAAAATAATTTAAGGAAAACGAATCGCCGCCATATTATTTTTTGCAACACATAACCTTAAAATTATTGCAAACCACGTCATCTAGTGAAATATACACACATATATAAAGAATAATAAAATTTAAAAAGTGATTATTCAGGTAAATTTTTACACCATTTATTTGTTTTTTATTTATGTAGAATATTGTTATTATAAGTATTAACGATAGTAATACATATTTAAAAGTGAAACTCATGATGAATATTATAAAAAAAATTTTATTTTTAAATTCCTCACCAATTGAACTTTGAATTAATGATAATATACATGATTATTGTGTATATATAGGTATGTATATATAAAAGAAAGTTAAGTCACTTATAAGGTTAAAGTCCATGGAACCGTATAAACAGAACAGTAGATTTCTTATAATATCAACAAATTTTTCCATTAAAAATTAACGTAAGAAATGTTTCACATTTTTTTATAATAACAATATTTTTAACAATTGAATTTATTATAACAATAACATGGAATTCATGAATAGGAAAGAGTAACTTGCGTTTAATCGAGTTGAAAGGAGTGTAATTTAAGATCTCTTGTTTGATAATAACCTTATTTTCATTTTATAATACCTGTAAAATTATTTAAAAGTTTAGAATTAAATTACTATTTCTTAATAAAAAATTTGTCAACAGAACATCACAATTGGTCTTTCTATAAAATATTCTTATTCATTTTGTCTTTACTAATTGAATTATTTTTTTTACATGAAAACATTGATTTTAGGTGTCAACAATGATTAACACTGGGAAATTAGCAGGTTGTACTGTTTTTATAACAGGAGCATCGAGAGGTATTGGAAAAAGTATTGCATTGAAAGCCGCGAAAGATGGAGCAAATGTTGTAATTGCTGCAAAAACTGCTCAAGTTCATCCAAAATTACCAGGAACAATTTATACGGCTGCGGAGGAAATTGAAAAGAATGGTGGACGTGCACTTCCATGTATTGTTGATGTTAGAGATGAAGGACAAATTAAAACAGCGGTAGACAATGCAATTAAAAAATTTGGTGGTATTGATATTCTTGTAAATAATGCTAGTGCAATTTCATTAACAAGTACACTTGCCACTGATATGAAACGATATGATTTAATGAACAATATTAATGCGAGAGGAACTTTTCTTGTGTCGAAAATGTGTTTGCCACATTTGTTAAAGAGTAAAAATCCTCACATTGTTAACATAAGTCCACCATTAAATATGAATCCAATTTGGTTTAAAAATCATGTTGCCTATACAATGGCAAAATATGGAATGTCAATGTGTGTTCTTGGTATGGCAGAGGAATTTAAAGATGAAGGAGTTGCAGTAAATGCTGTATGGCCTAAAACAGCTATTCAAACAGCTGCTATTGAAATGTTACAAGGTGGCGACTCAGCAAATTATAGTAGAAAACCTGAAATTATGGCAGATGCCGTTTATGCCTTAGTTTGTAAAAATAGTAAATCAGTTACTGGAAACTTTTTCGTTGATGAGGATTTATTAAGAAAAGAAGGAATTACAGACTTCACTCAATATTCATGTGTCCCAGGAAATGAACAAAGTTTAATGTTAGATTTTTTTCTGGATGAATCGATAAATTCACAACAAAATGAAAATAAGACTGAAAATAATAATTGTGCTACTAAAATAGCTAATTTATTTTCAGTTATTGATGGTAATTTAAATTCAGAGCTTGTCGATAAAGTTGGAGCAATATATCAATTTAATGTGAAAGGAGAAGAAGAGGGTGTTTGGTTCATAGATTTAAAAAATGGAAAAGGTGCAACTGGTAGAGGTGAACCAAATCAACCAGCAGATGCAGTTCTCACTATGGATTCGCAAAATTTCTTTGCCATGTTTACTGGTAAAATAAAACCTGCCTCTGCTTTTATGACTGGTAAATTAAAAATTACGGGCAATATTCAAAAAGCAATTAAATTAGAGAAACTAATGGTAAATTTAAAGTCAAAACTTTAAAGAACTTTACTAACAATTTATTAATCAAATATAAAAAGTTTTGATTTATTACTTTAAATAGGTATTTATCGATAATGACAATATTTATATATATATATACAAATTGTTGATCTATATTTTTTATAATCATATATAAAAGTCCATGTTCTTTTTTAAAAGATGTAATATAAGGAAGCAAATAAAAGGTATGTTTCTTCTGATTTAAAATTTATCTATGGTGTTTGTAATAAATAAAACTCATGGGGAGTTAAAAATTATGTGATATTCAATATTTTTCGAACTGTTTATAAAAGAATTATAATTAAAATTTTTAATTAATTTACAAATTGTCAAATAATTATTTAACTTGGTTAAACTTATTTGCATATTATGTCTAATTGTGTGTAACTATAATTAAATTAATCTAAGACTTTTTTATGTTTTAATTTTTGTAGTTAAAATTTAATAAATATATTTTTTACATTGTTTAAATTTGTTTACTTTAATGAAATGTATATTATTTAAAATTAAAATTTATAACTTTTTGTACAATACTTTTCTCTAGTAGAAAGACAATATAGTCTGACTAAGCATATACTTATTCTACTTAATTTCCCATAACGTTAAATATTAAAATTTTCAAGATTATATGGTCTGACTAAGCATATACTATTCTACTTAATTTCCTATATTTTAAATATTTGGTGAAATATTTTGAAATAGTTTATTCAATTGTATGTGTGTTGGCACTTAAAGAAGAGTCATGAGTTCAATCGAAGTAACGGAATTTACAGACAACTACCCTTACAAAATTTCACTGTTCGCAGGCGCCTCTCCTCTTTCACAACCTGCGCAGTTAACATCCTATGATATAAGACTACAATTAGCCCTTTTACGTTATATGTATGCGATTTTGTGAACATGATTATGTTGTGTACTCCAAATTTATATTTCACATAATCATTTTTTTATAAAATTCAATTCGATTTTTCATTTCAAACCGGATTATAATTATTATTAATATAAAATTTCTAAATTAGATGGATTCTTTTTTAAATGATTTGAATTGAAACTTGAATTTATATATGTATAAAAACAAAGTGTGCAAGCTGCACCCCTTCGTAAAGACATGCGTCGTACGCGTGTGCTCATCCCTCTCTTTTGCCGGACATTCACTCGAGCAAGTTTGTAATTTCATGTTACTTGGTCGATTCCTCGTGTACAAGACTCGCCTTCACTGATTTTCTTACTAATTCGAAAATTAAGAAAATAATTTCCAGTGTTATTGTATTACACATTATTACTGTTGTCCCTTATCTCTTAATTTCAATATTATCGAGAACAGTGTTTTAACCCTCAATATTGTATAGTGATTGTTATTGGAATAGTATAATATTATATCGCTCTCATTTTCAATTAGTTATCAAAAATATCCTTTAAATTAGTAAAAGTAATTTAATATGCAAGAGATTTCCTTAATATTAATAAGAAGAAATGAAAATAGATGTGCCACTAAAGGATATTAAATTAATTCCATGACCTTAATTGTATAACGGGAATGTTTCTAAAATGTGAATTTTTGAATTAAAAAAAGTCTTTTTCCAAATATTCAATACAATTTATCTTTGAAAATACATATTTTGTATCACTTTAATTGATTAAAGAAGTTTAAAAATGTTTGGATCCAAATTGAGGACATGGATGGAAGCACACATTGTACGTCCAAAGAAAAAGAAAAAGAAAGATTTAAAGGAAGGTGAAAAAGGATTTGAATCTAATTGCAATTCACCAAATAAATATTATACAAGATTGTCTGCTCCTTGCCAAGTTAGTATCACCAATTTTTTCTATTCATTTCAAAAATAACTTTTTAATTTATATTAAAATTAATTTAAAATAATATAATAAAAATAATCAATTAGTTTATAATTTATACAAAAGAATTTAGACTATTTATATTCAAATATAACAGAGTATTTCTACTTTTAATTAATTAAATTAAATATTTTATTTTATTATTGGAAAATTCTTAACATTTTTATATATAATGCAATGTATATAAAATCTGTTTCTACTTTCTCGGAAATTGAACATTTTTTCTAATATTAACTTTTGTTTCAAACAAATCTTTTGTTTATTGAAAATACACTTTTGTATTCATATGTGGAATTTTTTTCCATCCCATATACGATATTTCAATTGTAATGGAAAAAGGGTTGGGGATGTTCTATATAAAATATTATCACGTATTCTCAAGATTGTGTGATCACAATGAATGAGACATTCCTGGCAAAGAAAATAATACAGGTATAGTACAATGCTTTGTCAGACCTTCCTAATTGAAGTACATACCTTTTCCTTCCATTTGAGAAATGTTCTAATAGGAGCACGCTTGAAAAGTGGATGCATCGGTAAACGACAGACAGGTCATTAACACTATATTGGCGTTTACTTTGAACTTCTGTCATGTGAAAAAAAGAGAATATAAATAGTCTGTAGGGTTTAATGCTTCATTTACTTTTTTAAAAATTCGTACTTAATATAAGATGTATATATTTTTTTTAATCTAAATTGGAATTTTTAATTTTTTTTATATAATTACTCTCGTAATTATTTAAATGTGATTTTTTTTATATAAAAATATCATCGATTTAAATGCAAATTATAAGATTTGTAGAAAAAAATAGAAATGAAATTTACAGCATTTCAGCAGCAATGCATATAGACATGCTTTTGTAACTGTGCCAAAAAAAATATATATATCTTCCATAAAAGCTTTATCGAATTTTTCAAGGTACATCCATTGGTTTCACCTATACTGACGAAGAACTTGGACGGTATCCATCAACAGACGATGACGGGTTCCTCAGGTACTTCCATCGGTGTTGGAAGTGTAAATCTCTCATCACCAGAAAGTGCCTATAGTACAGGATATTCGACAGATGGTACATCGCCTGGTGCCAGTTTTCCACCTGAATATTACATCAATATCAGAACAGGAAAACATTATTTTCAAAATAGAAAAAATACACCAAGGGGAAAGAAAAATTGCGATGTTAATTGCTTGCCAATTGCGCCAATTAAAGGAAGAGTACATCAGGATAAAGGTGAAAATTCATCAGCAAATCAATCAATTAATAAGCCAAGAAATTCTCATGGCAATACATTTAACAAGGTCTGTATAAATAATTATTAAATTAAAAAATTTAGTTAAATAATGTTATTATAGAAAAAAATAAATTAAAAATACCTTTTCTTATTTCAATTTGACTAGTTTATTGAAGCATCAAAAAATCATTATTCATCACACTACCATCAGAACTATAGTCCTCAACAAGAAGAGCGCCGTTGTCATACACAAGTTTCGCATCAGAGAACAGAATCGTTTTCAGTGAATTCATCAATAAATAGTCTGTCGATTCCATCTTCTATACCACCGCCTCTAGTTTCGGGTCCACTGCAATCCCCAAGGCAACGATCACGTATTCGAACGAATCCATGGCTGTCAGCCAATTCTTCCAGTTCTGCCAGCACATCGGGCTACAAGTCAAGACTTACTCTAGATGAAAGCAGTATTAGTTCAGGTTTGAAATTAATGGAATCTTCAGGCAGCGTTAGTGACATTAATGTCAGTATTTTTCAAGAAAATAAAAAAAGACGAGAATATAGACAGGAAAGTCTTAGCGCAGGACGCAGTCCGTAAGTTCTATTATTATTATTATTATTATTATTAGTTTACTTTTTTACATTATTAATTTCTTTTTTCATTCAGAATAAATCAGAACTGGAGAATAACATCAGGAATGAATATTCGTGATATGAATAATTCTCTAGCGATGCAAAAACGTTCTAAAATTGGAGGAAGAGTCAGTACAAGCAGCTGTAGTACCAGTAGTAATAGCACTTGTTCAGCATCTTCAACAACAAGAAGTGTTCACACATCGGATGAAGATTTAACACTAAACGAAATGTTAGGTAAATTCGATGAAAGCTATGTCTACGAAAAAGAAACTGATATATTGTCAGACAGTGATCCAACTGATTGTGATGATCATATCGATTCACTTTCTGATGTTGACACAGGACAAGACGGAGGAGATGAGAATGATCCATTTGAAAAAGATTTTGATTACATCGATAATGCCACTTCTTTTCTAGAATTAGAAAAACTCGATCCATCTGGACATTTGTATAATAATAAACAATGTACATTTTTCTCCATGAACAATCCATTAACACGGCATGATCCTAGATTAACATTCATAAAAAGACGAAATAAAGAGGAAAAAACAAATCATCGGTATGAAAAAAAAGATAATTTAAATAATTTATTTACAAATAATTTTATTTAATATCTAATTTCACAGGTCTATTAACATTGGAAATGTTGTAAAACGACAAAATATACAATTGAAGAAAATTGATAGTGAAAGAACTAATGAGAAAAGAAAGAAGAGAATTTCTCAACGACGCAAATGGGATGATGAAACTGCAAATATAAATAGAGTACTAGTTGAGAGAATGTTATTGAAAAATTCTGGTTTCAATCAAGGAAGTCGAAGTGTTGGAGGCACTCCTATTTGTCTCAGAAGGAAAAAGCACGATGTCAATAAAAATAATTTTTCACCAATAAAACAAACATCCGGTGCAGACAATTTAATCTCTCCTCGACAATTTCTAGTCGAAAAAAAAGCAGCCGAAATTGTAAAACGCAGATCTAATTCAGTAAGAAATGTTTTTTATATAATATTTACAGAATAATAAATATATTAATAAATAAATAAATAATATTCGCAGGTAAGCTATGTAAACGGAAAAAGTTATATGACAACATTTGCATCAGAAATCGCTCTCATTGAAGCCGATAAAGAAGCCGATCGAAAATATCGAGAATTAATAATGGAAGCAGAAAATATTCTTGTAAATATGCAAAGAAATCATAATACATCGCCAGTTGTACCATCGCCAACAAGAAAATTTCACAATGGCTTAACAAATAAACGAGTAGAACTGATAAAAAATACAGAATTAAATATTGAACTTGCCCTATCAAAAAGTAGAAATTCACAACCTGAACTTCAAAGTGGAAGTATCAAAGATTTAGAACACATTAGTCCTAAACGACAATTTCCAACACAAAGGAATATAGGACTGTCGAAGGAAAATCATCAAATTAAATCCTCAGATTCTCCTTTAATGTCAAGAAAAGATTCACACGAATCACTCATTAAAGGACTATTGCAAAATAAAATACGCATTGTCAATGATAATTTATCAAGGGCACAAAATTTTTCTTCTAATTATTATGAACAAGGTTCACCAAATCTTAATAAAAGAGCTGAATCAATAAAATCTAATATAGAAGCTATGAAAAATAATAATATTCTAGAGAAAAGTAATTCGAAAATTTCTACACCATTGAAAATTGAGAGTAACACATCGAGTTCATCTGATTCTGAAGAACGTTGTGAAGATATTGATAGAGAGCCTCTTCTTAATTTCAGGTCAGTAAAAAAGGAAAAAAAAACATTTCCCATAGAAATTTAACTAAATTATTCTTTTATAGATCAATAGATATGGATCCTATTAAGGAAAGTGCATCCTATTGTCCACAAAGTGAACCAGTAAAGAGAAAAGTTTATGCAGGAAGTGTGACTTTTGGAAGAATTAAAAAAACCCTAGGTGAACATAATGTGCTTCTTAGAAATTCTGATGGCGATACAACGAATGAAGACACAGGCAAATATATTATAATTACAAAAATAGAAATTTATTAAAATTCTCTCTAAATATTTTTCATTTAACAGATGGCTCAAGAAGATCACTTCGTGAAAAAGTTGCACGTCTTCGTCAAGAACGATTGGTGGCAGAATTGAATGTACAAGAAAATCGTGTTTTTCAACAACAATTATCGCAAATACGACGACAAATGCTTATGCAAACAATTGAGGGATTAAAACGTAGTTTGGAAGATCAATCAGCAACATTAAAGCAAACATGTCTGGAATCATCAATTTTGAATGATAATTTTTCTTAAGAGAAAAAATTTTCTCTTAATTCTTTAATAAGAGACAAGTTACCACTGATTGACGGAAACTATCAAAGAAAAAAAGAAGAAAGGCTTTCATATTTCTGGTCAAAAATTAGAATTAGAAAGCAATATGAGCTTTGAAGGATATATCAAGGTAGGCAATAATCAATAAATTATTTACAATGATTCTACAAACGAGCATATATCGTATTGATCAAAATTGTTAGTTCACTAAGAAAGAAAATCATGTATTTTTACGTGACTTTTTTTCCACTAATAATTTTGTTCAATACTATAAATATATCAATAAAAAAAGCTGTTATAAAAATGGTAGATATCTTTGAAATTCATGTTCAGTGTCATGAAAAATTATACAGACAGTGATGCCTTTCCTGGTCTTTAAATAGATGCTAGGAGCTCAATTATTCAATATAATGATTATTACTATTAAAAAAGAATACTATTTAACATTGAAATGAATTTATTAGTTTTTAACAATATTCTTTCATTTTATAATTAATATTATTATTTTATTTATTTTAAAAATATTTTTTCTCTGTGTTTACTGCGATTGATGTAAATTAAAAGTATTCAAAATACTTGAAAAAATTACATATAAAAAAACAGTGTCTTTATACTTGGCTAATTTCAAGAATTGGGGGGGGGGAGGATAAATTATATTTTAAAGTGGGACTGAAAAATTAATTTTTTTCTATTTTATGAAAAATATTACCTTCATAACACAAAATTTTGTAGCAATATTTCCAACATTACAAAATATGGTACTATGAAGATAAATATTCTCAAATATTGTTAATAAAAATTTTATAAATCTCATATTGATTCTAACAAAATTTTTGATGAAAAACTAAATGCGCGCACTAAACACAGCCAGGTAGAAACATGCTATGTATATTTTTCTGAGTATAAACGATATGAAATATCGAAACTGCAAATACAAGATATTTTCTGGGTGTGTTTCTCATTAATCTTCTAATAAAAACAAGAAAAAGAGAGAGAGAAAGAGAAGAAAAGATGACCATATTTTATAAGAATGTTTCGTTCGTTTGATAAAGTGATTGAATGAAACATGTTTCAATATCTACTTTTGAAAAAAATAATCAAGTAATTTAGTTTCATTGACAGTTATTGGCAATAAAAGAGCAAAACTTTTGAAATATTTCCAAATAAATATTAGGAGTTCTTTTTATATTCGCAATAAACTTACAAGTATCTGCAGTTTATTGAAAATTCCAACTAGTAAATAGAAATAATCTCAAGTAATCTCCATTTACAAAATATAATTATTCATAATTATTTAAAGGCAACTAAATAGGCATGCTAATTGTAGCCCTTTTTGAAAATTATTTAATACATAATTATTATAGGAAAATTATGTTCATAGTTCCTGAATGAATATTTAACATAAAACCTCAGGTGTTAGTTCTCATACTTGCTCTACTAATTGAAATAAGGATTAATTTTTTTTTTATAAAACGTCTTCCGTTATAGAGTTTCACCATGAAATCTATGATCTACTTTTTATTTCATATAATATTAATTCACATAAACATTAAGTGATGCCAAGAACAAAATGTTACAACTGACATTCTTCCTATATTAACAAAAAAATTATTTTTTCTTCTTAATGATAACGTTTTTGATATAAAGTTATAAACTTTTTTTTTGTCAAAAAACTAAAGAAAAAGTAGATTTGGCTTTTAATAGTCAATAGAGATTTTTAGGAACGTATTTTACACGCATAATTAATCCTCTTTAAACAGTAGAAATTGTATTAGTAGTTAATGTATCTTCTATACTATTTTTCATTTTTATTTTTATAAAATATTTATTTCTTTTTACTCTTTCGAATCTGAAACAAAAGTCAAGCTTCACCTTAAATTTTCTTTAGTTGAATATTTTGTTCTGAATTTTATTTTATTATTTATAGAAATTTATCAAATTTGTCAAAGAAAAAAAATAAGAAAACATAATTGATGGCTTAAGATAATTCTTATAGAGAGGCAAAGAAAGTGATATTTAAGAGAATAGACTGATAGTATTATAAATTTAAAAAGTAGAATTAATTTTACATTCTATTTTCATTAATTTTATTTCTAACTTACATCATTATAAAACTTATTAAATTATAAGGGAAATATGAAAAAAAATTAGATTCATTTGGAATTTTCCCAATATAGATACTCTTTAGGTACTCTTTACATTAAACTTTAGGACAGTGTAGCAATTAATAAAACATGGAATACTTTCAAAAATATTCCATAGCTCCATTAAGGATATAGTTAAGTAGTTCTTATAGAAATAGATAAAAAGTAACAAGAAATACCTAGTAGTCTTTTAGATGTTATTATGATATTTTAGTAAATGATGAAAACTTGTACACGATCAAAGAAGTTTGCTGTGAATCCTTTATGGTTTAAAAGTAAATATTTCTCGAAAATTTTTATCGAGACTTTTTAAATATTGTATTTATGTACATATCGACTAAGTTTAGTTGAAAGTTTGTTAAATATTGAAATTTAAAAAATTTTCACTGCAGCAATATACATTGTATGTATGTATGTATTTATTATTACTATATTATTCACTTTTTGGGAACGTTACTTTTAAAAGACGTCCCCTTCAAGTATTTTTTTATTCAGAGTAACGCGTTACTATTAACAATTGCAATACAATTTTTTTTATATTATCAATCGACTATGCTTATAAAATAAGTATATTTGATCTATTTGCAGATATCTTTTATTGTCTTTTTAAAAGTACAATAAAGATAACTACTTACAGAAATAATTGTTAATTGTAGTTTATTTAACTATAAAACATTTTTCATAATAATTACACTATGGAAAACATTAATAAAAATTATTTTTCAAAATAATGGTAACGAGTTACTTTTTGAAAAAAATAACGTTGACATGGAATTATTATTGTTTGTTTTTGTATCACAAACATAATTTGATAACAGGACATGAAAAAAAATGACAATTAATAAAAATAACTGACCTGTCATCAATTTTCGTGTCATATTTTCATAAATGTAAACAAGTACGACGAGAATTTTACGATATATATTCTACTACGAATATTATTATCGTTCTAGTCAATAATGACTAAACACAGTTAAAAAGGTGTATTAAAATGGTACTATTGTTGCAAGCAATATCATTTATATATCAATAATTTTTTATGTATCTGATGATATAAATAAATTATATTAAAAAATTATCCATTATTTTAAATCAATCAATTTATTTAATTCTTTCAAAACGACTTTCTATTTCATAGATTCCTACAGAACTATTAATTTTATCACAATATTCAACCCACTCACCGTCACTGAGATCAATGTCTGTAAATACATTTCCATTGTTACATGCTTTAGCAATCCATCCTTCTCTTGGAGAATAATCACATGGCTCAATTCCTCGACATTCCAAACAGACAATTATTTTGAATTTACCTTGGTCATCCGAATTATAAGACTTTATGGAATCCTCAATAATTGTCATCGAATTCTCCCGTGAACAAAGTTTGCATTTACTGATAAAGTGATTAATAGCGTTTCCACGTTGTGCAGGTGTTGATTCATCTAAAGAAGCGTAATTCCATTTTTCAGAAACCTCACCGCAATTGTTACAGGAAAATTTGAAATACCAACGAAAGTCTGAACCATTTGGTTTTAATTCCTCAATGTTTTCAAGTGTAGCTTTTATTTGAAGAGCGATTTTAACCATGGTCAACACTGCTCAATAATATTAATTCAATCCAAAAATTCATGAGTTTCAAATAAATAAATATTAGAATTTAAAAACAATAGAATGTTTACCTTTTTTAAAAAAAGTATAACCTCTTAAATCCCTTGCACGCAGGTAGAAAGTGTGAAACTATTTGCAGATGGTCAGTAGTACCAATCTGTAAAGTAGAACGTTCGAAATGTGACATTTTTAGGTACGGTTCATATCGATTTGGTCAGAAAAAAAAAACAGAAAAACCTTTATGTTGTTTTAACTTAAAAGATGTCACCGATGTCACAAATGTTAGTTTTGTGAAAAATATTCATTAAAAAGGAAATTAATTTAATGAATTAAATAAAAAAAACATATTTTTATTACGAAAATGGCCATTGTCATCGAGACAACAATAGGAGATTTTACAGTTGATTTATTCATAAACGAACGACCACAAAGTAAGTGATATACGTTTTTTAACCTCTATGTATGTAAAATAGAAAACAAATCACAATTTATTGAATAAAAAATCATTTTTTCCAGCTTGTAAAAATTTTTTAAAACTATGCAAAATAAAATACTACAATTGGAATTTATTCCACTCTGTACAAAGTAATTTCATTGCTCAAACCGGAGATCCAACTTCCACTGGAACAGGAGGAGAAAGTATATATGGAATGATTTTGGGTGAAAAAGCACGATATTTTGAAGCTGAAAAAATGCCTAAAATTAAGCACGATAGAATTGGACTTTTATCAATGGTTGATTGTGGTAATAGCATGTTAGGTTCACAATTTTTCATTACATTAGCTCCCAATCTACAATCTTTGGATGGACAGCATTGTGTTTTTGGTGAAATTTCTGAAGGATTAGAAATCATTTTAAAATTAAATGAAACAATTTGTGATGTAAAAGATAGACCATATCAAGATATTCGAATAACTCACACTGTTATTTTAGTGGATCCATATGATGATCCCTTGGGTCTTGTAATACCTGACAGAAGTCCTGATCCTAATCAGCAAGTTTTAAAGGTAATTCTTTATATATATATATATATATATATAAAACAATTATTATTATTATCATTACAGTTATTAATTTGATTTCAGAGTGATCGAATCGGTGCCGATGAAAATATTGACGACATGGAAGGAATGACTACAGATGAAATTATTGAAATGCAAAAAGAAAAAGAAGCAAAAGCACGAGCAACAATATTAGAAATTGTTGGTGATTTACCCGATGCTGATATGGCACCACCGGAAAATGTTTTATTTGTTTGTAAATTAAATCCCGTTACAAACGATGATGATTTGGAAATTATTTTCAGTAGATTTGGAGAAATAGTAGGGTACGTTTTGAAAGGAATTTTTATAATGAAAATATTTTGCAATTTTAAATATACCTTCTTTATATATTTTCAGATGTGAAGTAATAAGGGACCGTCAAACTGGTGATTCTCTTCAATATGCTTTCATTGAATTTGGCAATCGAAAAAGTTGTGAAGAAGCATATTTAAAAATGAATAATGTATTAATTGACGATCGACGAATTCATGTTGATTTCTCACAATCAGTTGCAAAAGTTCGTTGGCGTGGAAAAGGAAAAGGATTTCATTATGTTACAGAGACACCTGAAAAAAATAATGAAAATTATAAACAACATTCATCCAGGCACAAGGGAAGAGAAAAATATAATTCAAATCAAGATAATGATAGAAGTCCCATTTCTAATCGTTACAAAGAACATCAAAACAGACGCGAATATAAACAAGAAAAAGAGAGAAAATCTGATCACAAATCGATTCAAACTCATAAGAGTTATTATTCTCACAGTCGATCATCAGAAAAGAAAGATCGTAAAAATTACAGAAGAAGTAGAAGCAGAAGTAGAGATAGAGAAAATTATTATAAAACTTCTCATAAAGATAAATATCACAAGAAAGATAAAACAAGAAGAAGATAAATAAAATATCAGATTAATTATAGACAATTACTTTGAAATTATCAAAACTGGAATTATTTATATTAGAAAATTTACGAAATTGAAAACAATAAAACAATGAAATACAGTATTTTTTCAGCAAATTAGTTTAACTTGTATGTTAAAATCTACTTACAAAAGTTACGCAAGACTTTATTCCATGATTGATTTATTTTACTTTTTATTGTTCATGCTCATGTACAAAATTAAATCTTTGCTTTTTTTTTATTTATTAAAAGACATTAAATAATACCTAAATAATGTTAAGAAATAAGTGATATTTCACTTTAAAATAAAACAAAGTGTTTATAATAGCATTGTATCTCTAAATGTTAACATTTTTGAAAGTGCTGATTGTGAAAATATTTACAGAGAACTAATTTTAGGTTTTATAAACTTAAAAATACTTAATAAGAGACACTATTCATTCACGATGCGTCAAAAATTCACTTACAATGATAAATTAATGGGTTTTTTTTAGTTTTTTTAAAAAATAAATTCTACTTCTATATTTTCTTCAATTTCGAAAAACAATCGCACACATATTTAGTTCGTAAACTAATAAGATATTAATAATTTATTTTAATAATAATAATAATAATAATAATAATAATAATAATAATAATGAAACAATCAAACAGTCATTCCATTTAAAGTAAATCAATTTTTAAATTCTTAGAAAAGAGAGAACACTAATTTTAATGAAAAACGAATTTTCTAAAATTTTTCTGTTTTAGATTTTACTACAAGTATATAAACTATATATCTAATACTATAAGAGAAATAATTGATTATTAAAAGTCCCAAAAAATAACTATGAATAAAAAAAATAACCTTTCTTAATTTTGGTCTATAAAGTCAAAACATTTCTCTGGCATTTTATAAAATGATGACAAGATAATTTTACAATTTTTCCTGCTCTATTCTCTTGGGATTTGTTAATTCTTGATGAGTTTTTTTATACCATACAAATCGAAAATTAACTATCAGTTAATGGAATTTTGTTCTTCATGCATTCATAGAAAATGTCCAATAGTTTATCTGGTTTTAATTTTGTGCTGATAACTTTGAAAAGTCCTAAAAGAACTTTTTCACTTGAATCATTATCATCTTTCATTGAATCTCTAAAAGCTTCGAGAAGCTTTTCTGGCCTTAAACGTTGTCCAATAGCTCGTATTATTTCTAATACTTCCGTTTCCGATGCTTCTTTTTCCACGTGACTGAGTGCCGAAGATAAAGTCCAAATTTTATGGAAGACACTCTCTTTTTTTACTTCCGATTGTGCTTTCAGTGTTTGTGCAATAGCATCATCTGTACTATTTTGAAGGGCAATATCAAGAACAATATGCGAGGGAATTAATTCATCATTTGCTACCGTGTGACTTATTAAAACATCAGCTGGAACACGTTTTAAAATTCGTGTAAAATCCGAAAGATCACCCATTGATTCACTGATTCCCTTTTCTTCTTCTTCTTTCAAACATTTTGATAGCATTTCAGCGAGTTCTGATGATTTACATTTTTGACAGAGAGCATCTTTCAATTCATTTAAATCGAATGCACTGAGGCAATCGCTGATTTGAAATTTTTTCTTATAGGCACTAAGAACTTTGACAAAAAATTGCTTGTCACCGCTAAATATATCTGGAAGCTTCAAAAGAACTTTATTTATACCACACGCTTTGCAAGCAGATCTTAATGTCATTTCACTTTGACTTGGTTTTGAATTGATACCAAGTAATCTTAAAGTTTCTGATTCTAGTTCAGTTTCAGGCATATTACGCATTTTCAACTGAAAAGAAATAAAATAAATGTATAGTTTAAAATTAAATAAAGACTAATAATTTAAATTAATAATTTTTTTTACCTTAAATTGAGCGAGAAGACTTTCGGGAGAACATCTTCTTGCTGCACTTTCAAGTACAAGATTAACGTCAATTTCATCTAAAAGATCTCCCAATTCCATTTGAATGGCAACTGATTTGGATGCGGTTTTTGGCAATTGATTCATTGATGACGATGATGATCCATCTTGGGTTTTACAGGTGTTAATATTTGATAATAATGGAGAAATTATCAACGATTCTTCTGTTTTTACTGAAGACGTCTAAAATATAAAAAGAATATTAAGAAAATATATAGGGGAAAAAAAATAAAATAATTTTTATTACGTTTTACTTACTTTTTCCAAGTGATGATCAACTGTTATTTTGTCATTTTCAAATTTACTTAAAACCTTCTTAACAAACGACACCTTGGGATTACCTTTAACAGGTATCCTATTAATTTCTCTCTCTGATAATTTGGCTAAATCACCAACTGTATGAATTTCTCGACTCGCTAAAAATGCTTCCAAATGATTCACCCACATTGGATTAGCGAGACTATCGACAATCAATTTAATAGAATCTTTACAATCAGAAAGTGTGGGGAAAATTGGATATGTTGAATCGAATGCTTCAGGTTTTGGAAGATTAATAATACTTGCGACAGAATTTTGTGTCTCTTGACTAATACTTTCGAAAACAGAATCAGTAACTGGTAGGGTATCCTGTTCTGCATCGGCAATTGTTCTTGTACTGCATCTTATTGGTTTTTCACAAAAACCACCGTCATCCGTTGATTCAAAACTAGAAACATTTTGAACATCGACTGTATTTTCTAAAGATTCATTTTTCGTTAAATTTGCTGTTTCTGATAATGAGTCATTCAACTTGACAGAATCAGGTGTCATCATTTGATAGGAAATATCGGCTTTATTCTTATTGGACATGGATTGATTTGACATTTTTAAACTTTCATCACTTGTATCGTTACCTGCAAACATATCTTCCTGTGTTCCAAATATTTCCTCAACGAGACTTGACGATTCAATATGATCTCTTTTCTCGTGCATTGAATCATGAATTTTCATTTCTTGTTTTGAATTTGTAATATTTAAAACTCTAACCGGTGTACTACTTTCAGGACAATCGACTTTAATATTCTCGTTTTCATTCTCATCACCGTCGATTTTTACTGTGGCCTCTTCGGCAAATTCCAAATTTTCAGTTAGCAATTCTTCTGATTTTCCTCCTCCAATAACTTGAATTCCATTCGTAGATGTTTCAATTGGAATTTCAATTTTTTCACCTGCATCAACAACGTCAATTTGAAACATTCTTATTCTATTTTGTCTTGATTTCAGCGGTGTATCTCGTCGTGTTGAATGACGTGATGGTCTACTTATTTTATGAGGTGATTCTCCGGTGGCAACTTCGTAACCCATTTTTTGAGAAACTGGTGGATCGGCAAAACTCACACGCTTTCTTTTATTTGGTGTTGTCTCATCACCGGTAAGGATATCAATTAATGATTGTCTTTTTAAAATTCCAGCACTTGGAGATGCTGTTAGCGAGGGAGGATTTGCACTCGACCATTCGAGAATTGGAAGATCCTTATCTTTTATTGGTGAGAGTTCAATTTCCTTTTCATTTGTAACAACAAGTTTCTCGGCAAGTTTCTCCGAATCAATAGCATTTTTCATTTTTGGTGAAATTTTCTCACCGTCGTTCTTTAAGCCACCAAATAATTTTCCAGGTGGTGATGAACAATAATCAACTTTCATATTACTAAATATTTTCACCTGACGACTTCCAAGTTGATTTCCTAATTTTTCCGATTCTTTTCCTTTTTTCACGATATTTTCAGATTCATGATTTTTTGCCTTTTGTAATGATTTTTTTACTTCGTCATCAATCTTTGAGTCCTTTTCCATTAAACCTTGTTTTGTAACTAAGCCCAACATTTGAGCGGCACGTCCTTGAAGAGGATAGGCTTTTAATTTTGTTTTCTTGACAATACCTTTTGGTGATGATATATGAACTGTTGTATATTTTACAGATGATGAAGATAATGTAGAACATGAAGCAATAGGTTTTTTCTCGTCAGAAATTATTTGATTTTCAACAATTTGCATACAATTTTCATCTTCGTCTATTTGTTTTCCTTGATCATTTGTTTTTTGTGACGAATTCATTTTACTTAATTTAATAAGCAATTCTTTATCACTAACACGATTTGATAATTTTGGTTTAGAAATAATATCTTGAGTACCTTCAACAATATCAACTTCCATATCTTGTGAATTTTCAATGACACTTGATTCAACTACTGGACTGTCTTCTTTCTTAGTTGTTAATTTATCATCTAAAATTTGAGAATTTGTGGTATCCAATTTAACTTTTCCAATTAATTTTTGCTTTTCGTCTTCAGCGCTCTCTACCTTTGGATTTTTTCTCGAACGTCTTTTAACTGAATCTGTTGATTTGTTCAATGATGATGATGATGATGATGATGATGCTTTCTTCGCAGAATCTGGTTTCATTTCCGATCTCAATCTTCCTGGTGAATGATTTTTTTTGCAACTAAGATCCTTGCAAGTGCAATCAGCCAATTTAGAACGACGTCTATTTGGTAAAGGTTCAAAAACTGAACGTACCATATCAATTTGTAAGCGAGAAATTTCAGATTTAACTCGTTTATTGAGTACCTCTTCATTTTCAGACGATTTAATACTTTCATTATCAGACGATTCAGACGAATGTAATTTCTTTCGTTTTGGATTTCCAGTAACTTCTTCATCAGCTTTTCGTTTGCCTTTTTTGCCAATTTCTAAATTTGAAGTGACAGATTTTAATTTTTTTTTCGTTCTTGGTTGTGGCAAAAATTGTTCACTCTTTTTACTGTCCGTTCGATTTGATGAGGATGTTTGAATTTCAATTTTTTTATTTTCTGGACAATCTTGTTGATTTTCAAAATCATCTGCAGAGGAAATATCCACTTGTTTGGCTTCGATTTCTTCTTTTGATTCAAGTTGTCCAACTGATTCGGAATTAACTTGCTCCACTTCAACTGGCTCCTTCAATAAAGTTTCTTTATTTTCTTTATTTGAATCACACAACTCCTTGCTTGAAATTGTCTTCAATTGTTTCTTTTCAAACCATTTTTGTAATTCCTGTGAATCTTGTGAACCTGATTGTGAAAGATCGTTATATAATGCAGGAATGTCGTCGCGTCTCTTTTTTAAAATTTCCTTTTGATGGTCCGTTAGACGATTAACATCGAATTTAACATCAGACTTAATTACAACGTAATCCTAAAATGAAAAATAATTTTTAATTAAATTAAAATTCTTTTTCAATAAAAATTATAATAACCAATTATTTTAGAAATATACCTGAGAATCAAGATCCAATGAAACGTTGATACTTTTCTTTAAAGATGTATCATTAACTTTAAAAGTAGATGGACTGACAAAATTATCCACTGATTTTCTGTTTAAAAAGCTACCAGCTATTTTTGTGGGTTTTGATTTGTTCTCTACTTTTGTATCAATGTTAATCGATGCTTTCGTTAAATTTCCCAATTCTCCTAATAATTTTTTTGATTTTTCATCGACATTATCAGCGAGAGTTAAAATCACTAAAGCCTGGGAAATAATCTCCTGACATGTATGACATAAAGCAAGAACAATACTTTTTTGAAATGATGAAAGTAAATCGTAACTAAGATTATTGCTTAATCCTTTAAAAATTGTAACAACTGTATCCCAAGTGCTTGCAATTTCTTTCATTAAATTCTCATCACCTTTTTGAGCTAAAATAAATTCAATAGAAGGTCGAATAACTTGTAAATATTGAATTGATTTTTTTCGATCTTGACCATAAACTGTTATCATGAACGCGGACAATGATCTTAAAATCATTTCAGCTGCATTATAATCAGATTCTTTGAATACACGTAGTACAAGATCATTTATTAGATGAACGATTGTTGGAACTTGTTCAATACCTGAAAATTAAATTTAAAAAATATATTCCACTACTTTTTAAGTAAGTAAAGTAGTAATAATAATAATAATAATAATAATTTACCAAGCAAAGACTCATAGTTGATGTTAGTAATTAGAGAATTTAAACAAGCAGCGTAAAGAAGAAGACAGCCTTTTTCTTTTTTCAGACAATTTCGAAGTTTATCTGCTGTTGTCATTATCACTTCATTAGATTTTATTGATGTCTCCAAATCAACTTGTAAATCAAATTGCTTATAGGCATCCCACCAATGCGAAGTAATTTTTTGTACCTATAAAAATGTAAGAAAAATTTTACTTCGAATTTTGACATTAATCAATCAAAAAATTAATAAACAACAAACCTGTTTCATATCATTTACAAATAGATGAGAAAAAGGGTACATTAAAATGGCATATATTGCAGAAAAATTATTCCCAGTTGTGTCTCCATCATTTAATGTATGACAACTTTCAAGCCATTTAGAAAGGCCTTCCACCAGGACACACCACATATCAACCAACATATTTCTGAAAAAAAACGACTCTTATTAAAATTATTCCAAAGAAAATAAAAGTGTATAAATAAAATTATAAAAATGCTGACTTACACATTACTTGTTTCAGGTTTTGCACTTAATGATTTCTCCAATACAGAATTAAGTAATTTTAGTTTATTTTGTTGAACATGAACAATGTTATTATCACTTATAAAATGCAAAAGAAGCTTCCTTATCGCTTCACAAACATCTCTATAAGGAAATTATTGAAAAATATAAAAATTTATTTTAAACAATTAAATAAATAAGAGAAAAAAACTGCTTACTTTTTATGATCATTCAAATTCATTTCCTTCAATAGGGCAATTATTAAATTTGACAAAGTATCATCAGAAAAAACAAATTTTTCTGTCATTTCAGCAATATTGATCAAAATCACATCATACAAAAGATTTTCCATTAACAAATTATTCGAAATATGATGTGTCATTTCAGTAATGACCATTAATAAATCTTTGTAAATTCCATCCTAAAAATTAAAAATAAAAAGTTGTATTATTTCCTACTTTCTAGATAATATTCTAAGTATTATTATTATAATTACCTTGGATTCACATTCATCGAGCTTGGTAATTAAATTTTTCCATAACGTTGTGCTGACTAAATATCTATTCGATATTTCAGTTTCTTCAAATTGACCAATTATAAGAAAAGCTTCAAAAACACTATGTGTAAATGTTTTGTAACTATCTTGAAAAACTTGTGTTGTCACTGCATGAGGAATTCGTTCTTCTAAAACAGATGCGAATACACCATTTACTGATGATTCTGTGCCTAATAAAAATTGTAATAAAGCATCAAGAGATGCTAATTTTGTTTTATGAAATCTTTTGCCAGGTGATGCGCAAATATCCAATTTAGATGATAAAAGTGGCGTATCGCCAAGTGGTCCAAAACAAAAATTTAAAAATGGAATCAATACAGCATTTATGACTTTTGGAAGATCGTTATAAATTTTCACAATTAAATGCCACCAGACTTCAAATTTTGCGAATGCTATCAATTCTGTTTTGCTATTCTTAGCAATAAGCGGTATACAAAGCAATTTAATACGTCTTGCACTCGCAAGTTCTTGTGGATCAAGTGCAAAATTGTCCACCAATAATTTCCATGAATAAAAAGCTTGTTTTCTAATATTAGTATCAGATGATTTAAAGGCTTTTTCTTCAACACTCAACAAATTATTAATCAAGCCCGCTCCTCGATGAAGATCTTTTCCTAAAAATTGAATACTATAATTCCACAATGTTGCCCAATCGAGATAACAAGCTGAAACGAGTAGACACATTCGATTCCAGTATATATCTTGCAATGATTTTTTATAATTAATCCAACTGTTTGGCAATACTTGACGTACTCTGAACCCTAAATCAGATTCAATTGCTTGGTAAAATACTTTTGATGCTGATAGTCTTTGATGTTTTAGACCCATGTAAGCCATATTTACAATCTTTTCCATAATAATTGAATCGTACTAAAAGAAAATATTAAAATATTAACAAATCAAATCACAAAAAATATTTCATTACTTTTAATAATTATTATACCATCTGAATTTGCTTTTGAGAAATAACTTGAACATTTTTATAAATATTCGATAAAAAATCAAATGACATGGAAATAATTTTTGATTCCAATTCTTCATCTTCACTGAGCGGTTTGTTTTCACTTTCTATTAATTTTTCCAAATTATCGCCATTGGCAGCAGGTGAAAGCCAAGTCATCGTTTCAACTTGAACGAATTTTAAGCAATCATTAATTAAATTAATTACTTGCGCATCGTTGACAAGTATCGTCATCGCTTTGTCATCCAATTTATCCAAAATTGAAAGTAATCTAATCCTGTTATAATAATAAAAATGTTTAACATATTCCAATTTGCACTTGTCAATAAACGATTTTTAATTTTCTTACCTGCTTTCTCTTGAAGTAATCTGCAGAACAGATTGTATAAAATTTGGTTTTGTTAACTTTTGGTCTGAAATAATGATGCCGAGTGTACAACATGCTTCCTGCTGTATTGTATCGTCACAAGTAATTAATATTTTGTATAATGTAATGAAATCATCATCCGTTATACTTTCCGATAATTTGTCTTTTGTAAAATAACTATGAAAAGAATTTATGTGTTAAATATACTGTAATATAATTTGTCACATATTAACAAAATTTGAGTATAATAAACCATAACATTTTTTTTTTAATTTCAACTTCATCTAATTAAATTTAACGTAATAGGAGTTTGAATTCTTCTAAATCTAAAGTATATAATACACTATACATATATTGAAGCTAAGGTCGTTGAACTATAGTAGGCAACCTTATATAATAAATAAACATTCTAAACTTAATAATAATTTTATTTCTATTCATTGTATAGATGCAAAGTTCTGCTTCCGATTTTATATATTTTCAATTTACACTCCCTCCACCCAATTTCAAAAAAAAAAACTTTACAAAATCGATATTCAGAGAATCAACAATAGTGCTAGCAGAAAAATATCTTACCTGCCAAGTTGTTTCAATGCAGAACATTTTTCCTCAAAAGTTTTGTTTCCGTGAAGGATTTTTATTAATTCTGATATTGTATAAGCCATTTTTCTTTATATAGAAATTTTGCTGATCATCACATTCCCAATTATTCGTGATAAATTTTTTGATATTGCACACAAAATAATCAGGATTCTGATATAATTATTGTAAATTTGTCACATTTTTTATGTAACCCATTTTATTTATATCAATTTATGTATGTAACTGAAAAAAAAACACTTTTCAAAAAGGAACGCAAAAGACTAAAAGCCTAGGAGGCTTACGCGTTTGCACACTTCAGGCGTCTCACTTCTAAGCAATCGTTGTATTTGATCTTTTAATCAAATTCACCACACAATAATTGTTTTTTCTTAAAATCTCTTGATAAAATTGTTTGTTATAAATTTAATTAGACGAGAAATGTTTATTAGAGCAGGAAAAAACAACACGAACGTAAGTTGAGGAATGCCGCAAATAAAACTTTTTTTCCCACATTGGCTTGCGTTCGGCGCGAAATCAGCGCGAAATGCTGAACAATAGAATTGCAAGGCGGGGAATATAATTTTTAAGGCGAATTCAAAAAAAAATTATGAATTACATTCTCAACCCTGATCGCAATTGACGAAACATATGAACAAGGCTTTAGAATTGGACAAGTTTTCTGTGAGCCGGAAGTAACTTTAGTTTCCCTTCTTTTCTCCAAGACGCGTCAGAGAGGTGTGTAGTGTTAAAAAATATCTCCATAATTTTACTAATTAATATTAACAATTAACTTTCGATTTGTGTTTATAATAATTTAATTTAATCTTTACAGCTTTCCCGGCTTGAAAAACCCAAAAAAAACCAGTCAAAATGGTTGCTCAAAAGAAACAGGTAAGAAATTTTTATTTACCACGTGTTATTGTAGGTTATAATTTTTGTCAAGTTTTTTTGGAATTTGCTAAGAAATTCCCAAAAATTATGCAGAATTCATGAATAATATTTAGAAAAATTTTCAAAGAATCGTATGAATTTTTTTTATAGAAAAAGGCGATGGAGAGCATCAATTCTAGACTTGCATTAGTGATGAAGTCTGGAAAATACGTTCTGGGTTATAAGCAGACATTAAAATCTCTTCGACAGGGAAAAGCTAAGCTCGTTATTATTGCTAATAATACACCCCCATTAAGGTGAGACTGAGATGTAGTACTCCTTTCTACAAAAAGAGCCTAATTTCCTAAAATTCGTTTAAAAAACATTATTTTTTATTTATTCATAGTAAATTAGTAATTTAATTTCCTTCACGTTTCCTTTCACAAAAGGAGTCCTACGGAGTAGTCTCTTACTACTGCTAGTAAGTGCAGTAGGTTTTCTTTTTGAGAAATTAAAAAAAAAATTGTTCACTCTTTCTTTTTTGTAATTGCAGAAAGTCTGAAATCGAGTACTACGCAATGTTGGCCAAAACCGGTGTCCATCATTACACGGGGAATAATATTGAACTCGGAACTGCTTGTGGAAAGTACTTTAGAGTGTGTACTTTATCCATTACCGATCCAGGTAATTCTGATATTATCAAATCGATGCCTACAGGTGAACAGGCTTAAGTATTTTGTACAAATCTTTAAATAAAAATATTTAAAATTAATATAAATTATTGTTAATTTAATCCTAGATTTTTAAAATTGACTGTTAATTCTTCAGCTTTTTAATTTCATTAAAAAATGTTTAAATAATTTTAAGATTTCAATTTCTAACATGTATAAATTCTAATTCATATTTTACTTTTTTTTTTTTTTTATTTTATACAAAAATTAACAAGCTTAATAAATACACGTCATTATTAATTAGATGCTCAAAGCTGAAAATCTTATTTTACACAATTTTTGGGTTTTTAATGTAAGCTTAGAAAAGAAAAAAAGGAACTAGAGGCCACAATTTGTAAGTATTTTTTGATTATCCATGAGATTAGCCCAATCAGGAACTCGATTTGTTTTTAAATAATGTTCTTTGCTAATGCATCTCAATGGTAAATCGGCAACACCAAAGATAGCACCACCCAACCAGGCTGTATAATTAGCAAAACTCGGTGTCGTATGAAATTTAAACGTTCTCACCTTTAATTTCTCCGAATAAAGATTACTATTCACTAAATATAATAATTCACTTTTGAGACGACTCACGAATCCAGTGGCCATTGTTGTACCTCCAACTAGAAGAATATTTTCCGCCAATACTCGTCTCATATCGACTGGACACTAGAAAAAAATTTTTTGTTTTAAAAAAAATCAATTTTTTTAATATTAGAAAACTTACTTTTATAATAGCATCCAAAATCATTGTAGGAACACTAAGATTATCATTGTCTCGATCCCATAATACTTCATATGCTTTTTCCCTCACAAATCCAGGAATTTCAAAATTTTGTACACCCGGATATTTAACAGCTGGCGGTGGTGATAATTCATTTTCATCATTTAATTTCACTGATCTTTCCCTCGTTGTAATAAAACATGTTCTCACTTTAATGTCTTCTATTATTCTCTCTGATAATTCTAAATCCGGAATAGTGTCCTTCATTTCTTTTCTGATACAACTGAAAATAATATGAGTATTTTTCCTTAATATTTTTACAATTTAAAATCTTTGAATAAGCGAATAAATAATTACTCATGAACAGCTCGACTGGCAAGAGGAAGTGCCTGCCAGGCTTTTAAGACGGGTATGCCCTCAAAAATGGGAATTAAAATCGCCTCCTCGTAACCAACATCGAGAACTAGTGCAGTTTCAGTACCTAAAGTACTGATACTGACAAGATGTGACGATAAAATCATTAATGAACCAATTTCAAAGTGACGAAAGAAAACTTTAGCGAGAGTATCACGAAATTGTGTTGTTGTTAAAAGTGATTCCAATACTACAACTTTCACATCTTTTGGACTAATTACTATTTGTCTGAAAAAATTCAAGTTTCTTTTAATAAAAATTACAAAACAAAATACTTTTTATAATAAACAATTGCCAGTAATAGAGTTTCAATTTACAAATTTTTTTTTCAAAAGCGTACCTAAACATTTTTTTAAAATTTTATGTCTGAAATTAGAATTAATGTTTTCTTTAAATTAAATAATAACTTACTTGAAAAACAAATTTTGTAAAAATTCCACAAGAAGTTGATATAAATCTTCAGAGTCTTTATAACTGAAAATTCTTCGTATTTCTTTCGCCTCTGGACACTTAACCTCTGATTTTACAATTCCTCGAGGACTTGGTTCTCCCGCGAATCCAAATCTACAATAAAAAAAAATCATTGAATACATAAATTATATAATAATTTATAAACAATTGATTAAAAATTGTAAAAAAATTACTTTGTATAAGCATTGCCAATATCGAAAACAACAACTGGTTTTTCAGCATATCTTACTCTTTCATAGTTACGTATCATCTTTTTGGAAATTATTAGTTTTCGTTATTAAAAAAAAGGAATTGATTTAATAAGGGGAAAAATCACTGTAATTTTAATAATAATATAAAAAATAAGTTGTTTACATTATTAAAAAAGATAGCGATATTTTGACAGTTTTTAGTTCACTAACCTAACAGTTATTAAGAGGGCGCTACTAAAAATGCGCATGCGTAAACTTTTAAGCGCGCGCATTTCACAATTTTCGAATCCACTTCGAAGCGCAGGTCAAAAGAAAAAATACTTTTTCCAAGATAAAATATTCCCGACAGTTTCTGACTAATAGTCGGTACGCGCTGGACGCTGAAAAAAAACTAAGAAATGAAAAATGTGGTTTTTAAATTATGTATCAATAATTTTAATTTATATCAAAAGATAAAACTAACTTGATAAAGGTGAGTCAATTCTTGTATTTTAAATCATTTTCTTAGATTCTGCAAAATATTGAAATCAATTATCGGTTTTTTTTTTATTATTTCTGGAATATTCTTTCGTTTAATTAATAATAATGTAAATAACCTAACCTATAAACGTTGCTTTTTGACAACATTTTCAATGTAAGAAAAACTATTTTATTGTGGTATATAAGTAATTCTTCTATTTAAAAGAACAAAAAAATTAAAATGTTTTTTGAACAATATTTTTGTTTAAACTTAACCGGTGTTTGAAAAGGCAATAAATAAACAGTTTTCTTTATATGGTCATTGATTTTCAATCGTTTGTTATTGCCATTGATGCGTAATATTGTAGTATATATAAATATTGATTATTCTATTTTCACTCCGTTTAGTTGTAAATATTAAAATACTTTTAAAGACAGTTTAAAATTATATTTTAAAATTTACATATTAATTTTTGTATGAAAATCTCTAACAAAGTAGTAATTTATTTTTCAAATGAAAAATAATTTATAGATAACCCTCTTTACACACGTGTTCGACAAATAGTATTCTTAAGGGGTACATTGAAAATCTTTTGCAAAAATCTTTGACATTAAAATGTTATAAAATAAATAAAAATTTAATTAATCATTATTCATTTAATAATAAACTAAATTATTAAAGTTTTATTTAGAAAATGAATTTTAAAATTTAATTAGTTTAATGTAATTTTTTTTCATTAATTTCTTTTTTTAATAAGTAATTATGTTTAGTGTTATGGAAAAAATTAAATTTTTGAACTTTGAAAAGGTTTTTTTTTTTTTTTTTTTTTTTTTTATATATATTTGAAAAACTTTGAAGGTCAATTCCATAAAAAGTATATAATTGTATTGACTAAAATAAAAAATTACTGATATTTTCTTTTTAGGTAAAAGTTAAACTCTTGTGTCGTGGACACAGTATATTTACATATATTGGAAAAGAAAGTAGTTTATTTTCTTTTTTTTGTCACTATATTAAATTTTATATGTGTAAAAACAATTTAATTTATTACGTTTCTAAAACAGAATTGACATTTATAAGTCGTAATTTTTTATGTCATTTATTTTAATCGTTTAGATTGAAGTTCAATGCTTTGAGTTCAAGGCCAAATAATAATGTTCATTTTTAGTCAATTAAATAGAAAACTTCATTGCCACGTGGTGTTTTTCTCCATTTTCTATCAAATTTCTAAATATATACAAATATATATTTTTCTCACCCTCTGTTAAAATGTTATTCGCGTGTAATCGAATTGATCATTTATTATTTACAATAAAAATATGACAATAGTTATTACCGCATTTTATTTCATTTGATAACACACTACTCATTAATTAAATAAAAAAAAGTAATGATTAATAATTTAGAATATTATTTTGTCACAAATAATTTTAAAAAAGTACTTTAAATATAGATTTCTAAAAAAAATGTTTATAGTAAAAATAAGTTTATATCTCGTTTATAATAAAGATTAATTTCAATGATATTAGAACTTTAGGAATATGATTAAGAGAATAAAGTAATAAATCTTTGAATAAAATTTTTGTAAACCATTGTGAAAAATGATTAAGTAACGAAATCACTTTCATTTTCTTGTTACAAAGCATTGTAACAAAAAATAAAGGAAAATTGTCAGAATTGTTATTAAACTACTGTGAGCGTAATAAGCAAAAAGAAAATCATCACTTTCTCAACTTTCTTAAATCATTCTATATCTTTCTGTTGAACAGATGAGTGAGTCTGTGAAAGTAGCTGTACGATGCCGGCCAATGTCCCAACGTGAACTGCAACAAAGATGCAAGGTATATGAAAATTTAGAAATTTTGAAATCAACTGAAAATTGTCAATCAACTTAATGACATGCATAGAATTAATAAATATACACGATTCAAAAGATAAAATTAATTGAAAATAAAAAATATATTTAATACTTTATCAAAGTCATGATTTTTACATAAATACTCTTATATTTAATATTCTAATTACTATTTGATCATTAACAAATTTAATTTAAGAAATGAAATAATAAAAACTCTAACATTTATTTTTTTTTTTTTTTTTGTAAAAAAACTTATTTTACATTCTTTACATAATTTTCTTTTACATTTTTCACTAATTGTTTTTTACGTTCCAATAAAATCAACCAATAAATATGCAATTTCTCTAATTTATAATTTTTTAAAATATTTTTTCACTCTTGATTAAGGAATAAATTTTAATTACTTTGAGATTTTTTAAATTTATAAAATAATGTAGACAAATACATTAAATAATTTACTATTTATACTAAAATCATGACTTTGTATATATATAGTAAGAAGTGCGCTTCGATTAAATGCAATTTCACCTCGTTAAACTCGATAATTATTATTATGAAATGCATCTAGGGCATAGTGTAATCTAGATTCCGCGAAGGAACTAAATAACGATTAAAACCTTTTGATTTATTGCATTATGAAAGTTGTACAATTTTTTTTAAATCGAAATTTTTTTTCAAAAGCGTAAACATTTTTTTAAAATTTTATGTCTGAAATTAGAATTAATGTTTTCTTTAAATTAAACTCATAAATATAAATTTGATAAAACTAAATTTTTCTTTCAAAGAAAATATAAGAAAAAAATTAATAAATTATCTAAATTGAAAATGATTTACTGTAACAAAAATAATAACAAAATTTTGCGACAAATTGATTTATTCTGAATGAGAATGTAACACAATAAAATCTCGGTAAATTAATGAAATTGTCGAACCCCTTGCGTAGCCCAATTAACGTTTTGTGCGTGTGCAATTTTTTTTTTAGTTCTTATCAATTTACTCAAGTACTTGAACGTTATATATCGAGCGTATGTAGCTTAGCAACTACATCAAAACATAGGGTTTTTTTTCTATTAGTCACTGCATTTTTATATTTACTAAATTTATTATGTTAAATTTATTTTATTTATTTATTAATTTTAATTTACTATTTAAAAATTATTGTATCATTTCTTTTACTTTCTTAACGAGGCGTCATGGAAATGTTTAATTTAAAAAGTTTCCATAAACATAATAATAGTCTAGTGTACTATTTACTTTCTGTAAATCCAATGTACTTTTATGTTGTGTGAATAGTAGTTTTATCGATACGCACGTGTCTTATATGACTATCGTTATTTTTATATACAATATATATGATGAAAAAATGTAGAAAACTAGCGTCCAGGTGATATCGATTCGGCACATATTTCACTCTCTTCATTTGCATCGATATAGAAGCAGGTCGTTGCATGTCTCAAATACCCGCCTAGCATCAAATTAACGATTGATATAAAAACAATTCGAGTTCTCTTATCATTAAATTGTTTATAGACACAATCTAAAGACTTTCATTAACCTTCTACAATTCATTTTTTTATCATTATCAACAATAAAGCTTTAGGTAAATAAATTTTTTTATCAGAAATATATGACAAAAATAGAATTCAAATTAAAAAAAAAAAATTTCAGAGGCAAAATTTTTATAAATTGATGAAAATTATTTTCATTAGTATATGTAAGAATGTTGCGACATATGACTAACAAAAGATGAAATGTAATTAACAAAGGAAAAAAAGCGATATAAAAATGTGATTATGCACTGTATTCTCACGGTGATCAATATTGAATGAACAAAAAAAACAAATAATAAAATGAACACTTGCTTGACTGGATATACATATGTATATAAAGTTGAAATGTGCATGTTGAGCGATATTGCGTTATGTATTATATGTTGAATCTCTAATTATTATTACACCTTACAATTTTCGCATTAATTTTTAGAAACATTATAATAAAGTCTTTTTAACAATAGGCTTTCCAATTTTACTTCATTTATCATTATAGCCATATTGTAATCAAGAAACTATTGTTTCCATATTTTCAAGAAATAATTTCTCATTTATATTTTAATTAATTGCACTTTTTTCTAAGATATTCAGTATTTTTTTCGAGAACTTTTAGCAATATTTTTTTTTTTTTTTTGCAAAGCTGTCGAAAACAAAATTTGGAGATAATTGTAATAATAATGTAATAATTTTACCATTATTTCCCCTTTCGTTTATGATGTTAACATAATTTTCCATTTATTTTAAATCCTTTTTTTTTATAGAATGTCATCACAATTGATCCAATTGGCAAAACTTGCACTCTTGACGGTACTGATAGTGGAAAAGTTTATCAATTCGATGCTGCATTTGGCTCAGAGTCTTCAACTGAATCTGTTTACGAGGCTGTTGGATCTGTTGTTGTCGAAGCAGTATTGGAAGGCTACAATGGTACAAAATTCGAAAAATATTAATAATTTCGTAAATATTTATTTTTTTAAATTAGGATTTGAATTTAAATGTGCAGAAATAATATATTTCCAATCTCAAAATACTTAAAAAAAAGGAAAAAGAATCTGAAAAATTTCTCTAAAAATAAAAATTATTTACTGTTGTAGCAACTGTTTTTGCGTATGGACAAACCGGTTGTGGAAAATCCTTTACAATGCAGGGATTCATTGAACGTGCACTTGAGCATCTTTTTGAAGCTACATCGACAAGTAGTCAAAACACGAGATATTTAGCGTTGCTCAGCTATTTGGAAATTTATAATGAGAAACTTCGCGATCTACTGCAGGACAGTGGTGGTGAGAATCTTCTTCAATTGAAGGAAGATCCATCGCGTGGTACTTATGTTGCTGGTGGCCTTAGGGAGACAACTGTTAAAAATGCCATCGAATGCGGACGCCTCGTGGAACAAGGTAATCGTCGAAGAATAGCAGCGGCAACAAAAATGAATCAAGCAAGCTCCAGAAGTCATGCGGTATTAACTCTTTCGTTGGAAGCAATTGCCATCAATGATGATGACGACGACGACGACAATAAACGTAGCAGTGCCGTGAGACGTGGTCGATTACATCTCGTTGATCTCGCTGGTTCTGAACGTCAAACACGAACCGGAGCAACAGGTGATCGACTCAAGGAGGCTGCAAGTATAAATCTCAGCCTCTCGGCGCTTGGCAATGTTATTAGCGCCCTTGCCGCTGGTAACGGTCGTCATGTTCCTTACAGGTTCGTGATCACAATATATCTGAAAATTAAATCTTAATTTAAAATTATTTAAACAAAAAATTATTAATTACAGGGTTGCTACGATTTCGCTCGAACAAAATTCCATGACCTTAATGAATTTTGATGAATTTTATGATTTAATTTTTTTTCCAGGTGTTTTTTTTTCTGACTTTTCCAGGTTTTACAGATTTCCAGAAAGCGTAGCAACCCTGTAATAATATTTGAAATTTTAAATTTAATATAGGTAAAAAAAATAATTCTACTTTTTTCCGAATCTTTTGACTTTCACTCTTTGTATGATCCAGAAAAATTATAGAAAAAAAAATTGTTCTTTGCAATATTGATTCTAAGAAAAATAAAAAAAAAATATTGCCAAGTTCTTGAAAAATTAAATAAACAGTGCGTGTAAGGGAGAAATAGTGAATTTGTAGGGATAATTTATTTAATTTTTCCAGAAAATGACAACATTTCTTATTCTTAGAATCAATAATAAAGCTTACAATTTTTTCTCTATAACTTTGATGGACCACGCAACAAGTCAAAGTCAAGGTAAAAAATTCTTATAAAAAATAAACATTTTTTAACTTTATAAATATTTTTTTTGTTAATTTCTAATTTTTTTAATTTAAAAAAAAAACATTTTTAGAGACAGCAAATTGACACGACTTCTCAGAGATAGTCTAGGTGGAAATGCGAGAACATTAATGATCGCATGCGTGAGTCCCTCAAATGCTGATGGAGACGAAACCCTAAGTACATTACGTTACGCGGCACGTGCACGATGCATAAAAAATAAGCCAATTGTTAATGAAGATCCAAAAGACGCTTTATTACGACAATATCAAATTGAATTACAAAGACTGCGAAAACTTCTTGAATCAAGTGATAATCCACGATTAGATTTAATGAATTCCCCTGATAAAGATGAGACGGACAATAAAAATAATGACGAAATTGAAAATTTACGAAGAGAATGTGAAAATTCCAATATTTCGGCACAAAAATTAAAAGATGAACTATCGGCACTGAGATCGCGTTATGAATTAGAACCTAATGTTAAAGAAATGAATAATTATTTAAATTTAGATGATGAAAAATCGACAGTATCAATTAGTGATAATAAAAATCAGCGTAAGGAAAATAATGAAGAAATTGATCTACTTGATGAGAGAAAAAGACGAAAAAGAGAAGCTGCACGATTGGAAGTTTTAAAAAGATTGGAAAAATTAACAATAGGCGGTGAAGCACGAAGTAATGATGAACTTAGACGTCGACGCGAGAGACGACGAAAACGATTAGAAATTTTGGCAACTGCTTTAGAGACTGATTCGCAGGAGGGAACTGGCGCGGCATTTCAAGTTTATGGTCAGTTAAAAACCGCCGAAGAAGCGCTCAAAAGAATGGCAAAAAGAGCAAGGCAACTCGAAATCGAGGCCGCCGATCTTCAGGTTCTCATATTTTTTAATCTCTTACATTTAATAAATAAAAAAAATATTACAAATAAATTAAATTAATTTGTAATATTGAAAATATTTAAAAAATTGAATTAATTTAATTTCAGGCATCGTGGGACGCAGAAAGAAGAGAACTTCTGCGACGAGAATTGTTGGCATCACAATTATGTGACGCAATGCTCCCTCACCTTCGACCTGGTTGTCCATTTCGTGATTTGGAGGCTATCAGAAACACAGCCACATGGAGTGAAGAATTAAATCGTTGGCGTTTACCAAACGTTTCCATGGTATCTCTACGAATTGCTCTTCCTCCACCTGCTCAATCACGTGAATTGGTGACCAATTGCTTTGACATCGACTCTAAATCAGATCAAAACAATAATAACAATAACAATAATAATAATAGTAGCAGTAGTAATAATAGTAATAGTGGTAATGATGAAGAACGAGACAGTGGAGATGAAATTGGCGAAAGTGAACCAAAAGTCTCCAGGTGGAAAGACATCGCCGACGCTTATTTTCGTAGAAACAGAATCGATGAACTATTAGCACATGCACGCGAGGCCAAAACATTCGGTAAGTTTCAACTTTTTAAACATTTTTTTAAAAATGAATTAATTAATTATTTGAGAAAATATTTTCGAATAATTAATAAAAACTATCTTCATTTATTATTATTTTTTTTAAATCAATAATTGTAATTATCTTCAAAAAATTCAATTTTAAAGCAAAGCCAGAAAATTTTTCTACAATCAATTCAATGAAGTTATTTTTATCAAGAATTTATTCGACACTTATAAATGTTCCTTATATTTTCTTTATTGCAATTTTTAAGTATTACATAATATGAAAAGAAATTTGTCAAGTAAATTTAAAATCGCGCGGCAATTAATCATAACAATATTTTTAATTAATTCCAAACCGGTTTTTTTTTTTTTTTTTTTTTGAATAAAAAGTTGTAACAGTTGAAAAAAAATGAAATGCCTCATCTACTACCAATGATTATTAGCGGTTTTTAGATATAGTTAAAAACATCTTTAAGTAGCATCGTCTAATTTTTAGAATTGCAATTTATGATATATAATCGATCAGTTGAATATAACAGTCATAAAATTTCTTGTCACCTTCTATGTCAAGGCAGAGTGGATTTTTTTTCACAATTAATTTAAGAAATTGCAAAATACTTTCAATCTCAACGTTCATGAATATGGATTTATGTATTTGAATGCATTAAACCTTTATTATTCCGATACCAATTAGATATCTAATCTAATCTATATAAATATTTTTTTCCACTTCAAGGTATTTTTTTACTTGTATTTTCTTTTTCTTTTTTTAATATTTCTTTTTGTATTTTTTTGTCTTGAATTTATTTTTCTTTATTATAATTCTTTTCTTTTTTGTATAACTGCTTTTTTTCCATTCATTTTTGGTTTCGTAAAATTTTTCCAATCAATAGTTATAATTTACCACAGCGAAGAAATATGCTTTCAATGTCTATATAATATATATTGTAACGAATCTTTTTCTATATATACAATGTGCAATTAACATTTTAAAAAAGAATATTTATGGTTCACGGTCAACCAGTTTTGTGAATTTATCCATTTAAACGTCAATTACAAAAGGCGAGGAACCAACAAATTTATATCTGAATATACGTGCTTGAATTGAAAGTAAAAACATGTTGAGAAAAAAATATCAAGTATTTACTTGATTCGCTTGCCTCACAGTGCAATGTGAAAGTTTAAACTTATTTTATCACATGAAACTTTTTGATTCAAATTAAATAAAAACAAATTGAATTTAAATAAATCTATAATTTTTTTAATATAATATACCTAAAGAAATTTTTTTTTATAAATTTCTAAATAATTAATTTATTTTTTTTTATTGGTTAAAATAATTTTTGTTGAAAAAATTGGATTAATTTTTTTTCCGTTTTACAGATTCTGGAACGAGAATCAGTAAATCAGGTGGTTCAGATGAATTAATTCCAAATATAGGAGGAAGTGTCCATGCTCAAATAGGTTCTTTAAATTTACAGACTAGTGTATCGGCGAGTTCGGAAACAAATTTCAAAACTCAACGACTTCCAATTGTCCGACCAACCGGTTGGTTGGCTAGTGATGACAATGTCAGTAAATTGCCAACATACTCAAGCGTACCGATAATAAAAAAACATCCACCCAGAATTCTCGAGGCTCTGCCTTCTTACCCTCTTGGAAATTCTTTCGCGTTACCTTCACATCTTAAAGATCGAAGTGTTTCCTCGTCATTGTCTCCGGAAGACAATTATCAATCACCGTCACCAACATACTAGCGTTAATTTTACATTTCATGATCAAATCAAAATTTATATTTTCAAAAAATATTAAATAATTATTTTTTATATTTTAATTTATTAAAAATATTTTTGAATAATATTTAATAATTTTTTAACAAATATTTTACTTGTCTCTTTATAAAGGTAAATATGTTATGATTCTATCGCTTAAAATTCAATAAAGATCATGAAATGTGTATTTCTCAGTCGTTACGATGACTATCGTGTGACCTGATTGTACAGTAAATTACAGAGTTCATCGTCTTGAAAAAAAAAAACTATAATGATCGAAAAATAGTGATTTTTTTGTTGAAAAAAGAAATATAGATAAATATATTCAAATTTTACAATTTCTAATATAAATTAAAAAGATTCTTTCAAGAATTTGCAGTGGCTGTGAGTTAATGTCTTTAACTATACATTTAAGACACACATAGACTTTAAAAATGTAATTCAAATGAAAAATAATTATTTCTCGACTATTTTTTGTGTTTCTCATAAGAATTCCAGAAAATTCGAATGACTTGTAACTATTTTATTTTTCCTTGTTAATAATATTTTTGCAATCGCAAAAAGTCTTATGGACAATTATGACAAACGTATAATTTATCTCTACTTTCAAAAGAAGGAAACATTTTTTTCTTTAATAAAAATAAAAATTATAAGTGTATGTCTTTGCAAAAAAAAAATAATAATAACGATTTCCTAAATTAACTGACTATTTAAATTATATTCTAAATAAAATAATTTTTGTGAACGAATAGTTTAAAGTAATTTAAAATTTTTTAAAAACACGTTATCTTTTAAATTATTTAAATTTGTTGCAATTTAAAATTAAAACTATTCAAGTCAAACATTTGACAAGGTGCCTTAATTAAGCAATATAGAAATAAATAATGGACCATGGAAGCGATATGTATTTTTATGTAAATGTGAAATTTGTACATTGACAATTGTTATCTTTAAAAAAATATTGATTATGTATATAAAAAAAACTTATTAATGTTTATTAAAGTGCTTTTAATTTAATAATCAAATTAGTTTTTATTTAATTTTAAAAAATTAATATAAAGCAAAAATAAATTTTAAATATATATTAAATAAAATATCTCCTTCCTATTTTTGGATTTTGCAATTTTTTTAAAATAATTTAATTAAATATTAAGAATGTAAATATTTAAAAATTAAATTTAAAAAAATCACTTAAACTGAATTTTCTTACAAAACTTATTGCAAACTACATAATTCTCGTCTTCTAGTATGGTATCTAAAGAAGTAACTGTTCCCTATAAGAGCCAATGCAAGCAACATTTTCCCATTTCTAGGTCGTATTCACTGTGAGTTGTTTTTCCTTACGATTCTTTTTTTGATTAAATTGACTGTTTATGGATAAAACGTTACTCAAGAATGTTTTCTTATTATCAAAATAGCCACTTATATTAACCGTAGGCTAAAAAAAATCTTTTCTTCCTTTTTTTCTTCTATAAAAAACAGAAAATGTTACCTACTATTCAACACTATAACGGTATAAAGCAAACTACAATCTATCGAATTTATGTATGTACATACTTTGTAATTACATTGCGGTATAAGACCTGATGCATACATTTTGCAAATTGCCTTATTCCGAACTTTGACTCTCTAAAACCACATTTTGTAATAAAAAAAATTATTTTCCACACAAAAATGATGAACCTCAAACAAACATTTGTTTTTTTTTAATTCTTATTTACTATTCATTAGAATGAAAAAATTATAATTATAATATTTTCTTAAACTATTATTAAGACACCAAAAGGTCAATTTTTGTGTCATTTACAAAAAAAAAGAAACAACACAAAAAACTTGGTAAAAATTATTATCAAATAAAATTATAGCTTAAAAAAACCCGTAAATGAATAAATAATGATAATTAACATTACACGAATATGAATAATTTATTTTCTTAATTTAAGTTGATGAAAAACTTCATTTTTAATTAGATTTTAATTAAAATCAATGTTCTTCCAATAATTAGATTTAAAATTTTTTAAAAATGTTTAAATAAATTTGAAAATTAATTTATTAACAATAAAAACTAGTTATGTTAAAAATTTAATTACTTTATAATTTAAAAAATAATTTTTAATAAAAATTGATGAATTTTTAAAAAATATAATTATTTTCATTTGGAGAATATTCTATTTAAATAAAAATTTGTTGTGAAAAATAATTTGTCATTTACAATAGAAAAACAAAATACATATATGTACATCTATCGATTTTTCAAACATTTTTGGAATATAACGTAACTATTGTTATAGTATTTTATTGTTTCCGGAAACAATAAATGCCTATAGGTGAGTCATAGTAACGACAATAATCGTTATCAATGATACAAAATTTAATTTAAAAAAAAAATGTTAAACTCAAATTTTCTCAAATTATTTGAAAATTAAAGTAATTAATTTAACTAAATTAAATTATTAATAATTATTCAATATACAAAAATAAATTTCGTTTCTATCATTGTTGGCTATTATTATAAATCATCAATTATAAATCGTGAGAGTCCATTGACTTGTAGAAATCATAAAGTTCTTTTCCGATGCATTAAGTGTTAAAAATTATATTAGTTGTTTTTAACGACTGTGGACTATAAAATTTAATTGATTTGACTATACAAGTTAAAAATAAGAACGAAAGTGTTAAATTTCCTGTAAGGAAGAAAACTTACCCGCAATGGATGAATGCCTTTTACTTTCTCTGTTCCAATGTAAAACGTGAAACTGCATCATGTGAAATAATCCAAAAGAAGACCACTTTCCCTATCATCCCGCTTGATCTCTGACTCGACCACTTATGACGTTGCAACTTAACTTAACACATATTAATCCAAACCTATTGCATTTTCTTCCACGTGCTCTTGAAGATTGCACAATAGTATGTCTTTTTATTCTTTAACATGACAACAGAACTCCATTAGATTTCAATTTCATACAAGACATTTTTTTTCCTTTTCATTGAACACCTTTCTCTATTTAATATATTTCTGGAAAAAAAGCATTTCTTGTTAATTATTATACAGAAAAATAAAACAGTTTTTATTTGAAATATAATATAGATTATGTAAAGTAATCTATACTTGAGTAATTTTTATTTTACTTTATCACCATAAAAGTAATATTTAAATGAAAAGTGACAATAAATTACAATGCATATCCATTTGAATATTCAGGTACTGCTTTACTTATTACCATCGAATTTAAATACTAGAATTGGAAATCAACAAGTAATAAAAAAATATATGAATATTTTAATATGGAAAAACAAATTTTGCTAATTTAACAAGAGCAGAAAAATGTTCATTGACAAAATTATAGCAAAGTTATTATTACAAAATATTAGTTTAATATTTCAAATTTTTAATAATTATCAATAATAAATTCAAAATATTTGTATAAAAAACACGATCTTAGAAGACAATTTTTAAATTCTATAAATAAACTTTTGAGAAACTTTCACGTTTTTAAAAAAATTCTGACACATGTGACTGATCAAACAAAAAAAAGTAAACAAAAAAAGTGAGGTTAGAATTGCCATATATAAAAATAAAAAAAAATTTTTTGCTTCTATACATTTCAAGATTTGCAAGATTAAGTGAATTACAAATATAAGAGAAAAATAGAAGACTAATAAAATATTTTCAAAATTAAAACTCATGTTTTTATTTTTAAAAGAAAATAATATTATTTTCCCTAATGACAACGGGTTCTTGGTCACGTCATGGTCAACTGATCAGCTGATTTCAAAGAATAAAGATGGAGATAAAAACACAAAGCCGTCAAGAAAGACAGTAAATTAAATTAGTATGTTTGAGTGTATATAACAAAGGTTCTGGTGAATAAACAAGAAAATAGAAAATTTAGCGAGAAAACAAAAATAAAATGTCAATATTGACATAAAGCTGTCAATTCTGTGCATTGTCAGAAACCAAATTGGTTTTATATAATGTCTTCTTTTTAATTATATTTTAACAAGAAACGTGTTTGTATGAAAGAGCTCGCAACTCCTATCAAGTAGAATATCAAACTATCAGAGCATTACGTGGGGGAGAATGGCTACTCGTGGAGGAAGAGGCAGCAGTGATTCCTCCACTCTCGATTATTCAGTTCGCTGTGGAACGTTCGCTCGCAAAGCGGCGTTTTCTCCACATGAATAATATACTAAACCAACAATAATAATTAAAATAGTGTTCAGTGCAAATAAACATGGAAAATGTTTCAATTTTATTGTAATTATTATTATTGATTTATACATATAGAGGAAAGAATTGTTTTTTATTTTGAGGTTAAGTGCGCATCATCCGCAGAAAATGCGTCTCTATGACACATTAATGGCATGTGTTTTATGTTCATTGTCATTAATGTTTCACCAGGAAGACTGTGTTGTCATTCATCGATGAAACATCTCCTGCTTGACGAATAAACAGCAATAACAATGTCCTCGGTTTTTTCAAAGTTAATCGACAAAACTTCCGCAAAATGTGGAATTCGACAGGAATATTTAACAAAGGGTGTCGTAGGTACATTGACAGCCCTTTATCTATTGAAAATTGGTTATCCTTATATTGCAGCTGGTGCAAAATGGAGTCAAGCAAAGGTGTCGGGTGATAAAAAGAAGAGGAAGATAAAGAAAAACAATGATGAGAATGATAAAAAAAATGAGAGACATCTACGACGATGTGAAGAAATTGAAGAAAATAATGATTCAAAGACAAAGAATGGCAAGAAACCGGCTGTGGGATTAGATAGAGTATTTTTTAAACAGCTGATTGCACTTCTGAGAATTATGATCCCAGGATGGAGAACGAGAGAAGCAGGTTTGCTGACCTGTGCCACCTTGGCTCTACTCACTAGGACTTTTCTCTCTGTTTATGTTGCCACACTCGAGGGACAAATTGTCAAAAGAATTGTCCTTAAAGATGTTAAGGGTTTCTTTTTTATGATGGCTAGATGGTTTGCAATTGCATTTCCGGCAACTTTTATTAATTCCGCGATCAGATATTTAGAGGGACGTCTAGCTCTTAGTTTTAGGTAAGATTTTTGTTTTATTTTAAAAACTCAAGGAATATTTTTTAACGCATTTTATTTGCTTTGTCTTAGAAAAATTAATTAATTAAAAAAAAATGTTCGAATTCAAATTCTCGAATGTACTACAGAAAATTAATCATCACTAATTTAACGTTAATTAAGTGGAATAATAAACGAATATATGAATCATTTCTTCCTATGATTTCAGACACATTACATAATCTTGAACTTATAATTCACGCACAAAAAGAATAGAATAAGGATAAATTATTGACCTTTGAAATATAATTTTATTCAGTTAATGTCCTTAAAAATGTCTACGAATATATTTTTTTACATATATACTTTTTTATGTTCCAAATATATCTCGTTAATGACATTTATTTTCAAAGACAAATATTTTATTTAAATTAATTGTTTTTTAAAATTTTTGTGTATTAATATGTATAAATAATAATATATATAATATTAATATTTTTAATCCTCTTTTTGCAATATTTATGATTTTGTTAAAATGCGACAAATATTCCTTTTGTTTTGATTAAATCGAAATTAAATTCAATTTATTGGAAAAATCGATTGATTTCTTTTCAATAAATTAAATTTTATTTAAGAAGAAATAATTTTAAAGGGAACGACTAGTGGAGTATGCTTACAAGATGTATCTCAGTCAGCAAACCTACTATCGAGTATCTGCTCTTGATACTCGTTTGGGAGGTGCTGAACAAAGACTGACGGACGATCTCTCAGAATTAGCAGGATCCGTCGCACATCTTTATTCTAGTTTAACTAAACCCTTATTGGACTGTGCTCTCGTGGGAATTGCTCTTATTTCATTTTCGGCACGAATGGGAGCGAGAACAGTGCCAGGTGAGAAAAAAAGGATCAAAATTATTTCGATTGTTTTTTTTTAGTACCTAAATTAAAATCAATTTGAAAAATAATAATATTACAGCATAAAATTTTACAATGAACTAAATAACGGTATTACTCAATCAAAATATAATTGTCGATAAATTGACAACACGCCGTTTCAAAGGCTCCAAAGGTCATTGATACCGTGTTTTTTCTCTCTTTTTTAATTTTATTCTCTTGGTCGATGACATAAATGCCAATCAATTATAAAGATTGTGATTCAAGGTTACAATTAAAATGCTAAAATTCTTTATCTCAATTTTTTGTTTGCATATCTACTTTTGAATAATTTATTTTGACTCGAAATTTTCTAAAAAAAAATATACCGCTATTTTTAGAGTTGATTTTCAAATTTTTTTACAGTAGTTATTATGATGGTAATAAAATTTTTTTTTTTAATCAACTTTTTTACTTTTTTTTTATATTTTGTAAAGTTGATTTAATAATTGAAATTATCTTCAAATTTTAAATATTTTCAAATATTAAATCAAATAATTAAATCAATAATTCTATTGGATTTACCTGTTGATTTTTTTTGTGCAGGTCCATTACTGTCACTAATCGTAATTGGTGTAACTGGTCAGGTGTTGCGTTTGGCTTCACCTCGGTTTGGTCAGCTAGTCGCTGAAGAGGCTTCACGTCGTGGACATTTGAGGGAGGCACATGCACGAATTAGTGCACATGCTGAAGAGATTGCATTTTATAATGGACATCAGGCCGAGCATCGATATCTTAGTACAGCATATAAATCGCTCACAGCTCATTTACGAAGAATTCTTGCCCTTAAATTATGGTACGTGATGCTCGAGCAACTTCTCATGAAATACGTGTGGTCGGGAACTGGACTTCTCGTAATTGCCCTTCCCATCCTGTACACCTCGCAGACCAAATCTTCAAGTCTTATGCAAGAAAATAACGGCGATGGTGAGAGAGATAGTGTGTGTGTGTGTGTGTGTATGAAAGAGAGACTATTGAAAAATCATTAGCTGAAAAATAATTCAATTTTATTATAATCGAATATTAATCGTAAATTAGAAAAATAATTATTAATGAAAAAAGACTTAAATGAAAAAAAATATATATATAAAAGTAAAATACTTTGAATAATTAATTTTTAGTTTAATATTTTTTCTTATATACTTTTTTTATTAGTAAATCAGTGTTTAATATAAGTTTTTTATGCAAAAAAATTTTTTACAGGTGTGAGTGAAAGAACAGGATATTTAACAACGTCAAAAAATCTCTTATCATCCGGTGCGGATGCTGCTGAGAGGCTTATGTCTTCTTATAAGGTAAATTGTAATTTTTAAATTATTTTTTTATTATAACTTTTTATTTAAAAAATAATTTGTTTAAGCATTTTATTTATGATTTACTTTTGATAAAAATTGAGTTTAAATTTTGTGCAAATGAGTTATTTTTTTCGAATTTATTAAAATTAATATTTTGTTATTTTTTAGGAATTAGTTGCTCTGGCAGGATATGTAGCCAGAGTTAGTGAAATGTTGGATGTCTTTAAGGATGCGGCTTTGTGCAAATATTGCAGAAACGTCGTGACAAGTGGTCAATCTAGAATGAGTAATGGGAGCGTGTCGATGTCGGTAGAAAAAATTATTGAATTCCAAGATGGCACTCCTGTTATTAAAGGTATATAAGACTTTTTTCTTTTCTTGCTCAATAATACAGTTAGATCATTTTTTTGTATTTAACTTCAATTTAATTAGATATCTCATTTCCTTAGGTATCGTTCGAGAAAGCTCTGATGGTAGCATCACTCTCAAGGACGTGCCAATTGTTACACCCAACTGTGAAGTTATTGTGTCAAAAATCAATATTCAGGTATGTGATTAAAAAAAAATGTAAATATTAAATTATAAATTATTTCCTTTTAATTTAATTTTTTTCTATTTATGAATTGTTTTCTGTTATTTTTTTTACGAAATTAAATTATTAATTAGTATTAAATAAAATGAAATTTTTATTAGTGTAACTTTTTTTAAAATTTGAATTTGGAATCCACAGATACGACCGGGCGATCATTTAATAATCACCGGACCAAACGGATGTGGGAAAAGTTCCCTCTTTCGAGTGATATCCGGTTTGTGGCCGGTATATAATGGAACATTAATTCGTCCATCGGAAACATGTTCGATACGAAATGGCAGGCCAGCATTATTTTATATACCTCAAAAACCTTACATGACTGTGGGTTGTTTACGTGATCAAATCACATACCCAGCAGAATGTAAAAAAGATGAATATTCAGATGGGGAATTATTGAAACTTTTAGATCTTGTAGATTTAAAGGGACTTGTGGAAAGAGAAGTTGAGGGCCTAGACGCACACGGTGATTGGGATTCAACATTATCGGGTGGTGAGAAACAGAGATTAGCAATGACAAGATTATTCTATCATGCTCCACAATATGCTTTGTTGGATGAATGTACAAGTGCCGTTAGTCTTGAGGCTGAAGGGGCATTGTACGAGACTGCAAAACAACGTGGCATTACTCTCTTAACAATTACACATCGTGTCTCATCACTCGCGAAATATCATCGTTTACTATTGGAATTTGATGGCGAGGGCAAATGGAATTTAGGTCCATTGGATCCAAATTCGGAAATGATCGCGATAAATCGTGATCAAGAGGAAATTGACAGAAAGGAGGGGCACTATCGAAGACTACAGGTAACAAAATATAAAAAATTAATTTCAATTTGTGGAGAAAAAGTACAAATTTTTTACTGTCTGAAATAATCGGATATGATTTTTTGATCGAAGAAAATAATATCAAATTTTATCAACTATAAAATAATTCTGAAATTAAAAATTGCAGGAAGTTCGTGGGATGCTCAAAGAAGATACGCACATTGGAATCAGTTGAGAGTACCTGTCAATGTGGCTTTCTCTCATCGTGTGCAAATTCTTGCGATATTTATTTTATTTCGCGTGAAATGTACATATATATAAATATTATTTGGACTTGGATAAATTTAGATAAAAATGTACAAAAAAAAACTGAATGGCTGAGATTAAAACAAGGAAATATTTTTCTAACAATGATGCAATTGCAATCTTATAAAAAAATAAAAAATGTTTCCTGCGTTCGGAAACTTTTGAAAAAGAAAAAAAAAATAAAAATAGATGTTTCTTTTTTTTTAAATTCGTATTTAAATAGCAAACTTTCTTTTTTAGTTAATATTGTGATTATATTATAATTTAAAACACAACAAACATTTGCAAATATTTCATGTTGCTCAATGATATTATCGGCAAAATTTATGTAAAGATTTAAAAAAGAAATAAATATATATTTAAAAATTCTCTTTGAATCTTGAAAAGAAAATTGTGTATTTTTATTTTAAAGTTATTTTACTAGAATTCTTTCGCTGCAATTGATAACTGAATAATAATTATTTAAATTATTTTAAATTAATTAATAATTAATTTAGTATTATATTTCATTATAATAATAAAATGATTTTGATTTTATTCTTTCTTTTAAAATTTTAATTATAAATCAAGTTTTTTTTTAAATATTTAAATTTGACAAGAGATTAAAAAATAATAATTGGAATTTGAGAATTTAGTTAATAATTTTTGTAAAATGATCTTTCGCGTATTTTGGTTCAAAACTTGTAAACTTGAGAATTCGAAGGCTTGAAATAAAGGGGTGGGACGAAAAAAAATAGAAAGAGTTGAGGGATGTAAATGAGAGGAGAGCAAAGTGTGAATCCCTCTGGTTCCAGTTAGATGATTAATTTAAAAAGGTGGGGAGGGAGAATTTAATTACGTATGTTTCTTTGTTTTGAAAAGAGAGTGAAAAGTGAACAAGGAGGGGCAATTTCAGGGGAGGGAAGACCCTCAATATCCGATGAGCTTACCTCTGGGAAACCTTGCAAAAGCTAAACGTCGATACGCCCGGCAGCAGCCATCTTGGGGGTTGTGTACCTCTCTCGCTCTCAACTCGACATCGAAATTAATGCTTCAGCACAACTCGAGACAGTTTTCATGACTCCTCTTTCAACTGCAATGTCGTTTAACTTTCCCTCCGAACATTGCCCTCTTCACTTTTATTATTCCTAAAGGGGAGAATAATTAATAAATAAATTTTAGATAAAGATAAATTATAAACATGCTTTAAATCTTTTTCGAATTAGTCAATCAATTCAAAGTAAACAATATTTAAAAACAAAAACAATTTGAAAAATATTATTTTACAATGTCAAAAGTAGAATTAAGATTTTTTTAATTTCCAGAAGCAAACTAGTAATAATTAATTAAATTAACTAATTAAAAATTCACCGTTCATTTTAGTGAACACGTGTGAAGAAAATACAAGGACTCAAATATCTGATCTTTGATATCGAATTTCACATTTTTGAAAAAGGGTTGTTCTTTTCTTTTGCATCTGCGTTCTCTTTTAAGAAGCAAGAGAGGGCCGGCTATGAAAATATAATTCGTGGCCAAGATTAGCTTCATGTACGGTTACCGTTCATTTGTAACAGTTTTTCGAGGATTAAGAACAGAGAGAAAGAGAAAGTATATCTTTCCATCGAGGAGATCCCTCTTCGTTTCAATGTGCCGTTCTTTGTCTAAATAACCCGATTGAATTACAAGAGAGGGCTGAGCGCGTGCCACTCGGCCACCGCAAAACGCAAAGCATCAAGAACCTATACATATATATATATGTATAATAAGCCACGTTTTTTTTCTTTTGATCAGTATCATTTCTAACGCTTTGGGATTTTCTCGGATTGAACAAGTTTTTTATTGACACGTTCACAATACGATGATGACTGAATAAAAAATAACCGAGAAATTTTATTGAAACAAATTTGTATAACTTAATTCTTATTTAGCAGAATTTTTATTAAACTGAATTCTTATTTAACAATACTTTTTTTAAAACTGGATTTTTATAAGCAATAATTGTTCGATTTGAAAATTCTATTAAATAATAATTCGGATAAATAAAAATTTTCTAAAACAGAGGATCTAATATCAAAAATTCAGATAAGTAGATATTTTGTTAAATAAAAGTTCGCTTTAATAAAAATTCTACGATGGTGAAAATTAATAATAATGTATGAAGAAATACCACAAGGAATGAAAAAGAGAACCAAAACGGAAGATTAGTCAAAATATATTAAGTTAAACAAAATAGATACATTTCAAGATCAAAGATATTATCAACTAATTTTGGATTTGGTGGCACGCGTATCAATTTAGGGATGAATGAATGTAATTTAGGGTTCTATCAATTGATGATGAGACTTACTTGTATAATAAAGTCTCCATTTATCACGTGGAAGATTATCCCAACAGCAATCACTTATATGAGTAGCGGGACCTTAACCATGGACAATACGGATACTGTCATCTCATCGTGCAAGCCAATCACTCAATCATATGCGCATTGAGAGAGATAGGAGTCGGTTGTTGTGCATTCATAAAACGGAATGTGTGTGTATTTTCATCCTCGTATAAGTAAAGCCAAAAAAGAATGGACAACAACAAACCGCAATATACATCACAGAGAGTTTTGCGGTGTTTACACAATTCATTAATGCCTGCTTGATCCTATCTCTCACTCTTCGTTTATATTGTACTTTCAGGTGTAAGCAAACACAGGTGTTGCAGTCGCGCTCCACATCTTCTCTCTCGGGTGCTTTAATTTTGCTGGTGATGATTTTTATAGAAATCCATTCTGCAAAAAAAAGTTATGTAAAATCTGTTCTTAAAAAACTTATTATTATTTTTTGTAAGAAAATCAAATCCAAAATATATAAAAGATAAAATAACAAAAAAATTATTATTTTTCAAAAAATTGTAAATAAAAGTAATATTTTTTTCAAAATACAATTTTTAATGTTAATATTTGATAAATTTACTTTTGATAAAAAAAAATGATTTTTCCAAAGCAAAAAAAAAAAAATTGTAAATAAAAAAAAATTGCTCAAAAATGACCGTTAAATATAATTATTTTTTGCTCATTAGAAAAAACTTGAGGGGGACTGAGAAGTTTTCTTTGGGGTCCTACGTAAATACCAAAGACTCAATCGGTTGGAAGTGTAAGAAGATACCCTTTATTCACTCTAGACGAAAAGTGCCTTATATTATTTTTATATTGGGATATGTTATATTGATGTAAAACTTGTGAGAGAAATACATCAGTCATTTAGAAACACACTCCTGGAAGACAATGCTAATAAATTAATAATAATGACAAAAAAAAGAAATATTTTATATTCTACAATAATAATATAATAACTAAGAAAAAATTACACAATTTGAAAAAAAACAAATAGTTTTGAAAAATTTGTAAAAACATATACCTTTTTGTGTATACCGTTCTGCGAACAATTCGACTGGATACGAATTGAGAGAGAGAACTTGATCCCTAGCCGGTTACATCCACCACCGGTTGGAGAACCAATGTGTCCGGAATACGTGTACTTGACTTCCTCTTCCTGTGTCCTGGTCGGAACTGCTAGTTGTCAGGTGTTGAGCCTACGATATTTGATATATTCGATAAATTTCAAGCTAGGACAGTCGATCTGCCCTCAAAAAAATATCTTTCCCCGTTACACTTTTCAAATCCCTAAATTTTTTTTCATTTCTTTTCAAATTAGAAACAAAAAATAGTATTTAAATTACTATTAACCATAATTTAAAATTTCCAAAATTAGAAATATATTTTGCAGTTTTAATTAAAATGTTTAGTACTACAGTGGAACCTCGATTATCCGAACTAATCTAGGCATGGCCGGGTTCGGATAATAGAGATTTTAATTTTTTTTTATAATTAAAGTAAAAAAATGTATAGTTGAACTATATATTTAACTTAATACATATGTTTTTAAATATACATAAGTATATACATATATGTAAATATATATTACTTAATAATATATTAAACACTCAGAAAATTCGGAAATTTAAAAAAAAATTTTGGTATAAATTTGGTTATTTTGCTTTGAAAGATAGCATCTATTTGTTTTTTAGATGTCAAATCACGCGTTCTTCTCAGAAATGAATGAATGATAAAATAAATAGAGAAAATAAAATTTAAAATTCGAGAGACCAAAAAATAGTTCGGATAAAATGTTTTTCGGTTCGGATAATCAAGGTTCCACTGTACTTTTAATTCTTTGTAAAAATTGTAAAAAATGCTAACTTAGTTCTTTATTATTATTATTCTCCGCTACCAAGAATATATTTAGCGTTCAAATAGAATAAAGGAAAGAAAATAATTTACTGCTAGATTTGATTGTTAGAGAATTTTTCAATAAAACAAAAAATTGGATTCTGGATGGCCGGGCTCACTGTTGACTGGTCAATAATATGCGAAAGGGAAGGCATTACGAGCCAGTGATCCTGCGAGTATCCTGAGTATCGAGGGCACAAACTGCTATGCAGGACCACCGTGACAGCGTGGTAATGGTATCTGGAGAAAATATAATATCCTCCAAAGATCGAGGCGGTGAGTAGACTGACGATCGTTGAATGAACGATTAGTATCTCATGTCGTCAACGACAGTGAGCAACATACATTATATGTGTGTGGATATAACATAGCTTCACCAACCGATGTCTTCTCACTAGAAAAAAAAGAAACATAATATTATTATCTAGTCAACTTTATTTTTATCATCTTTTTTTAAACTTCATTTATATTTCTATCTTCTATCTCAAGTTTTATCAAAAAAATTTATTTATCCCAATATTTACTTGAAAGAAAAAATTTTCTTTCCAATGGTTTAAATATATTTATAGGTGACTATAAAAATTCGGAACTAATGAATGTTAGGGAACATTCATCTGGGCGTAAGAAATACACAAATATGTATTCAGAATTTTAAATAAAAATAGGAAAATATTTTTGAATTGAGATGAAATGGATAATTTGAAGGAAAATTGTTATTGGTTCGTTCACCTGAGATTTTTCGCCGAGTTTAAAAAAAAGGACTCGAATATCTTTTTTCGCCTCACAGACTAGCACCTACACATGCACACATGTGGATGAACAAGGATCCACATGCAGATGTGAGATGATACGTCAACATGATGAGCTTGCATACAAGAAAGACTCATGTGAGAAAGAGAGTAGTGGGGTTGTAGTTAGCTGGGTAAGGGGTGAGACAGAGTGAGAGAGAGGGTAGAAGGTGGTAGGTGCTTAGTTAGCCAAGACACATTGACAGGCCATCGTGCCAGCATGGCAGTAGCCCTTAGGACGCGACACTTTGACTTTGGTACCACGTTAAAACATTTAAAGTGACTTCCAGTAAAATAAAAAATCATTTTCAAAAAAGTTCAAAACAACTTATTTTAATAAATAGAAACTGCGTTGGCAAATACATATTTCTTTAAAAAATAATAAATATTTGAATTTCAAATTATTGTCAAATTTTTAAGAAGAGTCAGTGAAGTGATAATCGAATAAGAGAGATTGACAAGTGAAGTGATATAATCTAATAAAAATTGAAAATGTGACCTAATTATTATATTCGAGGGGGGCGAATAAAGTGATTAAAAGAAATTCTTTTTATCGTACAAAAAATTGTCAAGTGTGCGAAATAGAGGGGAAAAAATGATAAATTTAAATTGTGAATATTGATGATGGATGAACTTCAAAGAATAGTGTTTATGGAAAAGTGCTTCTCTCTCACGAGATGACGGAATATATCACGTGGATACAACGTCACGTGGAGAGAGATGCACATGGTTTTAAATCTATGAATGGAAATATATCGCAGGTTTCCCGCAGAAGCCCTTAGAAGAGACCGGCAGGTCTTCCAAGCCATAAAGGTACTACTTCCATTCGCTTGGCCCATACGCACGTGCTTTTCTCTTTTAGTCATTCATGAAAAGTCCTCGAATCTGATCAGTCCTTATCAGTTTCATCCCTCCTTCATCTTCCATATACAATATCGCAAAAGAATTTCTGCAATTAAAAAAAAAATTATGATATTGTCACTCACAAACCTGTAACTATCACTTACAGATCCTTGTTTTATGATTAACAAAACCTTTGATTAAAGTCAACATCTCTCAACATCATTCTTTTTGCCTTTTTTTAAGATAAACATTTTTAAAAATGGCACAATACGATTGTAATTCAATAATTAATTAATTTAATAATTATTATTCAACTATAACAATATAAAACAAAAATGATCTAAAATCATTGTTATCAATCAAAATAAATTTAAATTATCAGGATTATTATTCGAAAAAGAAGTTCACTTAAAACGAATTCACTGAAAAAAATGGATAATTAGATTACGATTTGTTTCGATCTGATTTTGTGAAAGAATTGAAAAAACAATCGCAAAGTAAAGCTACTTATAAAACTACAGTTAATTAAATAATGATTTCTCAAATTGAGTTAAATTTATGCTCTCGAGTTTAAAATATTTCTTTTTTTTACCAATTAAAAGCATTGATATGATTAAATAACATCAACCGATATAAACTACAATTTTCAGTCAATTTAATTAAAACGATATTAAATTTAAATGGATTCTGATTGATTGAATAATATTGTAATTTCATTTTGAAAATACACAGAAAAATTAACCGATATTTACATTTGAATTTCAGTTAAGTTATCAAAAATGAAAATTTAATTAATTGATCCTAAATATTAATTAAAAGCTTTATAAAAAGTAAAAAAGAAATTAAAATATTTTAAAATTAATGAATAGAAAGTTGCTAAAAAGTATATTTCAAAGTTTAACTAAAAAAAGGAATACCTTTTTTGAAATTACTAATAAGTAAAAAGTTGTCAAGGAATGAAAAATTAAACAAAGAGAATATTTTTGCAATTAATAAATAAAACAAAGCTAAAAATATTTGTTTACTCGCGAAAATGTATAAAGTCGTTAAAATATTCTTTTTGCAAAGTAAAAATTGATTTAGAAAAAAAATTGAATTAAAAATGAATTTAAAAAAAAATGTCTCCATGTGAAAAAATGTTCATAACATCACATAAAATTACTATTTTAGCTGAGAATTTCAAAGCGGAACGTCTGGTTGCTAGGACAACCGGAGGGGCTGGACCACATCTCTATAGAGACGGGAGGCTGGTGGCTACTTCTGAACAGGGGTTTTTGAAAGGGGGTGTTTCTAAGGGAAACTTGTCGGTGGAAAATTTGCAGAGATGGAGTTTCTGCAGAACCATCATTCGGCCAATACCACCGACTCACCGTACACTCTTGGCACAGGTAAGTTTTCCCCAAAATATATATTATTTTAATCAGAAAAATTTTTCCCTTTTCTTCTGCTCGCAATAAAAATTTTCCATTTTTTTTTCGATTTTACCGACACAATTTTCACAATCATTTTTCCTCACATATTTGTTTAATTTTAAAAAGTGTAATAAGAAAAAAAATTCGTGCAATTTTACTACGTTTAGTAGTAATCATAAAATTATCATAATAATTTGTTTAGAAATTAATATGTTTTGTGGCATGAAATATTTGAATTTATAAACTATGTTCTATGAAAGCTTTTCTAGTATTGAATTTTAGTTTTATTTTGAGCGAAATTTTATTGAAACTCGACTAAATTGAGAAAATTGTCCCAGACTGCAGTAGTAAAATATTGCATTAGTCAGACGCGCAGAGTTAAGTCACTTTCTACGTCTGACATTAACAGACTGAATTTACTTCACAAGATTATAATTACAAAAAGAATTTACATTGAAATTGAAATATTATAAATACAATTTACCATAAATTGAAAAAGAAATTTAATTACTTTATGGGAACATTTTAATTATTTCATATGAAACAATCTTTATACAAAATTATTGATATGGGCCGGTGAATTTTATTTCAAAATGTACCACTAATAAAAAACTATAGCTTGTAAAACACTTTTAATACATAATTTATTTTATTAAATTGTATTTTAAATATATGTATAAAAAGTAAATTTCGTGAGGTTAAAAAAGCAGGTAAAAAAAAATTAATAAGTTATTTTTAATTTTTAAATAGAAAAATAATTACATGTTATTATTTATTAAAAATATATCTAACCTTCGCCTGCAACCCCTGTATAATATTTCGAAACATAAAATGTACCGGAAATACACGCGATTTAAAATAATTCAAACACTTCGGAAACCATGTTTTTAAATTAAGAAATAAAATACTTTCTAAAGCTCGAGACGCAAGTATCAGAGTAATAAAATCCCTGTATAAACATAAATTATAAAAGTGATAGTTTTGTTAATTATTAATAAGAAAAATAATTTTTTAACAGTGGTGATTTAGAATAATATTAGTTATACAAGAAAATAAATTCTTAGTGGTACGTTTTGAAATATAGAAAGTCCATTCTTAACTTTCTTGTAAAAAGATTTCTAATAGAACTTGATTTTTAAAGTAAATGTATAATTAAAATTCACAGCCTTTATCAAGATTCCTGTCTTTTCCCAGTCAAGAAAATTCAAAGTATTCCCGATCAGTGCAGCCACCATAATTATATTAATTAATTATTACATCTAATTTTAAAGTCCTAATGAAAATAATGATGATTATAAATTCTCGGTCATAATTTTGTAAATAATTTAACTCTTTCACGCAAAAAATGAGAAATTAATGCGCAGCAAGATGTAATAGACGATATAAATTTTTAGAGTATCTGAAAAATACCCGGTTTAACTATGAATTTCACTATATGAAATGTGATGTCCACTATATTTTCCATGGATCAAATTTTGCGTTTTTTCCCCCGATTCTTTCTATATGCATTAATAAAGTTAGTGGTTTAAACTTTTTTCATTTGAATTAATTAATAATAACTATTCGTAAATGATGATTAATTATCAGTCAAAAATAAACTAAATTCTACTAATTATAATTAATAGAAATGTTACTGACAGTGACAGTATTAAATTAAATTCTCCGTTTAAAGAAAAATTCCATTTAATTAGCGGCGGATTTTAAATTAGGATAATTTCCCGGCTATTATCTATAGTTTTTCCTAATTTTCCGATTATCATAATATAAAGGTATTCTAATTAGAATAAAAATAAAAAAACAATAGGTGCGGTGGGGAGTATTGAGGCAACAATATCTTCTGGCCTTTGTTCGGGAACATTGGGAGTCCTAGGCGGTGACGATGGTCTAGCTGATAATCAAAATGAAGAGGCTCTAGGTGCTCTGCAAGGTACACTGCGATTGCAGGACCTTCAGAATTCACCTGAGGACATAAACGTTGATCAAAGTCAACACGTTCAAAATTCCAATCAAAATCAAGTAGTCACCGAATTTGGTGCGAGTTTTTGGGTCGACGATATGGCTGGCTTTCCTCTACCGCCTTTGGATTTGGATCCACTTCCGCCGGGACTCTTTAGTCCATGTTCCGGAAGCTACAAGTGAGTTAATTCATAATTGACAAACCGAAAATCATTTTTAGAAATAAAAAAAAAATTTCTCCACACTTACTTATTATTGACGTGAGGAAAATTTTGAAAAACAATAATTTGATTTCGCGTTAATAAATTCATTCTTTTTGTAGTTGGGGATGCACAAGGGGCGATTGTGTGCCAAGAACCGGAAATCCAAACGGCGAAGGTGTCGCGGACGTTCTATTATCCTTGAAACACGCAGTGGTCCATCCTGGAAGTCCAACTAGCGGATATTATTCCACTGGTGGATCGTCTCATCATTATTCACAGGATTATGGACAAAATATTGGACCTCCCATTCCACAGTCTCATTATACTCCTGGTCCTGCCATGTCCGTCAATGTCTCCATGAACATGACCATGAACATGAACATGCATCCTGGGTAGGTCATTCAAAAAAATATATTAACATTTTATAAAGAGAAACCAAAAACCATTAAAAAATGTTGAAATAAAAAAAAAATTTTTTAAACAAAAAGTATAATAATTATTGCGTTATTGATATAAAATGGCCTTGCACACACCATTTTGGTTCGTCTCGTATAGGGGTTGCTAAAAGCATTTTTTTTCAAACAGGTACGAGCAGAGCTATTCGTCGCCCTGGGGTATGGAACCCTTATTGAGTCCCGCCCCTCAATACAATCCAGTGGAAACTCAGACGAGGGTGAATCAAGTTCCGGCCAATAGCCTCATTGGTGTACACCCACATTCTCACCCTCATCCGCACCCTCATACGAGGCTTCAGTCGGGGGAACATTCCCTCTGCATTGGTAGTGCGGGACCTGCCGTAACTCAGGATGATAATGGAAGACCAAATCTTTGTCGAATATGTGGAAAAACGTATGCCCGACCGAGCACCCTCAAAACACATCTTCGAACTCATTCGGGGGAGAAACCATTTAGGTAACTTTTCTTTTTTTTCAATCAAAAAAACTCCATTTCATCACTTCTCTTCTTTATTCTTTCTTTAAATTATCATTTCGAAGGGGGAATTCTGAAAAAACAGGAATACAAACAAAAAAATCAGTAAAAAAATAAAATCATAATCTTCCGACATACCGAATAAAGATTTTTTTATACAAAAAAATGTTTTACGGTAGAGTAATGATTTTTGATTATTAAAAAAATATATATATTTAGGATAAATAAAAAAAAGGTTCCTTTGAAAAAAAATATATTTTTCGTACTTTTTTGAAAATTTTTCATTTCAAAAAATATAATTTTGTTTACAGATGCCATGCGTGCTCCAAAGCCTTTAGTCAAGCTGCAAATTTAACGGCTCACGCAAGAACGCACTCGGGTGAAAAACCTTTTCGATGTCCTGTTTGTGATAGACGATTTTCCCAAAGCAGTTCTGTCACCACGCATATGAGAACACATTCTGGAGAACGACCTTACCGGTAAAATCGTCCCTTTTTCTCATCTCTACAAATTGACATTTAAAAATTAAAAATATACAAAATAAACAGAAAAATAATCATCATTTCATTCAAAAGTCGTTGCCACCTGTGTTTAGAAAATTCTGCCAATTTTTAATAGAAATGTTATTTCATTGGCTTGTTTTTATAATTTTACAACTCATTAAAATGCTGAATAGCAGACAAATTTTAAACCATTGTCAAAAATATATTTTAAGATCATTTCTATACAAAGTAATTAAATTTTCTATAAACAGTATGCAACAACTTTGAATTAAAAATTATTATTAAAAAAGTATATTAATTTTTTTCTAATCAAACACAATATAATAAACGAAAAAATAATCATTGTTACAGATGTCGATTTTGCAAGAAGGCATTTTCCGATAGTTCCACCCTCACCAAACATCTACGAATTCACTCAGGTGAAAAACCATATCAGTGCAAATTGTGTTTACTAAGGTTCAGCCAAAGTGGCAATCTCAACAGACATATGAGGGTCCATGGTGGTTCCTTAACGTGACACAACTCTGATTATCCTCCGTTAGACAGTGGCATGTTACCCCAGTGTTGTCGGATACCTGTGATTCGACTCGGAACGAGCTTACAACGAAAACAATAGATGTACATTCTGCGGTATTTTATTACGATGCCCCGAAAAAACCTCATAAATTATATATTTTAATACTACAAATTCGATCGTATTTTTTTCTACAAAAAAGTCTCAAAAAGAAAAAATCATTTAAATTGTGAAAAAAAACCAAAGTTTGACAAGCCAAAGGTAATTAAAACCAAAGGTCAAAAATGACAATCTAATTCTAAGAATTAGATAAAATTAGAAAACTAGATTTAAATTAGTTATACTAAACAATGATTTTTCTTTAAAACTATCTTTTGATTAACAATGATAGTCACAAAAAAAAAGAAAAATATCAGGATAGGTGAACGAGGGTATCGTATTTAAATGCCTGCAGCATTCACACCACAGCACCGTTGATTATTGTACAAATATTGTATTTATTATAATTATTATTAATTATAATTAATATTAATGTTGCCGTTTTCACCACGTTTACTTTCCTTATCGCGTGGTTTTTCTTTTTTTTAAAATTTATTTCTCATTCTTTATCAGATTCCTCATTTTGCCCTTTCTTTCTCTCTCTCTCTTGCTCTCTTTTTCTCTCACTCTCTTTTTTTTGTAATTGTAAAATAAAATTATTTTATTTTCGTCGAATAAAAACGGAGTCATAATGTGTTTTATATCAAAGAGGAAAGGAGCGATTTAAAAAAAAAAAAACAAAAAGAAGAAAAAGTCATAATAAATAGACTAATTGGAGTTTCTTTTCGGCTATCCTTACGCACAAAGGTGGAGAAAATTATACAGGAGGCTCACAGTTTGGCTGAATTTGCACACAATTCAATTTCGATTTTTTTTTATTATAATTATTTTACCTCCAACATTCTTCATTTTAAAAACTATTTTTAAAAAAACTTCATTGTTGTTTGCGCAGCATTTTTTCTCTTCACCTTGTCAGAAACAAAAAAAAAAGTCTCTTTGCAGGGATATTCGTTCATTTTCACATTCTCTCACACATTCTTGCTCTATGTATAGATAATGATGTGTTTATAAGTAATAATATTCTTGAAAAAAAGTATGTATAATGTCGCTACGTTATGTAGATCATACGAGTTTGCAGAAACGAAATGGCCCTTTCAAAATATTTTCCTTAATTCTTCTTTATTTTTCCCTCCTTAGTTTTCTTTTTTTTAATCTAGTCCTTCTAATTAAGATTTTTTGGACCATCTTGTCGTGCAACATTCGTATAATGATTTTTTGTTTTCCTTTTTTATGTACGTTGCGTAGTTATTTCTATTAAAAGAAGTGTGTGTTTGTGTGTGTCTGTCATCTCTGTGATACATTTTATTTTTTTTGTCTGTCATTATTTTTCACGACGTTTTAACATTCGTCGAATTTGGACTTTTTTTTTTACTCCATTAATCTCTCGTGTTTATCATCTTTTAATTGTTCTTCTTCTTTTTTTCTTTAAACAAGTACGATTTCGATTCACGTTTAAAAAAAAGTATACTTTGAGAAGTTGGTTAAACAACAAGTTTTTCTTTGAAATTAATATTTGGTTAATTTTTCAAAAAAAAATTCAACTTTTAAAATAAAAATTGTCGATAATTTTAAATTTTATCAAAGAACGTTTTTTAAAACTGAATAGATATGTGTGTGTCTGTCTGTCTCTCTCTCTCTCTCTCTTTCTCTCTCTCTTTCTCTACAATAGATTTATAAACAAAGTTGCTCTCTTTTTCTCTTTCATTTCCAGAAACTCTCGTTATAATCTACTACCTTTTTTTTTAATTTTTCCCCGCAAATTAAAGAAAAGAAAAAGTTCATTAATCGTTTCCCTTTGTTTTACAATGTTTTTTTTTTTTTTTTTTCATTAACCCTTGACTATAAATAAGTGAAATACATAGTCAAGTGTACGCAACGTCACACAACTTCACTTAATACAATAATTAATCGTATCGTAATTATCAATTAATAAAACTTGTTTCTAATCTTTCTGTCGCCAATAATGTTTTCATGCACGCGCACTCTATCTATCTTTCTCACGACCACCTTTTCTTTCTCTCTCAATCTTTCTATCTCACAGTCTCGCTTGCTTACAAACCGTTAAAACGATAGGATGTGTGTCTGTGTTTTATGTGTTATTTCATTGAAAAAACACAATTTGCTTTTCTTGTTTCTTTTTTTTCTTTCTTTTCTTATTTTGTTCCGTCATCCTAATTTATTAGAAACACAAGAATGCTCTAAACATGGGAGATACTCGCGCCCCTTAATCACGACGGACAATTTGAAAGATTTATTCGATTTGCAAAAGAAGCACAAATCTTAATTATTTTTTTTTCTTTCACCCCCTTCGCATTTTTATATTATTATGAAAACAAGGAAGTAAAAAAAATGAAATAAGACACAAAATTTTCGACAACTCGAACTATTCAATTTTGTCAAATGTTCGATTCAACTACGAATACTTTAAAGAATTTTTCAACTGTACATTGCTGAGTGTAAAGGAAAGTTAAAAATTTACCTCTACACTTTATCACGAACATGTGACTAAACGAAAAAGACGAGAATTCAATCAAGAGTGTATTATTTTCATTTTTTAATTTGCTTTCAAGAGGTGTTTTTCTCAAGAAGCAGTCTACAATCGTTTGAGGGACTTTCTATTTATAGATTTGCAGTTATAAAAAAAAGAGAAAAGAATGTATTTAGATATTTTTGATAATAAGGATTTGAATTATTAAAAAAAACCCCCCCGGCGAAAATTCAGCTAGAGTTCTTTTTTTCTACAACATCAAGATCGCTGATGACTCTCACGTTATTCGTAAACAATATTGAAAGCACTAGCGAGGAGACAGACGGAATCCAAATACAGAAGGAAAAAATTGACAAATCTCAGCTGATATATTTTCAAGTCCGCATTTTTCTTCATAAAGGAATAAAATATCGTAACAAAGGGGGAATAAATGACTAGGCGATGAATTTTCTTACGACGTGGAAGGAAGAACTGACAAGGCTTTAATTTTAAAAGCTCAACTCCGTTATTCTTATTATAATAGTAAAATAAAAATTTCTTAAAATAAACTTAGATTTCATATTTAAATCTATTTTCATGTCATTTATAAGAGGGGGTAGAAATTAAAATTAACAGAGTCAAGTTTTTAAAAACAATTCCTAGATTAACTACCATACTATTAAAAAATTGGAAAGAAAAAAAAACCCTACACACTGCGATTAAGAAGCAAAATATAAACGTTGTGAACTTGAAAAAAATTGGGAAGTATAGTTACACAAACGTTACAATCTTGTAGCGCGTCGTTTTGATAATTCGTCGCATCAGGAATAAATTTATTTTATCCAACTGTATTTGGCGTCTGTTTTTGTTTTGTTTTTTTTTACGGCACTGAAGACTGCGCTACCCGAAAGGTTCCAAAAAAGGAAATATTAAACCAACAAAAGAAAATAAAAACCTATTCCTCTTTCGCTCGTTTCTTTCTCACTCGCAAAAAAACTTTTCTCCCATTCTCATTTAATTTTAAAACGGAAATTTTTTTTTTTTTTTATTTTCATTCGCTCTCAAGGAAAGGATCCTCTCGAGTAATATATCGGAAGCAGCGGACAGATATTTTTGGTTGTACGTCGTGCGCTAGTGAATCGGCCGTGTTTATGTTATTATTTATTTTTATTTTGTTTTTAGTCGTCGTCGGAACTTGTGTGTAAATGGCTAGGGTTAGGTTAGAACGGAGGGGTGGCGTTGGATTTGGAGATCTTGGGGGGGTTTAAGGTCAACGGGGACTTGGTGCTGGTGGGCTGGGCCGTGGATCAGGCTCGCTCACTATGCTATGTGGTAATCCAGGCATTCCAGCAGAAGGTGGAGCCGCAGTGGGACCACCGGCACCACCGCCGCCTACTGTTGGACCCGACGGTCCAGTTGGACCACCAGCTCCACCGCCGCCCGCCGACGAATTTGGTCCACCGCCACCCCCGCCGCCAACAACAGAATGACCACCTGGAGGTGGTGGCGCCGAGTCATGAGGAGTTGTCGAGTGCGCCTGTTGAACAGGCAAAGCTCCTGCATAGTATCCCCCGTTGATACCCTCAGGGTAAGTGCTGTATTGAGAAAAAATTTTCAAAAATTTACACATATATTAAATTCATCATGCACAAAATTTTTTGATTAATTGCACATTTTCAATTTCCAATCCGTAGCATTATATTCAAAAGTCTTCTTCAATTCTTCTTCAATTTCTTCATTATGAGAAACGGAAAAAATTATCTTCCTTGTTTTTAAAATTATTATATTTTTATTGATTATTATTATTAATAATTTAAAAAGTTGATTAATATTTACTTTACACAAAATTATCGTTTAAATAATTTGAGAAAAATGTATTTAATTATTAAAATTTTTGTTTCAAGTAATTGAAAATGTGTCAATTTTATGACTTTATGTTCAAATATTATTATCTTTGTTGTTTAAATAAATTATTAATCTGTTTCTTTTAATTAAAAAATTTAAGTGTTAAGTATCAATTCAACTTGTTTTAACTTTTAGTTAAGATGAGTTTAAGTAAAATATGCTTCATTTCCTTATAAAGACACAAAATTTACATTTTTAAAAACAATACATGAATGTTTTCCCTTCCAAAATTTTGAAATAATAAATAGAATGAAAAAATATCCAACTCAACGAAAACAAAAAGCAATTAACAAACAAAAGAAATAATAATAATAATTAAATAGTTCAACACAAACAGCCAACACAAAACGGATTATAAACTATGTTTCTTCCTTAAATATATAAAATAAAAACAAAAGTAGAAAATTTTTCATCCTTACGTCAAGGATGAAGTAAATTCTACTTTATCAATAACATTTCTACAGAATAAACTAACCTGGTAAATATTAATTCATTTTACTGATTAAAAAAAACAAAAAGAAAAGATGACTTACAGGCAAAAATTTAACTGGTAGATTATGAAATCATTGTGGCGATTCCAATAAAAAAAATATCGTTAACTTTTTTTTTTTTTTTTTTGTAAAAATTTCAAATAAAAATTTTTTTAATAAAAATGATGTACTTCTCTACAAAACTTCCTACTATATTAGAAAATGAGTCACGAAGAAACAATGAGGAGCTCAAACTCCAAACATAAAATTTAAATACAAAAGATGTCCGATGACATAAATTTAATGTTTGAAAATCCTCTTTTTTAATGTAAAAATATTTTTATTTACTTCGCTATATTTGCAATTTTTTAAAAAAAATTTTATTTCCAAAATTTACTTTTCAAGTTTACTTGAAGTATAAATGATAAAAAAAATAAATGGACTTTCAAACATTAATTGTACTAAACTTAAAAATACATAAAACCGAAAAGAAAAGATTTTTTGAAAAGAATGAAAGAAACAAGATCGTAAAAAGGATACACATGTTCTAAACTTCTGTTTCATTAAGTCAACATTCTTAAAAAATATATAATAACAAAATAACCACGTTATTATTATTATACTAGCTAATTAAAAAAAGGTAGTGAAAATAATGATTATTCAAAATTCTCCAACCTTTAATTGTTTCAATTTCTCATCTAATTGAACAATGTATTTAACTAAATTAAACATAGATAAAATAAAAAGATTTTACTTTAGAAAATTATAAAAATTCTTTCTTTTTTCCCTATTTATATTCCGAATAAATTAAAAAAGAAAAGAAAAAATACCGTATCGAAAATTAGAGATTTAGATCATGTGTAGTGGAAGGGTGAACATTCTTAATTTTTTTTTAGCTCGTATTATGAAAAAAAAGGTTTTTAAGAATTCTCACCCAGATGAGGACAGGAAGTATTCTTTGTTGACACAATTTCTTAAGCAATCAGGAATACGACCGACGATGGCTCGTCGTATCTCACTCGCTGCCATTTCGCGAAGTTCCGTGCAGCTCGCGTCACTATAGAATGCAGCATGTGGTGTGCAAAGAAGATTGGGAGCATCTTTCAAAGGACCTGTCAAGAAAAATAAAATCATAAAACATCTAATTTACAAAAAATAAACTAAGAAACAAAAAAGAAAAGTCAAAAATTGAAAAAATAATTATATAATATGAAAGAACGAAGGTAAATTAAGATAATGGGACTTACATTGGGCAGATTGGCCCTGAAATACGTTATAGGGTTCATTTTCATGAACATCAAGTGCCGCTGCACGAATTCTACCCTGTTTCAAAGCCGCAGCAAGTGCGTCATCGTCAACCAATCCTCCACGTGCTGTATTTACTAGAAATGCTCCAGGTCTCATCTAAATTTAATTTTTTTTTTTTTTATTATAAATAAGGATCTTTAAGATCTTTTAGAATAAATTAAATAGGTAACAAATTGTCAAAATAAATTAAAACTTTCAAAATAAGTGCAAAAAAGCGAATAGGGTAAAGAAAATAAATTAACTTGTGATTACTACATGTGTAGATAAATAGAAAGGATAGAAACAAATATTCTAAAAAATTTTTACCTGTTTGATGGTGAATTCATTAATTAGGTGATGATTGTGCTCGTTCAAGGTACAATGTAGGGATACACAGTCTGATTGGAATAACAAGTCCTAAAAAATATGTCCTCATTAATATTTTCACTCAAAAATGTAAAATATTTGAAAATTACAAAAATGGAAATATATTGGCACAACCAATTAATTGCAATATCGTATTTACCTGTAATGTGTAAACCCTGGTAAGACCCAGCGATTTTTCGATTCCGTCAGGAAGGTATGGATCATAAAAGATAACGTTGAAACCGAAGGCCTTTGCACGAAGAGCAACTGCCGATCCGATTCTGCCTAATCCTACAATACCAAGAGTGTCGCCCCGTATCCTTGCACAGCCTTGTGCTGCTTCCCTTACCTTAAATAAATTCAAAATTTCATCTATTTATATATAATTTTGAAATTTTAATTTCAAAAAATTCTTTCATGTTTTTTATACTTTCATTTCGATGATATTAATGAAGATTCCACAAAAAATATATCGAAATAGCAATTCTGTTAAATAAATATTTCACATAAGTTAAAATCCGTTTAAATAAAAATTAAGCTAATTAAAAATTTGTTTTAATTAAATTTTAACTATGTTTTTCTTGTTTCATAAAAAAAATTTTCTTGAAATCTCAAATTGAAAAACAGTTTTTTCAATTATTGGATGAGTGAAAAAGATACTGAAACTTTGCTAACTAGTGTAACTAGTCTTTTACATTTCACTCTTCCAATAATCGAAAAAAATGAATCTACAATTTTTTTTCAAGTTAATAAAATTTCTTCACACCTGTTCGGGTCCTGTGAATTTTTTGCCTTCGCGAACCATATTCGCTAGCCAGTATGTACGTCGATAAAGATTGAGAATGAGGCAGAGTGTGGTGTCAGCTACTTCTTCAACTCCATAGCCAGGCACATTGCACACAGCGATGCCAAGTTCACCAGCAGCTTTGACATCAATGTTATCCACCCCCGATCCAATTCGTACAATGATTCTTAATGTTTTGAATTTCTCGAGATCCTCCTTGGTTAATATAATTGTGTGCCACATCAATGCACCAACAGCTTCATTCAATACCTGTTGAGAAAATCACAAATTAATAATAATTTAGAGAAAAAACATGAAATTGCAAACTACATAACTTGAGTCAATTATTAAATACTCGATATCTAAATGAATTAACAAAAATATAAAAATTAATGTCAGAATTTAAAAAAAAAATAATATTTGGGAATTTTGAGATTAATACCTTCTCGTGAATTTCAGAAGTTGATTGTGCGTCGCAGAAGGCGACTGTCGCTACATCCTTGAGAATTGGCATTTCGATGGAGCAATCCCGTCCATCGAGAAGAGCCACCAGTGGTCTTGCCTGAATCGGCCCGTTAGCGATCGGACCTCTCAGGTTATCCATTCGAGGGCGTTTGGGCATCATCTTCCGTTTGTCCATCGGTCAGATAGCCCCCCCTATTTTAAAAATTTGCACTCTGCGAACTTTTTTTTGGAAAAGATCGACTTTCAGCTCACTCACACAACGGGGTTATTTATTTTTTTTTAAATGAAAAATAAAACCCCTCCTATAGTCTAAAATATTTGTCACTCACTATTTATAAATTCAAAATTTTCTTTCTTTTTAAATTGAGTCGCTTTGTGTCACACAAACTGATTCTGCAACATTGATTTTTGGTCGGTTTTTGAACAAGGTCCGCCGAACCTCCAATGCATCACGACTCCTTAAACACCGACACCTGAAACAAATAAATTAACACATATTTAATACAAAAAAAAATTTAACGACTTATTTTTTAGGTTATGTTTCTTTGTCAATAAAACAAAATCTTATAACATAAAAGTTTATACAATTACCCTTTTAAGGTTAAGTTTAATTAAGATCTATTTTAAAAATAAAACAAAATTTTTTAATTAGATAACGATATTTAATATTTATTTATTGAGAAAATTATATTCATATTATTAATGAGGAAAAAAATCCAATTAACTCTCGTAGTCAATTTCAAAATTTATCACTAAACAGAAAAATATAACAAGTCGGGATAAAATTCACATAAATAAATTCGACATAGGGTTCATGGATTCATTGATTCTCGGGTTTGATTTTCAACAGTACTTTCTACGGAAATCGAAGCATCGTGACAGCTTTTGTCATGAAGCCAAGATCACAGATATATCCACCAAATTTTTCATCTCGAAAGCACAAAACACCAAAAGAAATTTCATGCACACCATTAAAGTCACACTGCTTTTCACTCTGATTTATTTTTTAACTCAAAAATAGTTATGAAATTGTGAAAATCTGGATGTACGAGAGGCAGGAGCGGTCGTTAGCTTCGTAGCGAGTTTTACTTTTTAGGTTACCTTCGAGCGCACCGGCTTTTCGTGTCTCATTTACCGTATTCACCATCGGGAAAAACTTTGTGCATAATACACGAGATTCAAATGAATCGAAGAGAATGAAAATCACTACGGGAAAATGACATACCGTTTATGAAAATTGACGAAAGATTGGCGAAGATTCTACAGGAAGACACACACTGGCTTGCACTGGCTGGGGCTGATGTTTTTGAAATGAGTTCATGAAACTGGCGTTGGTCAGTGGGTCGACGTTTTTAGCACCATGTCTATACCCAATTCAACACCACTGATTTGAGTGATGCATGTTTCACTTCTCGTATACAAATGCATACTAAAATTTATTAAAAAAAATTTTCTTAAAGAGAAAACTGTCAACATTCACAATTAAGAGAATAATACGAAATTTTCAAGTTTAAGATGAAAGTACAATTTCTAGATTTGCTATTTTCCCGTATATATAATAGAAATGCAGGTGGCACGACACGTGGCGCCCTCCCATGCATGAACTATTCCACACACACACACACACACACACATATATATATATATATACAATTCATATACAATATAAAGAGTTAAATCGTTTACGTTTATTTCACTCACAAACTCAACTTTGAATGAGATCTAAAACTATGTATATACACAAAATTTATTCCACGTGTTCGATATCAAACAATTGTCCCAGATGTTTATTATTACTTATAATTGACGTACAATCTTTCAGTTTTTACAAACGTCAAGTTTTTTTTTCTTTTTTATTAAAAAGACGTACATAAAAGCTACACATTATTTTAATTGGTAAAATTCTTTAAATTATTTTTATGCATTTTAATAAGTTTTTTAAGTTATACTTCAAAACCAAAGAAATAGTTTTTTATGAAATTAGTCTAGTATTCTTGTGTGTGTAATTAATATTTTTATGTTAAATTAAATATACAAAAAATATGCTACGATTTCTCTCGAACAAAATTCTATGATTTTTCCATACTGCATAAAAGTATGGTTTATATAAAAATAGTTATTAAATATACAAAATTCATTAAACAACAATCACATGACCCTAATGTATTTAGATGAAATTTTAAAATGATTTAATTTTTTTTCCAGGTGTTTTACACTTTTTCCATGACTTTTCCATACCAAATAAAATTCCCTGACTTTTCCAGGTTTCCAGAAAGCGTAGGAACCCTGCAGCTAGTTATATTTCTTGATAAAGAAACTACTTGTTAGTTGTCAAAAAATATATAACCTTAAAAGATTGTTTAAATTCAAATTAGAAAGAAGGGCATATTTTTTGAACATTCAACTTAACATAAAAATATTAATTACAAAAACAGGAATAGACTAATTTCATTGAAAACTATTTTTCTTTGTAAATTTTGATTAATTTTACTGTTATAAAAGTAATTGCAAAATTACAATATTAAATGTTTTTAAAGTAAAATTTTTGGGAAAAAAATTAGAAAACTAAAACATAGTTTTCTCGAAAGTGTTTGTTTCGGAAGGTCAATGGACACTTTTGCTGACTAGGTTAATTAAATTAACAATATGAAGATTGATATTGATTTGTTTAATAGGATATTGTCAGTTTGTATGAAGATTGACAAAGGTAGGATTTGATTGATCGTGATTCACACATGTAATCAGAAATATAGCCTGCGGAGGCTATAAAACGAAGATCGCTGCTGCCCTCAGCGAAAGCCAGGACGCGAAGTGCAAACCGAAGCACTTTGACTTGGGCACATGTTGTGTCAACTCAGCGAAAACGCAGGCTCTCATATCGTCAAAAGGAAGAGAAGCGAAAGGGGAGAGATTATGCTTGTGTTCGACAGCTGGCTGCAATCATGACCTGCACTGTATCTACATACGTGTATATATAAAATCTATCTCTTTAGATATCACCCAGAGGTATATCCCATCGATCCTCAACACGAAATACATATTTACCGACTCGACAAGATTCACTGTTTTTTCCAATAGAGATAAATATATCAATTAATTGTTTTTCTACTGAAATCGACATTTTTTTCAAAAATAGACAATTTTTTGTATCAAACTGTTTAGAATAGTTCCTTTCAGGTAAAATGTTCGGTAAACGCTTTTTACGTTTTCAATCAACTCGAGGAAGAAAGAATGAGTTGCAAAAGTAAAAGGAAATTCGAAGATAGTTTTTCTTTAAATAAAAAGGAAACGCAAAATGAGAAGAAATGGTTGCACTTTTAAAAAGGCGAACGCGTTTCAGAATCAGTGGTTGAATTCAACCCCTTTAGCTTAATCTCAGTGCGCAACAGAGTTTTTCGAGTTAAAGAAAAAGAAGACAAAAAAAAGAATAAGGGTGCAAGAAAGACAGAAACTCAGAAATTGAGATGAAGAGTGAGAAAGTGAGAGAGAAGGGAAGAGTCGGGAGAGAGAGAGAGACCGGTAAGATTGGGTAGGGGGATGCTATGAGGGCGAAGTTATCCAATTATTGTCTAACCTGAAAGCAACTTTACTTCGAGTAAGAGTGTGAGTGGGGACAAAGCTTCCCCCCCATTCTCTATCCCTCTCTCGCGTATTTCCCGCGCCCTCAACTTCCAATCGAGCCACGATAAAGTAAAGTTTGTTTCTAAACTTGGCTCACGAAGGTGGCTTGCTTTTTATTGGCGACACGCGAAATTCAAACGACAACGAGAAAGAGAGAGAAAGAGAAAAAAAGGGGTATCGAAATGCGTCGACTCACTGCATCGACAGAAACTTCATAAAACTGAGGCAGCAAGGAGCCTGAGAAACGGTTCAGGAATTCACCAACAATCCCATCTTCGATCTCGCTTTTACGACCCGCTGATAGAGCCATTCAATCGAGTCGATAACAGTTTGTTTCCTGCATTTCGCATCCAATTTTTTTCCAAGACCACACTGATATTATTGTTCGTTGCGAAGAAAAGAAAGCACAGCTATATTAATATAAAAAGTGATGAAGATGATGATTTATCCTAATTCAATTGCGTGACTGCGAAGTTCATTTTCATTTTTTTATCGCAATGACAATTTTCGGGTGAGCTGAAAAAATAATAAAAGATCCATTAACAGTGTCTGTAAAAATAAGGTAAAGAAACTAGCGTACTGATAAGAGTTAACAATCTATAGGAGACTGTCAACTTTTTTTTCCCTTCTCTCTTGTACGGAACAAGTATATCCGCGCTTGCGTGCGTTACGGTCCGAGGATGGATAAACTTAATACCTCCACACACAGTATAAGCTTTTTCGGTATCATGAAAAACGGTTATGGCATCGTTTAATATTGTATCGAAACACCGATATCCAAGTGTCATGAATTCATGAATGGACGTTCATATAGTCAACTTTCTTTTTATTGAAGGGATATAACAGGATTTCATCTATTTTTTTATAGCATTTTTAATCTTTTGGATTTTTTTAAAAATTATACTAGAGAGTTTATAGTAACATTGAAATTATTTACACTTTTGCTCATTAGATTTTTATTAGCCTGAAACAAAAATAATTTCTCGAGGCGGAAGTTGAGAGACGCTGCCACGTAAAGCATTTCCCGCTCTTGATGTTTGAGAGTCGTATGGCATTAACTTCTCTTTGTAAGTTTGTGCATGGGGCCAGTGTGGAAGCTTGGGGGGCTTTTCATTCGTGTGGTGCACTTGGGTTTCTCGTTAGTCAAGCGACACACTTCTCATTAGCAATTCCAAGTGCGCCCATATTATCTGAGGAACAGTTAACACCCGTACTTCAAGTTTAGTCTCTGTGTCGTCGTTTCATTCTCTGACCAAAAAAAAAAAAAAGAAAAAATCACGCGTGTTAAAGGTTTCATATACTCTCGCGCAAACACTTCCGCTATACAAAATACCGTTAGGTTTGGGAACATAGTAACTTTGAATACGCGATAACGTTTTATCGAGGAAATTAGAGAGTCTAGTCACCAAGAGAGAGAGAGAGAGAGAGACCATAACCAAAGATGAAATCTCTGCTAAAGCATTCCATCTATTTAAGCTAACTCAGTAATTAGAGATTATCTAAGCCTAGAGTATTAATCATCTTATTATTATTATCATTATTATTACTATTATTTGTACTATTTTTAAACTATTATAAAATCAAATTCTGAATATTATTATATTGTTATCGAAAAGTTTATGCGAAAGAAAAGCAAATCTCAGTAATTGAAAAACAAACTAGAAAAATCATAAACAAGTCTTTAAAAAAGTTAAAACGCTTTCAATTTGAAAACCGTTCAAGTTTTGGGATAGTCGAAAACTTGAAAGTGTTAATCTCGAGCATTTCCGTTTTGAAAGCTTCCAAGTTAGAAGGCTACCTTAAACTTGCCAACTTCACTATATACACCTGGGTTATTCGTTCAACCTTGAAA